GTCTGTGGCGTCACCGAAACCCCCATGAGCCGTCCTCCCACATGCGCCCATCCTTGCATTAACGTGTGCAACCAGGGAGCGAGTTCCCCCCCATTACTGGCCGACCGGTCTAATCCTCACTGTGGACAGCCCTCTCATGTTTTTCCATTCTCTCTTTTCTTTCCATTACCAACAGGGATGGCAACCGGGTCGTCTCCATCAAATCTATATCATCAGGCGCTCACAACAGGGAGGCCACCGCGGGCTGCTGATCAAACTTAGATTATCCGGTGCGCCCAATAAAGAAGCCCAACCTGTGGTTAACCGTAAACGTACAGTAGGTGCACACGGGGGCGCCGATCTCCCATTTACCCGGCCGAACGGTCAGTTTTACAATTCATCATAATCAGGGATCCATTGCTTTATCGACCGTCCTTCACAAACCCATGGTGGAGCCCAACTTCATCGCCAATTCCACACAAGACACAAACAAGCATAGCATTATCACAACACAATTAATCAAACATTGCAATTAAATGCAAACATATTGATCAGTTGAACATCGTGATGCAATGCACAACTAGACATCCATTCTCAAATGCAATTAAATAATTAAATAAATAATATTAACAATAAACAACAACGATAAAATTAATAATAATAATAATAATAATAATAAACAATGATAATGAAAACAAATAAATAATTGAATGAATAATAATGATAATGATAAAGTAATTAAAGCACTTTATTTATTACGTATCAAATTATAGAAATTATCTAAATAGGCTTATTTATTATGTTATTAATTAAAACTAGTAATTAAAATTTATTTAGATTTCTATCAAGAAATTCGGCAGCAGTCTCCCCTAAAAATTGGGACTATGCTTACCAAGCTCAAAATATCACATATTTATCAACTTAACCATTTTCCAACAAAAGATACTTAATCTCTTCGCAAATCCTACTAATGAGAATCCCATAAAAACAAGTAGTACATCAATTATGTAGAGAGAATTTAAATTCACCATCAAGTCCCTATTTTTGTTATTAACTTCTCTATTCCTCTTTCCAATTTGTTATACCATACCATTTCTTAACTAATTATGACAAGAATTTATTCAACTAGCCAGGTTAGCTGTAAAATTTGCAAACGCCATTCTATTATACTCAACTCCATAAAGAAATTCAACCTACATTTTTTCTTTTTTACAAGCTTAATCAAGATGTAAAATTCTCCAAACCGTAGTTTATGTCCAATTTACCTATTTCTTCTATCTTTAATCAATCTTATAGACCTAAGTTTACGTACCTAGAAATCAAGAATCCTAAACAAGTAGTGTCTTTTGCTCTAGCTAAGTAAGAGATTAAGAATGTTAAACCTATAATCCAATTCCTGATTAAATTATGTCCTTTATTTTATGTTTATTCTCAATCCCATGAATGCCTATGAATATTCAGTATAATGCTCTGGGAAAAACTAATCAGATCGCAAATTAAGAAAATAAATTGAAGCCCTAATCAACAGAGACTAAAAGAAAAACATTCTAAAATTATCCAAAAAATTAAAATTTTATATACCCGAATCTTGCTGCCCGGAATTTTGTTTCACTGGAAAAAGGGAGTTACGAGTGTTTGGAAGACTAAGGGTAGGCTGAGAGCAAGGGCGTTGATGTCCACCAAAAACAGGCTGCTAGCTCACGCAAGAACTGTGGCGCGAGCTAATGGACAGCAGGGGGTGGTGGCGCAACAGCGCAGTGGCGCAACAAGATGGCGCTGCGTTCTATCTTAGTGGTAGAGACAGCGCTGAAGCAATAATGGGCGGAGCTGTGTAAGCAGGCGATGGCGCGATCTGGGGGAGGAGCAGGTGGTGGCGCTGACTCTGCTTCTCGCCAAGAAAATGTGAGAACGCAGATGCAAGAGGGGAAGAAAGAAGGAAAGAAGAAAGCAATGAAGAAGAAGAAGAAGGAGAAGGGAATGGCGGTGACAGTGTGCGTTGGTTGTCCCGTGATCGAAAGCGCAAGGAATGGGGATAGGGGAAGAAGTGGTGTGCGTTAGAAATAATGAGGAAAAAAGAAAATGTCTAGATGGTTTGGGTCGAACCGGTTCGATTCGGTTCGATTCCGGCCCAAACCTTTGGTTTCAATGGTTTTTGTGACTTTTTCAATGCGGCTTTCGGTTCGATTCCACAGTATTCCACACCTAAAAAAATATTAATATTTAATTTTCAGGCTGTCCGGTATATTCAAATTTAATTGAAAAATCTTTGAAAATACAATTTATATATATTATATACATAATAGATAAAGTTGCTGACTTTTTCAATTTTTATTAGTCGAAATTTCCGAACGAACTTATTTGGGCTTAGGCCCAAATTTCGAAAAAATTTGGGCTCGAATTGGGAACTTGTTACAATTGCAGCCTCACGCAGGCCAAAATTGCTGGGATTTTTGATTTAATAAAAAAAAATGCCAAAAGGTTTCGACAAATAGAAAATTCAGGGTGTTTCAATCTCCCCCCTTAAGACAAAGAATTTCAAAGCCATAAGAATTTACTTCCAACACCAAGGGCACAGCTCGAGAGTAGATAATATGAACCTAGGAAAGAAAAGGGTCAAGTATTCTAATTGTAATCCTCTCGCCAACCATCTTATTTAGTGCCACCTAGCTAACACTCATAAGAGTTTGAGTTTATTACCTAAATCTCCAATCACTATCTTTAGACAGCTACTGAAATCTTTAGAAAATCTTTCATTGAATAAAATTTAACAATAAAACCAGGTTTAACAGGAAAGTACATATCATATATCATAGATTTTTCTCAAAATCATGTAACTTCATTTGAAAATTTCAATTTTATTAGACATTCGTCTGTGAAGGCCAAACATGATTTACAAAGGCAAACAATTGTAATTATGATTTACTTACAATCATAAGAATTAACTCGTTTAATTACATATATGAGTACCAAAACTTTTCTTAATCAAAAGTTCAGAAATCACTACTTTAATCCAATACTTTAAGAAAAATCGTCTTGTAACTTTCGTTGTCTATTAGTATCACAGGGCGACTCAAGCTCATTCTCTTTAACTTAATCTCTCAAATTACCATAAAACTTATCACCTAATGGACTTTCACAATAACACCTTTTATCTCTCCTAGCTCTTATATTTTTAATAACTTTTCATTCCACAAATGTTGCTATTAGTTCGTCCTAAGGATATTAAATATTCTTATTAATTTTTCACTCCTTCCACTTAACTGTCAACTTCTCTTTCCAACGCTTATTCCTTATGTCGCCTTAATATTCATCACGAAAACTTAACTTTCATAATAATATCTCTTAGTAATTCGCACTTCCGTTCTCAACCTAAATCTCATCTGATAACCTTTCATTTTACTAATGTTGCCTAATCACCAATAAATTTCCTCAATTCTTTGACCATAATGCTGCCTGTTTGCAATTACCCATTCAGATATTACAATCAATCGATCTCATTAATCACGTCCTTCGAAGTCTGATTTACATATACTGTTAAACTTCTTTACCTCTTTGTCCATATCCTTTTCTGGATTACAATTTCAAACCATAAATTTAACATTTTAATTAAGTCTTACTTTCTGGATTACAATTTCAAACCATAATGTTAACATTTTAATTAGTCTTATTTGACTAAGTGTTAGGCACCATGTCTGAAACTATTGACTTAACATCCATCTATTGCTAACTTATATCAAATTCAGATTCAACTCATCTGTCTCACCTATCTTTGACTTTAGAATTTTTAACAAATCCTTTCCTTATCTAAGTCTAATAAGATATTCATGAATTCTTCTAATTTTTATCTACTACTTACTCCTCATATATATATTATAACTCGTCATATATCCTTCTTATACCCTTAAAGTATCCAAGTTCATTCCTAATGTCATTCCTTCCATTTATTACATTAAACAATCCTATAAACAATCCTATTATTCCAAATCTAATCGCCGGACTTTAACTTCTAATACCAAAAATCGGCTACACGACATTTCTAAGCATTCATGTCTCAACTTGACTAACTACTGTCTACCTTACTTTATTTATTATCGCCACCAGTCTTATTCCATTCTTTTTCCCAATTTTCTTTCAAATTTTACTATCCTTGTAATTATTTCATTTTTAAACGATCTAATCGCAATTGGCCCGCCCGGTGATATAAATAGACAGCTTTTCTCAAAGAATAATTTTCTAATATAAATAATCAATTTCAAATTATTTATCATAACACAATTTGATTCAAATTAAAATGGGGTTTTTAGATTTAAATTGTCAGGTAAATAAAATGAAGACAACAAATAAAGGTTAATATTTTTGAAAATAAACTCTAAAGAATTCAGTAGGCTTGTGTTGAAACTAGACACAAAATTTCTAATTAACCTCAATGTTATTATCTATGTTCATGAATCTCTATACCAATGAAAATCCTATTTATTCCTCTAACACTATCCTAAGCCTACTCACTGACCAGGAAAATAGAGTTCACATGAAAGAAAGTAGTGTACTGGGTGGATCAGGCCAATCCACTACCAACAAGTATTACTCTATTCCCTAAGCTGTTTTAATAAAAATCAAATCCTTCAATTTCACATTATTGCACTTAGGATAGAAAATTAATTTGGTTTAATGGCTAGGTTTAAATATGGGTGAAAAATAAAAATTTGATATAGGCTTCAAATTAGTTGCAAGGGTCATACTTTAACTTAGGTTGTATAGGCTAAACATGAAGTTTTTAACAAAGAATGTCTAAATCATTTCTTTCTAAATGTAAGCATAAAAAAATTTGTCTTGAAGAAAATTTTAATTTTGTTCTAGGAATGCCAAGGTTAAATAAATTTTGATTAAAATACATGTCACGACCCGATTCCACGGGCCGGACCGACACTAGGGCCCAGGTAAGCTTAAGGCCCCCGAGGCCCGTAGTAAGCCTGAAACCCTAAAATTTGCTATCTTAATATAAATTTCGAATATTCAGCCCATATTAAAAAAATAAGCCTCAAGATTTTATTTCATCTCATTTCTAATATAGGCTCAAAGCATCATTTCGTCTACGATAATACACGACTAAAGGTAAGTAAATTCTACAACTGCGGAGTCACTAACTATTTGATATACATAGCCTTTTATACATACAGTTACATACTGAAATAATTATGGAATTAAGGAAAATTTCTTTGATGCCTTGCGTCAAAGAAACGTAACCTAATTCGAACTAAAGAGGAACTTACTTCCTGAAAAAATTAAACAAGACATGTGAGTTTTTCCTAAAATGATAATTATTGCACAACACATACAGTCACACAAATGTATGTGTAAATATCTATCTAGTCATCCGACTAGTTATATGATCACGCAGTCAGTCACACAATGGCATAACAACAGCATTTACAAACATTATCACCTTCAGATAATCACTTCACGTGGAAATTGGTCAGTGGCGTCACCGAAACCCCCGATGAGCCGTCCTCCCACATGGCCCATCCTCTCATGATGTGTGCACCAACTCTCATAACGTGTGCACCAGGGAGCGATCCCCATACTGGCCGAACCGGTCTAACCTCACTTGACTTCAGCCCTCTCAATTGTTTTCCCATTCTCGCTCTTTTCTTTCCATACCAAACAGGAAGGCACCGTCGTCTCCATCAAATCTAGATCATCAGGCGCTCACAACAGGAGGCCACCCTGCGGGCTGCGATTTTTTTTAATTCACCAAAAAAACCTAGAATTATCCGGTTGCGCCCAAATAAAGAAGCCAACCTGTGGTTAAACCGTAAACGGTAACAGTAGGTGCACAACGGGCGCCGATCTCCATTTACCCGGCGAACGGTCCAAGTTTTACAAAATTCATCATAATCAGGATCCATGCTTTAATGCCGACCGTCCTCACAAAACGCCATGGTGACCAACTTCAATCCCAATTCCCACACAAGCAAAGCACAATTGAGCAATCATCACACACAATAAAATCAAACATTTGCAAATCAAATGCAGAACATATTAAATTTCAATTAGACAGTCGTGATGCCAATGCACCATTAAAACATCCAAAATCAATGCAAATAATAAATAAATAATAGTATTAGCAATTAACAACAATAATATAATACATAAACAATATTAACAATAATAAGTTAAATAAAATGAATATTTAAAATAGTTTAATTGATTAAGTTTATAAACACCAGAGCACTATATTTATTATTGTACCATTATAGAACTAATCTAAATAAACTTCTTATTAATTATGTTGTTAATTAAAATTTATTCTAATTTCTATCAAAATTTCGGCAGCACCTCCCCTAAAAATTGGACTATCTACCAGCTCAAATATCACAATATTTTTATATCTTTCAATCAATACACACAGCCCATCCGTCGGGCAATCAATCAATTTAAAATACCCATCCGCCTTCAATAATATATCACCAATCAACCATAATTTACAAATTAAAGACCTTCAACTAATCTAGGAATATTATCATCAATTCTTTGCTTAAAGTATAAACACTATCATTAAACATTTATTAAAGTTCTAGACTAACTATTAAGAACTGACATTTCAATTAAATTACAATTTAATAAATGCTTCTACTAGATAACTCAGCTCGAAACTTAAACATATAATTAAAGCTTCATAATTTCTCCGTCTTAATATAAAAATACGACTTCTATATATAGCTAAAGAGTTTTTCAATTGAATTGTTACTTTAGCAAGAATATTGCTATCATTATCATGCTATCCTCATTCTTAACTAAAACTATCTTAATCACACTAACATATTTACTAAAATATGTTTCAAATAAAGTTAGCAAGAAATTAATTTAAATTTCCTAAAATATTTATATGAACAATAGTATTTGACGCTTTATTCTATAGTAATTCAATTAGCACATCAAATCCTGTAACTATACTCAATGAATTCATTAATCAATTAATTCTTTATATAATCAAAAATTTAGAATTGAGTCTTAGAACGTACCAATTGCGAATAGGGCGACGATTCCACGATCAGCGCGAAGGGAAGAGCATTCTGTCTCTCGGGGCCTCGCCGGAGTGTCGCCGGCCGGTCACCGGACCGCCGCCGCCGGCGTTGGTCCACCAAAACAGGCTGCTACGCTCACCAAATGAACTGTGGCGCGAGCTAACTTGGAACAGCAGGGGGGTGGTGGCGCAACAGCGCAGTGGCCGCAACAAGATGGGCGCTGCGTTTTCGTTCTTAGTGGCTAGAGAACACGCTGAAAGCAAATGGCGGAGCTGTGGTAGGCAGCGATGGGCGATCTGGGGATGGGAGCAGGTGTGGGCGCGACTCTGCTGTCTCGCCAAGAAATGTAGATCGCAGATGGAAGAGGGGAAGAAAAGAAGGAAAGAAAGAAGAAGAAGAAGAAGAAGAAAGGAGGAAGGAAAATGGCGGTGACAGTGTGCTGTTTGGTGTCCCCGGTGATCGGAAAGCGCAAGAAATGGGGAGGGGAAGAGTGGTGTGCGTTAGAAAATAGAGGAAAAAGAAAAATTCTAGAAATGGGTTTGGGTCCGAACCGGGTTCGATTCGGTTCGATTCGGACCCAAACTCTTTGGTTTTCAAATGGTTTTTTTTGACCTTTTCAATCGGTTTTTTTCGGTTCGATTTCTCACAGTATTTACACTAAAATATTAATATTCAAATTTTCAAGGCTGTCGGTAATAAATTAAATTTAAAATTGGAAAATCTTTGAAAATACAATTTATATTATATATATATAATACATATAGATAATTTGCTGGACTTTCATTTTATTAGTCGATTAATTTCCGAACGAACTATTTGGGCTTAGGCCCAATTCAAAATTTTGGGCTCCGAAATTGGGACTATGTTTACAAGATTGCAGCCCACGCGGTTACAATTGCAGCCCACGCGGCCAAAATTTGCGATTTTTGATTTAATAAAAAAATGCAAAGGTTTCGAAAATAAAAATTCAGGGTGTTTCACCGCCCCACTTCTATCCTTAGACATTGCTGTTTTCTGACAAAAATGAAACACTAGTTAAGAAATACTGTTATTCTGTCATCCCTAACAATGTCACCTACTCTCTTGCCTGAAATGAAACTAGTACGAAATTCCATTTGCTCTGTAGCTGCAAAGTAGTAGTAAGATCATATCATATCAGAAAGTAAAATCATATTACAGAAACTGTTAGTACAATAATTCTCACTGTACTGGACAAAACAACTATGTACGAAAACCCATTATATATATTGATATTTTTGTTCATCATCATCGGCCAGCCTTATTAAAATATGTTCGAAGGCTACAGAAATAGTCTGGTGGATCAATACACCATAATGACTATCAATCACAAAGCTTCATCAAATATCCCTGAGTACAGTAACTGAGTCATATTAAAGCCAACATTTTCTATAATTCATGGACTTTTCAGTATGACGACATGATTTCAGAGCCATTAATGGCCTGTAGGCTAGGGATCTCAATTTTACACTGTTGCTCCACAAAGTTTGTAAAATAATGGCCGATACTACTCGTGTTGCAAAATACGTCTTCACTTCAGACTCGAAGGTGCCTATGTTCATCTGTCCCCTTTAAGGTGTATATAGCTCTCTGACAAAACTCCAACTATCTCCAGTTTGAGTTGTGGGAGGCAAAGAAAGTATAATCCGGATGATTTACTTGCAAGCGCCTAAGCCAGTTGTCAGCAGCCCACAACAAGGAATTGACTTTCTGACATTCATAAACTCCATTTGGATACCAAAATGAAACTTTGAACTTGTAGGAAGCAAGGCCAAGTATGGGCAAACGTAGTTTGAATGACAAGTCGGCACAGGAAATATCCCTAAGACTCCCATCATTGTTCAGACCTGCCCCAAACAACCATTTCAAAAGCCATAAGACTGCAGCCACAAACATGCAGTTCATAACAGTCCATAAATGCACACAAATGTATATACATGCATAGAAAGAATGAAGAAGATACATACTCTGAAATGGTGGTGACAAAGAATGAAAAGTTAGAAAACAGGCATCCAGATTCTGTAGAGTTGGACCCATGGGGATCCTATATATGGGATACCAAGCCACAGAAAGCCAACTTGAAGGCGACAGGTCACAACTCCTATATGTTCTTAGTCCTGGAAACTGAGATGCAAGGACTGAAATCTGTAGAGTATAAAGTTAAATGCTTTAGTAATGATGGAAAACAAAAAAGGAGAAAAATGATAAACCTAACAAGTCAAGTATGATAACAGTACGAACTTGCCTTATCAGCCAAAGGTTGACGAGTGAATGGCGAAGCATGCTCCATGTATTCAAAAATAAGCTGACCTGGAGGGTTGGAGATCTCACATTCATCACTTGATGAGCCTCTGAGGGGTTTATTTCTTAGTGAGAGTCTATTCAAACTCTGAATATTTGCATCTGCAATGTTTTGCTGGGTCAAATGCCCCCGAAAACCATTGTTAACTACTCTGTCTGCTCCATAGTCACTGCTACCATCACTACTCGTTTCCCTGGATGAATCAGCATCACTTTCATCCCCTGGCCTCCTATCAAAGGATAAAAGCAATAACAATTTAATGCATCAAGCGCATTTACTAAGGAAAATAATGTTCACAGCAGAGACAATTTGATAAAAATCAGACAGTTCCATTTCAAATGATTATTTCTTCCAAAGGAAAGGCCAAATGGAACTTGTTCTATTCCATAGACATTTAGATATTCTGAGAAACTCAGGAGCTGATATCAATTTCAAAGACATGGAAGCCATATAGCAGAAAATAGAGAGGCTAGCAAATCTTTCTGCTGTGGAGATATTTTGAAGAAACAATAAAATCCTAGTTGTTAGGCATTATGCAATCAGGAACTAAGGAAAAACGTGATGTGCTTGCATCTGCAATTTACTAAGTGCAACAAAACCAGAAACACTACCAAAAAGCAATAATGTTACAATCTCACTCAAGCATTATGTAGAAAAGGACTGAAGTTTACATGTATCAACCTTTTTTCCCAATCAATAGGACATATCATTCCCCTTTCAGCACATAGAAATATATTAAGCAATTGCAGAACTGAGACAGCAATTCATCTCTTGAGAAAATTGATTTAGTATATCCAAGATACCAAGACCTTTGGTCCAATTTATCAAACTTGACATAATGGAGACACCATGAAGCATATAACTTCTACATAGGTATCCATTCTACAATGAGGTTGATGTGTCTATGGGTGGAGGACATCCCAACATGCCATGGCAAGATCCAAGCAAACCAGATCACTTTTTCTTTCCGTTTAAGGTTATATATATTTTTTATGTAAATCATTTAACTGAGTTGTTACAGGAGAAATGACAACAGAAAGGTAGTTCAAACAATGTAACAAAGGTCAACATGTCCCCTCATCAATTATAGTCATGGCATTTCAAATTTAACTCAAGTTAACTAAATTGAGTTGAGTTCAAGCTCTATACGTGTTAAATGACATTCCAGAAAATACTTACAGTAAACAGAAGTACAAAAGCAACTAAAACTTATGCAGACTGAAGGTAATATGGAATCCAAAATGAAATGCTGAAGGAGAAAAAAGTATTCAGAAAAACACTCTCTAAATAAACTTGTAGAAATTTATTATTGATGTTTTTGGCACAGATGCTGATCATAATGTTCCGTCTACAATTAGAGTTACCATGTGATGGCATATGCATCCTGTTCAAATGGGTACAACCATTCAACATCAGATATCCTTACATAAAGATCAATAAAGCAGCTTTAAGAAACTGCAGAACCTTAATGCAAACGCTTGCTATAAATATTGTGAACTTTTGAAAGCTGCATTGCCAAGTCAACTAAAACCTTATACTAGGCATGGCAATAGAGCAACAATATCATCAAGAAAACACCAAATGTTAACTAAATGCTTGGAACAAGAAATTTGTATCCAATGACAACACAAAAACAAATGTTGGAATGAACAAACACCAAATCATATCCATCAATCAACAGTCATAAACTATCAATTGAAAAAAGATATAATAAGAGCAAGAAGAATATGATAAAGCACAAAACAAGACAGCGACTCACCTAAGCCTAGGGGAGGGTCTTGATGGGTCTATATAGAGCTGAATGCCAGACAAGTAAGGAACATAGTACTGCATAACAGTTTCGCTTCCATTTAATACAAGTGGAACACCTGCTCCATATGCACTCCACTCCTTAAAAGATTCCCACAGATCCCCCAGCACAAAGTAAGGGTGAAACTCTGCTTCAGGTTCACGTGTTCTCCATCCCCTAATACTTGTCTGCAAACCCAAAAATTCCACCATAAGTAAGGCGCCCATGTATTGTCAAATAAAAAACGGAAGGAACGCACTACTCTATGAGTGTTAAACTAGAGCAGTCCAATCCATTGTGCTACTTACTGCCAATAAGGCCATTTAAGATCAAGCAGTAACAAACGAAATGCAACAAATTGTAAAATTTTAAAATTTCCAATAGACATAAAGTCAATCCTGATAGAGCGAACTAAGAATTACCAAAGCATCAAATTACAAACCCTAATTGCCATAGTATGAGGATCATTCTAGCACTAAATACCTTCGGAGTGCGAAAATCAGGAATCAACACAAAAAAGGCACATAAAAACCAAGAAAATCAGAAATTCCATTCCCATATCTTGAAAAACTCAGAACTCAAAAACCCAAAAGAAAAAACCACCAAAATTCGCTAAATTTAGATTACCTTGGGGAAATATTGGGCAGGAACCACAGGAGCAGTGTACTCCAAGAACCGATCTAAATTCGTGGAATTAACGTCGCTTCCTATCCGTCCTGAAACAGAACAATTTGACATCGACGACGACGAAGACAACGACCCACATTGGTCGGAGTCCGCTCTTTTCTCCATCTCCGCAGTAGAATTCTTTGAAATCGACGGTCTTTGCTGCTGCGTCTGTTGCTGCTGTTGAAGTTGTTGCTGTTGTTGCTGCTGCTGCTTTCGCATTGCCGGAGAAACGTAAAATCGGCTCTCGCCACGGGCTCGGGCAATCGAAACTCCACCGGACCCTGACATTGTACAGAACCGAAGAATAATCTGAAACAAAACGATGTCGTCACAGAGAAATTGGACGCAAGGTTTTCAATTCTTCCTGTATAATTATATACCAAAAGTTCTCTCACCCTCTCTCGTTCTGGGTATCAATAGGAAAGGAGACTGAGCATGTGTGAAAATAGGTCAAGTGTTGGAGGTATGTATTGAAGAGTAACGAAGGTGAGATTTTTTAGGCTTCGTGGGCGTGGGTATGGGAAATTTGGGCCAACAGGAGACGAGAAGAATCCAGAAAGTTTTTGATAGAGTTTGTATTTCGAGAGAAGTCTTCTTTCCTTCCTTTTATAATTTTATTCTGTTGCAATATTACCCTTGTACATATTCTAAAATGACAGACGTGTCCTCTGCGTAAAACTGGGATATAAAGGTTAGGGTTGGGGTTAGTTGATTCGTTACTCCCTCTAGTACTTCAGGTGGCTCGATGGATTAGGTGTAGTCCAATGGGGTTGAGCCCCAATTTCGTTTTCAACTTTTTTATATCTTCTTCTCCCTCTCTTGCCATTTTGTGGGGTCGCATTGTGGAATATGCTCTACCGCTTATACTTTTGATTCCAATATTTCTGTATAACAACGACAAAATAAGCATTTATACTCTGTCCACTGTATTTTAATTGGTCTTTCTATTTACGTGGAAGTGAAAAAGTTTTAAATAATACTATTAAAACGGGCTTGAACCTACGGACAGTCTGTGATCATCCGTAATTTGTTCGGATGTGAGAAAAAAAGATTTTTTTTTACTCAGCACATTTTTTATCAAAGCCTGTGTAGACCGGGACGGACAGGTCCACGAGGCTTGCATTAGAACAAAAATATATATCTTTTTTTTACTCAGCAACATTTTTTATCAAAGCCTGTGCTAGACCGGGACGGCAGGTCCACCGAGGTTGCATTTAGAACAAAATAATACTCTATATATTATATTACTATATATATATATATATATAATTATAAAATTTAAAATAAAATTGGAGAATAAGCTTAATGGAAACTATATGGGAATAAACGTTCAGTAGTTTCTATATTAATTTTTGGAAATCACTTTCCTCTTAATATATTAAAATTTAAAATAAAAATGGAGAATAAGCTTAATGGAAACTATATGGGATAAACGTTCAGTAGTTCTATATTTAATTTTTGGAAATACTTTCCTCTTTTTTCTACATCAATGCTCTTTGAATAGACATACAAAACCAACAAAAATTCAAAAAGTAGTAAAATAAAAAAAAAAAAACTTTCAAAACAGATATGTTTGGGCCCATCAGCAGGCCCGTACGGACCGAGCCTGGGTTGAATAATAGAGGCCTTTTTTTAATGAGTTTTTATAGCTTGACCCGTTTTGAAATCGAGTCCGTGTGGGCCGGACTAGACAGCTCATTTTGACAACTCTAGTTTTAGGTACAGATCTTCACTAATTTTATTGTTTGTACAACCTGATAATAAATCATGTTAATTTTTTTTACCTTAATAAAAAATTTCAATAGCTTTGGAAAAACTTTTAAAGTTAATTAATGTCAACCAAACATAAAACAAATTTTAACGAAGCATATCTCAACTGTGGCTGTGGGCTTTTTCATTGCTCAGTTAAAACGACATGAACGACCACGCCTTGGTTTTACTGGATTTTGCTGATATAGCCCAATCTATAGATGTTTGCTTTGTCAGTGATAGCTGTTAAAGATATTTTTGCCTAATAATCGTCAGATGATGAAAAATAAAATAAATTTTTTTCTAATTTGATTATTTCTTATTTTGTTTATTTATGTATTAAGTCAAAGTCCGGGTGCTAGAACAATTGATTATTTATGCTGGCTTTAACGTGTAATATTCAATTGAGATAGCTGGACCAAGAATATGAAGAAGGAAAGCTTTCAGGGTTGGTGTATAAGTAGCACATACATTTGCACAACCCAAAACCCACAACAGCGACTCCATTAAAATTCATTCTTGATCCATCTTTTTGCTTAAATCGTTGAAAATGGGTGTTGTAACATATGAAGGACAGGTTGCTTGTTCAATCCCACCAGCCAAGATGTTCAAGGTATTTATCCTTGACTCTGAAACCCTCCTCCCGAAGGTCTTGCCTCAGGCCATTAAGAGCATTGTCCATCTTGAAGGAAATGGAGGTCCTGGTACTCTCAGACAAATCAATTTTAGCAAAGGTCAATTGTTAGTTATTTATTACACTTGAATCATCCTTAATCTTGTTTTTGTTCTTAGGCAACTTATTGTAATATTGTTTAAAAATATCCAGGTAGCCCATTGACTTATGTGAAGGAGACTGTTGATGCGATAGATAAAGAAAATTTCATATTTGAATATTCAGTAGTTGAAGGCGATCCTGCTCTCATGAACAACGCAATTGAGAAAATCGCTTATCAGATTAAGTTTGAACCCTCTCCTGATGGAGGATCCATTTGCAGGCGTAGCAGCAAGAGCTATACTGTCGATGGGATTGAGGTTAATGAAGAGGAAATTAAGGCTGGCCAAGCAACGGCTATGGAACTCTTTGCCGGAATATTCAAGACTTTTGAAGCTTATGCCTTGGCTAATTCTGATGCCTGATTAATATGTGAAACTTGCATTTAACTATTTGTTGGGTAAAGAAGAGCTATCCATTATGTAAGAATTACATAAATCAATGAAATATTAGTTAAGAGGCCTTCCATTATTGTGAAATGAACAATCGGGGAAAGCTTTTTTCCTTGTTTCTATTCATTTGCAGAAACTGTGTGCATGCTGTTTATCTGCACCTAAGTAAAGTTAATCAAACACAAGATTATCCATTAATTGTAATATATATACAGTAGCTTAATTCTTGATTTTCCATCCCTAAACTTGAGCCAACTGCTGGTTTTGCAAATTGTAATAATCAAAAGGAAAATGAAAGATGATGATGGTAAATCAATGAATTATAATTAATTTAGGTGATAATGGCGTTTAGGACGTATTGAGGAAGGAATCATTAGGTGTTTCTTGTATTTATCCTACAGAATAGATTCTTGTGTTTCCCGATAGAATCGATAATTCTTAAATAAAAGAAAAAAAAAAAAACATATAAATTGTTGTCGTGATTTCACAAAGAACTCTTTAGATCAGTCTATTTCATGTTCCACTTTGATTTGATCAATCATATATCTTCTACTTGACAAAAATTCAGATGGGTTTTGCCACTTATGACATGGAGATCAGCAGCCCTGTCCCTGCAGCAGAATTGTTCAGGGCAATTGTTGTTGATGCAGAGACTTTCCTCCCCAAGATTTTTCCACAGGTTATTGCAAGCCATGTCACCATTGAAGGAGATGGAGGTCCTGGAACAATTAAACAAATTAACTCGAGCGATGGTAATTAGTTAAGTTTATTACTTCTCTTGAATATATAGCAATTCTTTATCAATTTGGAAGTGTTTATCTGATTTCTCCAGGGAAATATGTGAAGGAAAGGACAGATGCAATAGACAGAGAGAAGTTCATGTATGCATATACTGCGATAGAAGGTGAAGTCTTGGCAAACACATTTGAGAAAATTTCTTACGAGTTTAGCTTTGGGGCCTCACCCGATGGAGGATCCATTTGCAAGAGCAGCACCAAGTACTACTCTATTAGCGACACTGAGATTAAAAAGGAGGAAATTGAGGCCCGCAAACAAAACGCTCTTGCAATGTTTAAGGTCATTGAAGAATATCTTCTGGAAAACCCAGATGCTATAAATTAACTCGGCTACGTACTTGGCATTTGTGTAAGAAATGTATGGACTTCTCTTTACATGTTAATGGATGAGCTCACAATGTCATTGGGCTATTATCTTTTGCTGTTTGAGATACAAGCAAATCTTTTCCTGCATAAATATAAATAACTCCTTTCTATATCCCCTGAAGATTTTGAGGCAAACCTAGCAAATATTGGTTAATATACGACAATTGTAAATTTGGAATTGTTAGCTTCTTCGGTATTCTAAGAAGGCAAGAGTATATTCCTCGTACATTTACAACTTAAAGCTTGAAGCTCTCGCTAGATAATATACATATCCTTAATTTTGTTTCTTAGCATAGGAAAAAGACAGTATCCGGAATCAGTTTTGCCCATCTGAAAAAATTTCTTTCTTCCAGGGATGCTGCACCTGCACAGTTTCTTGTAAAAAGAATGATTATCCAATCAACAAAACCAAAAATAAAGCAGGTGATAATTCCCATAAGCATCAATCTATAAAAACCATTGATTATTAACTCACAATTCCTCACCTCAAACACTCAGTACTAGACTATTACTAATCAGTCAATCTCCATTTTTAATTTTTGAAGCTTGCTCTGTTAGTACATTGAAAGATCATGGGCGTGGTCTCTTATAATATGGAGGTGGCCTCCCCAATCCCCCCAGCTAAGCTGTTCAAAGCCTTTGTGCTTGACAATGACAATATCATTCAAAAGGTTGTACCACAGGCTATCAACAACGTCGAAATCCTTCAAGGAGATGGAGGGCCTGGAACTGTTCGAAAAATCACTTTCGGCGAAGGCATGCCTAAACTAGTATGCTTAAATTAATTTACCTCACAATTTGCATAATCCTGACAGCTCCTTTATGCAGGTAGCCAATTCAAATACGTGAAGCATAGGATTGAAGAAATTGACAAGGAGAACTTCGTATACAGATACAGTGCAATTGAAGGCGATGTTCTAGTGGATGTTCTTGAAAAAATTGATAATGAGATTAAGTTTGAGGCATCTGGTGATGGAGGATCCATTTGCAAGAACAGGAGCACTTACTATACCATTGGAGACCATGAGCTCAAACAGGAGGAGATTAAGGCTGGCAAAGAAAAATCCTTGCAAATTTTCAAGGCTGTTGAGGCCTACCTCTTGGCAAATCCCCATGCCTATAGTTAGAATTTTATTTTATTTTCTTTGGCAAATCCCCATGCCTATAGTTAGAATTTTATTTTATTTTCTCAGGCTATAAGTACAATAAACTGCCTTTTCCTTTGCTAATAAGAAAGTTACACTGTAATAAAGGATTCGAACTCGAGACCTATCACTCTCCACGTCTTGAGACGAGAAAAAACCAATTAAATTACATCTGATTTACAATAATTCTAGTATTATTGAATCATTGGTGAAAACATATCATATATTATTTTTACGTATGACATTGATCGGCTTAATATTAATTCTTAATAATTAAAAATATATTGAAACAAATTAAAAGTAGTTATCTGCATATATACTTTCATCGGGCCCTCTGTGTCAGCATCAAGGGCGAAGACTTTGAACAAGTCTTGGCTCGTGGAATTGATATATTAATTTCCTTCTCGAAAGTCACTATATCCACATCATGGCTTTTGGAAAATTAAGATCAAAGGCTGTCAGTTTCATGAAAAAAATAGAGGCAGGAGTAATTTGACGGACGTCTGTCTGTCCATTTTTAACCTTATAAATTTTATAGGTTGATTAAGAAAATAATTAAATTATTTAAATTATAATAAAGTATAATTTTTTAATTTGATTATATTATTTTTTAATTAAATCACTTAAATTATAATATAGCAAGCAGATGGCCAGTTTTTGGCTGAACCAAAACTGGTACACAACAAAACTTGAACTCTTAATCAGGACAATATTACTGAAATTTCAACCTTTTTTTAGTTATTAGACATTAGGATTTGCCAAGATGTAGGATTCAACAGCCTGGAAGAATGCCTTGCTATTTTCTTCGAGCTTCTTGATTATGTCAGGATCGATCTTACCATATTCACCCTTTGGGTAATAGGTGGTTTTGATCTTGAGGATGGATCCTCCATCACCAGAAGCCACTATTTTGTTTTCATAACTTATTTTCTCTAGTGTATCTAACCAGGGTTCTCCTTCAATTGTAGTGAAGTGTTGGGATATCCTCCCAAGTCCCACTGATCTATGTTCAGGATCCGATCTTACCATCATTCACCTTTGGTGCAGGTTAATAGGTGGTTTGATATCTTGAGGATGGATCCTCATCACCAGAAGGCCACTATTTTGTCTTTCATTAACTTATTTTTCCTCTAGTGTAAACTCTAACCAGGGGTTCTCCTCAATTGTAGTGAGTGTGGGACATATCCCCCAAGCTCCCACATCGGATCAAAGAGGAGAAATTGGAACCAAATATAATGGTTCAAAACCACCCATTAGTATATGAGGCCTTTTGGGGAGGTGCCCAAAAACAAATCCGTGAGGCCTTGGCCCAAAGCGGGACACATATCAAACTTAAATTCGGGGGTTGGTGGTTACACGCAGGTCCCAACAATGGTATCGAGAGCCCTTTGGTTCGGAACCAGGATATCCAATCACATTTGCAGGGGGAGTCGTGTCGTGGCAGTCAAGATTACTGAAGCGTGCAAAGAGTTGCTGTGTAACAACAGGATCAAGACCGGAAAAAGATCTGCAGGTGGTGCCTTGTGTCGAAAGTCTTTTCGACAAAAGGAGGTCGGGCGGCGTGTCCCGCAAAGTTGTAGTGGCGGTACAAGATGGTAGGTCAGATCTAATAGATTATAGCTGCAGGGATAATGATGGCTAACGTCCCCACTTGAGTGTGCAGGGGGAGATTTGTTGTGCGGTGCCCACTCAAGTGGGACCCACAATAAATTTGAAAAGAAAAAAAAAAACAAACCCAACCCCCCATAGGTTTAATGAGGCACTTTTGAGAGGTGCCCAAAAAACAAATACCGATGAGGGCTTGACCAAAGCGGGACAATATCATTTGGGAGGTGCCCAAAAACAAATCCGTGAGGGCTTGGCCCAAAGCGGACAATATCATACTAATTCGGGGTTGGATGGTACACGCGGTCCCAACATTAAGTTATACACCAAATTGCCTTCGTCTACTATATCAATTTCGTTCGTTAAATATTTCACTTCAAACCCTGCACCTGTCAAACAAGAAAATATTTAAATCCTGATAACTTATTTTTTTTGTCTTCGTAATTATTCCAAGGCCTCCATCTTCTTAATTCTTAATGGCATGAGGCAGAATTTTGGGAGCAAAGACGTGAGATTCAACGAAATAGACTCTGAACAATTTTGCTGGGGGGACTGCACTAGCAATCTCATGCTCACGCAAAATAGCCATGTCAGTCCTTACTTTGGAAATATATCGAAACATGAAGAAATGAGCTATGGGAGTGTATGAAAAATGAAAGAGCCAAATAAGGTTGTGGAAGTGAGCAAGTGGCTATAGCTAGTCTTGCTAGTTGTCGACTTGTCAAACAAACCAAGCTATTAAAAGTTAAAATCCATAATTCTGACCCTATCATCAGAAATTGTGACATAAATTTCTTGCTTTTCTGTAAGAAAAACACATTCTGTAATTCTTGAATTAAATACACTTTATAAACTTAAGTAATACATTAGAAAATTATTTGATTGAGATTAAAAATTTAAGAGGTGCTGACTATGAACAAGAGTGGAACTAGACATTTAAAAGTAAATAAATGATGTGAAGCAACAATAAGCATCCATTTCAACTCAACTTCCAATTTTTATTAAATGACCAAAACTACATACATCAATAAATAGCTTTTGGCCCAAAAAAAAGGCTGAAAAAAAAATGAACTTTTAATTTTAATTGAAGGCATCAGGATTTGCCAACAGATATGCTTCAATAACCTTAAAGACTCCCATGATCCTGTCATGCCCAGCCTTGAGTACTTCTTCATCAATCTTAGCATCACCTTTTGGATAGTACTTCACAATACTCTGGCAAATGGATCCTCCATCAGGCGTAGGTATAACTTTCTCATCGTAGCAGACCTTTTCCAATGTCTCCATCCATGGCTCCCCATCAAATCTAGTATACGAGCATGCCAAGTTCTCCTCGTCCATTGAATCAATTCTTGTTATCAAATATTTGAAGTCGTTGCCTGCGTAAATTAGATGAACAAAAGAAACAAATGGATATTAGTTAAAGATTCAGTTGTTTACTGTTAATTAGAGTCATAAGGATAGATTAATACCTTCTGCAAAATTAAGCTTCTTGACAGTTCCAGGTCCTCCATTTCCTTCAAGAACCTCCACATTCTTAATGAACGCAGGGAGGATTGTAGGAAGAATGGTGTCAGATTCTTTTAGGAAGACCTTAAACATCTTGGCGGCGGAGACAGCAGTGGGAACCTCGACTTCATGTGTCACGACAGCCATTGTTAAGTGTTAACTGTTAATCAAAGGGATTGAGAAGTATTGTGTATGTTGATGAGTGATCAGTTATAGTGTGAATTTATAGCGCAAGATCTCATAACTTAAGAGACTGTTGTTAAAGTTTTTAGTATTGAGATTTTAGAGAGCAAAGATTCGACGGTCAACAAAGGCTTGCTTTGCACATGTTGATTGATGGTATGAATATCGAAATAATAAAAAAAAAAGATGGAGTAATATATTTTTAATATTCCGAAATAGTATAGGACAGGAAAAAAAAATAATATTTGTAAAATATTATCTTTTAACATTCATTCAATCTTTTTTTTTTTAATACTTGAGAAACACAATGGACCGTAATAACATCGTGATCTACACAATAGAGATAACATTCCCCTTTGAATAACATTCATCAAATTAGTGATAATTTTGTAGTAGAGAAAACTCGAGAACTCGAGACTTTTCACTCCTCATATCTTCGACAACATATGGAAAGGTCAACCAAGTCACACTTGATTATTACATTCATTCTTCTTTGAGGTTTAACTTTATTAGAATATCATTTCGTTGTTGATATTGATACAGTATAATATTTAATTATTTATTTTAATTGAAAATGTTTAGTCTCTTATATTTACTATATAATCTCATTAGAAATTAATAATATATTTTCGTTTTTTCTGTAATAGCTAAAATTTTTAACTAAAGATTATGGGTGATTAATAGTATTTATTTAAAAAAAAAAAAGCTATGTTCCACTATAAGTTTTACCAATCAGTATAACACACTCTCAAAATAAAAAATATCATATAGTAATCAAAATTTTATTGGTTAACAAAAAAACTATTAATTATAATAAATAAATTATTGAAAAATAATATTCTTTAGTCAAACTTGATGAGCTTGTTATTAAAATCATACTTTGTTACTTACTCAAAACTGAGCAATTTTGAATGATTTTGTTTTTTATTATTTAAGCAAAAAATGTTTGTATGTTGACAAAGTCACGAGTATGTATCACATAATTTACTCCCTATTTTTAAAAGAAAAGATAGTGGAAAGAGAACAAAGACTTGACTTGGTACTAGTGATCAGCAGCCAGTAGATATAAAATTCAATCTGATCAGCAGCCAGTCTACAGAGGTTAGCTGCGAAATGAATTATTGAATTTGTTTTCTTTTTTCTCTCTTTCAAGTTTGCATTGCTATTGGTCCACTCGAAAGTCCAAATAGGCTAGCTGTCAAATTATTATTATGGAATAAATAATTAAAAATGATAATAACAATTTATGTGAAATTAAAATGATAGTCCCAGTATAAAAATTATAATCTAACCATTGTTTCTGCAGATGAGATGATTCTTACAACAGAAACTCTTGTCTTTCTTGGCATCTGGACAACTACCATATTGGTTCCATTGAAAAGTCAAAATAGGGTAGCTGAAATTGAATTTGTTTTTAGTCTTTCTTGACACGTGCATGTGCATGCGCATGTGCATGTGCATGTCCCTCCAAATGGCTAGTTCTCCTGTCAAAAATCGAACAAGTATTTTATGTTAAACTGAAGGAAATGTTTAACTATAAATAGCAGAGCCATACGATCGAGCTTTACACCTCGTCCTTGTATAATCTATAATTAATTATTTAAATCATATAGTTTGTAACTATGGGTATTGTGACTTATGAAGGCAAAATTGAGAGCTCAATCCCACCCGCCAGGCTGTTCAGGATGATCATCCTGGAACCTGAAATCTATGTCCCTAAGGTTCTGCCTGGTGCTATCACTAGTTTCGAGACTCTTCAAGGAGATGGAGGCCCTGGAACTATCAGGAAAATGAGCTTTGGAAATGGTTAGTACATATTTTGAAATTAATACCGTTAAATTCACAATATATATGTTTTCTAATAACTTGATTTTCAAAACGTTCAGGCAGTCCAATATCGCATGTTGTCGAGACGGTTGATTGGCTGGACAAAGAGAATTGTATATTTCACTATTCTATAATTGGAGGCGATCCAACTCTGATAGATACAAGTAAACTCGAGAAAATGTCTTTCGTGCTAAAGCTTGAACCTACTCCCAGCGGTGGAACCATGGCCACAAGAAGCTGCAAGGGATATACAGTGGATGGCGCTGATGTGGACGAAGAGGAAGTTCGAACTAGTCTAATCAAGACCATTGAAGTCTTTAAAGGAGTTTTCAAGCTATATGAAGCTTATGCTATAGCAAATCCTGATGCATAATTATATATTTACATGCCTATTTTTTTTTAATTAATAAGCCATTGTTATGAGCAAAACCCAGTTGCAATAAAACATCTTAATAAATCTAATCCTTTTTTTTTTTTTTATAACTAAAAAGTTTAATTATCTTGGATCATGGAGTGTAAAAGTTTTTAGTACTTCCAGTAAAGTATTGTACTTATTTTTTTATAATAATGTCATCAACTTTGTCTATTTTCTTCATGTTATTACTATATATATGCACCTCCAAATTAAATTAATTTGATTATACAAATTAATTTTAGTTCAATGCTTTGCTTTGCATTTTTTGGTATCCGATGACTTAAAAATCAATTAAAGAAAAAAATATTTTAATTTCTAGTCAAAGGATAAATTAAAATATTAAAAAAATAATTTCATTAAAAAAAAAAAAGAAAGATGCTTTTACAAACTCACATTAAAATAAATGAAATTAATTTCAAAAAATTGCATATATATAAATATATACTCATAAGTTCATTAATCAATATAGAAACTATTGGTCTTAATTGACTTTTGATAACTACCGATTTGCTGATGACCTTAACAATCTTAATTAAACATATATAATATTCATAATAGTCATCAGGATTTGCTTAGAGGTGTGCTTAATTCAACTGCCTTAAAATTTTCCATAATTTGTTTTTCCCCAACCATGATTTAACACATTGATTTTATATTTTCAAGATGTTAACGTTTAAATTAAATTAAAATACCAATTTATATTTTCTTTTAATATGGTAACGTGTTGTTAGTATTTTGGAATTTAAAATTTTATTTTTAAAATTATTTTCAGAAATTATATAAATACTCATGAAAGTGAATATCTTTCCAAGATAAATATTATCAAAATGAAGTATAATTTAGCCAATCAAATGGTTTTCGGGTTGGCTTTAAATTTAATAAGTGTGTTTAAGAAATGATAATTTATTTTTACATATATGACTAGGCAAAGCCCATGTAAGAAATCTTAAGAAAGGAGATTAAAAAATTTTCAACTCAGCTTTTTAATTTTTTAATTTTTAATTTTTTTTTTTTTTTTTTGCTTTAGGTTAAAATATCTCAAAATCATCAAATTTTCAACCCACTAAAGTGGAATGTTGAAAAGATTAAGAAATGAATACATTTATTTTTACATATATGACTAGGCAAAGCACCATGTAAGAAATCTTAAGAAAGGAGATTAAAAAAATTTTTCACTCAGCTTCTTTATTTTTTAATTTTAATTTTTTATTTTTTTTTTGCTTTAGGTTAAAATATCTTCAAATCATTTTTGCTTTAGGTTAAAATATCTCAAAATCATCAAATTTTCAACCCACTAAAGTGGAATGTTGAAAAGAGTTAAAAGTTTTAATTTTTTATATTATCTATATTATTTCATTAAAAAATAATTTTAATCAATTTATATATTTAAAACAAAAACTTTCATGAAAAAAGATATTTATAATCTTCATATTTAGCCTCCGTTTATTTCCGTAAAATAACATGCAGAAAAATATTTTTCACAATTTTCCGTTGTTTAAGGCGTTCAAAAAAACAAGTCAATGGAAAATATTTTTCTGATTAAAGAAAAATTAAGTCATTTTTTAAGGAAAATAACTTCTCAATTTCAAAATAGTAAAACATTTCCCGGACGTTGACAAATTTTATAAATCCACATTTTTCTAATTTATTAATCATCATAGTCATTATTACAGGTCACCATTTACCACCGACCACTACCACCGCTGGCCACCGGCGGCTTTCATAATTTATATTTTTTTTTCATTCTTCTCATATTTAACAATAAAATTTTAAAATTATAAAAGTTCTATTATTATTATTAATATTTTTATGGTCTTATGAGATAAAGACTTTAATTAATATTTTTAACTAATTTTAAATATTACACCAAATAACAAAAAATAAATCATTGAAAATATTCTTAAAGAAAATATTTTCCACGAAAAATATTTTTTCAGCAAATTATTTTTACAGAAACAAACAGGAGTAATTAATATTATCTTTAAGAATAATTAAACAGTACAAAAATTAGTTAAACATATATAAAAAAAATTCACATTAACACCTACCATACTTTATATCTTATCATGCTTTTTTTTTTTTTTTTTTTTTTTTTTGGTTTTATTATTTACAAAAGGGAGAAGATAAACCTTCTTTTTTTTTTTTTTTTTTTTGGTTTTTTATTTACAAAAAGGAGAGATAAACCTCTGAGCATTTAGCTCGCCGTAGTTTATTAAAGTTTCTTTCACCCATTGCAAACCAGGTATATACAGGTATCAGTGTGTAGTACTACGTACTACTTCATTATATACATATTTGACCGTCAAAATTGACCATCTAGAAAAGTATTTGAGCAAGATTATTAATAGTCATATGAAGAACCTTAATTTCTACATATCTAGAATGTATGGACCGATAACAGTAATAATAATAATAATTAATAACATCACGATCCTCAATTGGATACTTTCTGTCTCCCGCCATGACACTTGGACAATAGAAACCATGTAGAGCCAGGAGATCTCCAATGTAAAGATGCCAAACAAGAACAAATCAAGATAGAATTTGCATCTACAGTTATAGCCAGCAAATTTGACTTTTAAGTGCCAGCGAGTGCGAATTCTTTGATGTCTCCATCTATAAATACCTTCCTTAGCTCTTGCATTTCCCCACACCCACCAAACATACATTACCTTACTCGTTATTTTTATATTCTTCAAAGATCATGGCTGTTGTTACTACTCAGACTGAGATTGCTACTGCAGTTCCCCCAGCCAAGTTGTTCAAGGCTTTACTCTTTGAAGCTCATGTCTATGCCCCTAAAATTCTCCACCAGTTCATCAAAAGCATCGATATTCTTCAGGGAGATGGAGGTGCTGGAACTATTAAGAAAACCAACTTTGTAGAAGGTTTGTCTGTTTGTTTGTTTATTTGGGTGCATTGCAATATAACTGTTGATATAAAAAGAATTAGTTGATCAGAATTTGAATATTTGATTTTTTTTTTTCGACATGCAGGGTTTGGAGTCTACTTAAAGGTCAAGGTAGATGCAGTAGATGAAGCCAACTTGAAATTCGTCTACACTGCGTTTGAAGGTGAGCCGTGGGTAGATACGGTAGAAAAAGCTACGTATGAGACACAAGTAGTAGCTGCTCCTGGCGGAGGATCCATCTACAAGGCCACCAACAAGTACTACCCTAAGGGCAACGCTGAGATCGATATCAGCAAAATCAAGGATGCTGAAGAAAAAACCGAAGGACTTGTCAAGGCTGTTGAAGCCTATCTTGTGGCAAATCCTGATGCCTGAAACTAAAATTTCATAAGCCGTGTCCCAATTACTGCCCATCGATCTTGCTTGTTTCTTTTTCTCTTTTCTACGAGTGTTTTTGGCATGATAATAAAGTTTGTGTATGCAGTATTGGGTTGAATGGATGGCTTTTATGGCATGATAATAAAGTTTGTGTGTGCAGTATTGGGTTGAATGGATGGCTTTTAGCATTTGTATTTGTTTTTGGATTTTGGAGAGTGAAAATGTAAAATGCCTTGACTTGCAATAAACATTCTATTTCTACTAATATTTTCTTGTTCTTGATTAATGTTGTGTTTAATCTAATAATTTTGGGGTTTCGCCCATGTATCTATATATGTCACTGTCGACGCAAATGCTAGACAGTTGATACTTTGACTATATGTTAAGATTTATTCTTTTTTTTATTTAGGGTTATAATTTCTCTCGAAAGTGTAATTATGAAAATTAAATTTGTATTCTTACTCTTATAAATTTTTGAGATCACTTATCATCCAAGTAACTGGAGAAAATGTTGAATTTAAATCTTCAATTTAAGACTTAGGTTTTGACTCTATGTATCTTATTATTGGTAAAAAAGTAATATATTATTACTTCTTTTTTTTTTTCTTTTTTTTTTAGTATATATCAATAGTTACTTTTTTAAATACTCCTTTAAAATTTTAAAACAGTAATAATAACCAATAGACAGAACTCAATTTATCATCCAAGAGGAGAAGAAAAAACTAAGAATAGAAACAACAGATGTCTTTTAATTTACATTTTTTTTCTTTAATCTTCGCATTGTTAATTTTTATTATTATCAAAAGTAAAATATCCATATCTTTAACTACTCATTTTGAAAAAAAAAAAAAAAAGGAATAAATTAATTGATCAAATTCAATCTTTTTGATCTAAAATTGACTTAAAAAAAAAAAAGGATAAATTAATTATAAATTCAAATTTTATGATCTAAATTGACTTAAAAATCAATTTCAAATCGAATTACATATCCAATTATGAAAAAATGAAAAAGCAAAATTTAGCATTTAACTTATTAACGAAAGGAACACTTATTATATTCAAGTAAATAATTCTACTTCTAACCTCCTCATCTAATCATTAGTTGAATTCTTACTGTTTTACTGAAAGTCATGAATATGAAAAAAATTTATCATAATAAAGAAGATGATCAGGACGGAGTTAGATTTTAGAATTTAGAGAGGTTAAAATAAAAATTTTAAAAGTCGAGGGACCAAAATAAAGAAAAATATTTTTTTTATTAAATTATAAAGCAAAAATAGGAAAAATTCTAGAGTTTAGAGGGGCCCGGCCTCCCCAGCCCCATCCCTCCGCCCATGAAGATGACATATTTACCGTATGTGGCCAAAAAATTTCATTAATGTGTACAATTAATTTCGCATAGCTTAGACTTAATAATTTAATAACATAGATTTACGTTACTTACAAAAAAAATCTCAAAACAATAGAATAATAATTAATTCAAAGAAATATAATTTTTAATTATGTTTTTTTTCATATTTTTTTTTTATTTTAAGGATTGATAAATTCTAATTGTTGTAATTTTTTGATTAATAATATAGTCAAATTATTATTCATTAAATAAAAAATAAGATTTTTAATTATTTTAATTACACATTTCTCAAGTGCCATATTTTTAAATTTACAGCCAATCAAGTAATGGTCTGATTTGTTTTATCACTTATGTAAAGAGTGGGAGATTTTAATTTCAAATCCTCTTTACTACAGGTAGTTTTTAAAGACGACTACCCTTATTATATAGCCCTTCCATAAATTAAAAAATATATATTTTTTAAATCTACAAATGTGAATAACTAGATGTGATTTGATAGTCAAAGGCATTTAAAATCTTATTTTTGTTATTAATTTTTTAAAAAATGAAGATACCTACTTAATGCGTCCCACGTTGCTTAGGAGCGACGAAATTGGGCTTCTCCATGAAATCCTCGTATGAAATGTGCGCTGTCTGAAGTACTCCAAAATTTATTTATTTATTTTAATTTTAAAATTGATCCTATCAACAGAAGCTCTCTTATAATTTTTTTTATTCGTTACACGATGCCGAAATAATATTATGGATTATAGAATACAGTAGTTTTCTTCTGATTTACTAATTTGATAAAAACATTTATAGTCGAAACAAACACACCTGATTGATAGAAACATTATATTATTTGTTAGAATACAATAAAATTATGTAAATCATTAATTATATCAATAGAAGTTGTGTGATTATTACAATATAATAAATTAATTAGGCGGCTTTCAGTATAAATTAATTCATAATTAATTGTACTCTGGCATTGGAATTTCTTATGTTGCAAGTTCCATGGTCTATAATACTGGCTTCTCTTTAACATCTTACATATGCAACAAACACAATCACCCCTCTCTCTCTTTAGATTTAATTTTTTATATTATTCATGCAAAAATATATATTTATAATATTCATATCTAATATTATCTTTTTATTATTATTTTTTAACAAAAGGGAGAGGATAAACTTTCTTTCACCCATTCCAAACCAAGTGTATAAAGGTAACAATATGTTATAATATAGCACCGTCAAAATGGACCATCTAGAAGGTAATTGATCAATATTATTAATAATTAAAGAACCTTAATTTATATATATCTAGAAGGTATGGACCAATAATTATAATTAATAACATCATGATCCTCAATTGATTATTTTATGTCTAGCGCCATTACACTTGGTCAATGGAAACAACCTGCGCCAAAAGATCTGCAATATAAAAATGCTAAACAAAAACAAATCAAGATAGCATTTACGTTTATATTACAAACCTGCACATTTTGACTCAAGTGCGAGTGAATGCCAATCCTTTGTTATCTGTGTATAAATACCTCCCTTAGCTCTTGCATTTTTCGCCACAAACACCAAGTATACATTTCCTAATACCTTCTTCTATATTTTTACTTTGTTTCAAATTAAGGATTACCATGGCTATTCTTACTACTCAGACTGAGATTGCCACTGCAGTCCCCCCAGCCAAGTTGTACAAGGCCTTACTCCTTGAAGCTCATGTCTATGCCCCTAAAATTCTCCCCCAGTCCATCAAAAGCATCGTGCTTCTTCAGGGAGATGGAGGAGTTGGAACCATTAAGCAAACCGACTTTAAAGAAGGTTTGTTTGTTTACTTATTTTATTCGGGTGTATTGCAATAGTTGTTGATTAAAAAGAATTAGTTTGAACATTTGATTTTCGACTTTAAAGAAGGTTTGTTTGCTTACTTATTTTATTCGGGTGTATTGCAATAGTTGTTGATTAAAAAGAATTAGTTTGAACATTTGATTTTACATTATGATCACTAAATACTAAAACATTCATTTTTCCAGGGTTTGGGGTGTATTTAAAGGTGAAGGTAGATGCAGTAGATGAAGGGAATTTGAAATTCATCTACACTGCATTTGAAGGTGAACCATGGGTACAGACAGTAGAGAAAGTTACATATGAGGCAGAAGTAGTAGCTACTCCTGGCGGAGGTTCCATCTGAGGCAGAAGTAGTAGCTACTCCTGGCGGAGGTTCCATCTACAAGGCCACCAACAAGTACTACCCTAAGGGCAACGCTGAGATCGATCCCAGCAAAATCAAGGAGGCTGAGGATATGACCGATGGATTTATCAAGGCTGTTGAAGCCTATCTTGTGGCAAATCCTGATGCCTAAAACTAAAATTTCATCAGTCATGACCTAATTACTGCCCATCGATCTTGCCTGTTTTCTTTTTTTTTTTTTTATAATAATGTCATCAACTTTTTCTATTTTCTTCATGTTATTACTCCTGAAACACACACACACACATATATATATATATAAATGAAATTACTTTCAAAAAATTGCATATATATAAATATATACTCATAAGTTCATTAATCAATATAGAAACTATTGGTCTTAATTGACTTTTGATAACTACTATAGAAACTATTGGTCTTAATTGACTTTTGATAACTACGGATTTGCCGATGACCTTAACAATCTTAATTAAACATATATAATATTCATAATAGTCATCAGGATTTGCTTAGAGGTGTGCTTAATTCAACTGTCTTAAAATTTTCCATAATTTGTTTTTCCCCAACCATAATGTAATACATTGATTTTATATTTTCAAGATGTTAACGTTTAAATTAAATTAAAATACCAATTTATTATATTTTCTTTTAATATGGTAACGTGTTGTTAGTATTTTGGAATTTAAAATTTTATTTTTAAAATTATTTTCAGAAATTATATAAATACTCGTGAAAGTGAATATCTTTCCAAGATAAATATTATCAAAATAAAGTATAATTTAGCTAATCAGGTGATTTTTTGGTTTGCTTTAAATTTAATAAGTGTGTTTGAGAAATGAGAATTTATTTTTACATATATAACTAGGCAAAGGCCCATGTAAGAAATCTTAAGAAAGGAGATTAAAAAATTTTCAACTCAGCTTTTTATTTTATTTTATTTTATTTTTGCTTTAGGTTAAAATATCTCAAAATCATCAAATTTTCAACCCACTAAAGTGGAATGTTGAAAAGACTTAAAAGTTTTAATTTTTTATATTATCTATTTTTATATTATCTATATTTATTTTCACATTTAAAAGTTTTAATTTTTTATATTATCTATATTATTTCATTAAAAAATAATTTTAATCAATTTATATATTTAAAACAAAAACTTTCATGAAAAAAGATATTTATTCATATTTAGCCTCCGTTTATTACCGTAAAATAACGTGCAGAAAAATATTTTTCACAATTTTCTGTTGTTTGGGGCGTTCAGTAAAATAAATCAACGGAAAATATTTTTCTGATTAAAAAAAAATAAGTCATTTTTTAAGGAAAACAACTTCTCAATTTCGAGATAATAAAACATTTTCCGGACGTTGATAAACCTTATAAATCCACATTTTTTGTAATTTATTAATCATCATAGTCATTACTATCAGTCACCATTTACCACCGACCACCATCGCTGGCCACCGGCAGCTTTCATAATTTACATTTTTTTTTTCATTCTTCTCATATTTAACAATAAAATTTTAAAATTATAACAATAAAATTTTAGTATAATATAAAATTTCTAGTTATTATTAAATATTTTTATGGTCTTGGTTAATGAAGAAAAGGAAATTTTAATTAATAATTTTTTACTTAATGTTTAAAAAGGAATAAATTATGACAAACCGGAAACAATCTAAAAAATCAATCATTGGAAAATATTTTTTACAAAGTTTATTTTTACAGAAACACGAAATTATTTAATATTTCGTTCTAAAATAATTAAACAGTAACGAAAATGTATAAACATTATAAAAAAAAAATACCTAATTATTATCGCCGACCATACTTTTTATCTTATCAATAGCATTTTTTTTTTTTTTTTTTTTTTTTGGTTTTTTATTTACAAAAAGGAGAGATTAAACCTCTGAGCATTTAGCTCGCCGTAGTTTATTAAAGTTTCTTTCACCCATTGCAAACCAGGTGTACACAGGTAACAGTATATAGTACTACTACTTCATCATATACATATATGAACGTCAAAATGGACCATCTAGAAAAGTATTTGAACAACATTATTAAAACTCCGACCAAGAACCTTAATTTCTATATCTAGAATGTGTGAACCAATAACAGTAATAATAATAATAATAATAATAATAATTAATATCATCATGATCCTCAATTGAATACTTTCTGTCTCCCGCCATTACACTTGGACAATAGAAACCATGCAGAGCCAGGAGATCTCCAATGTAAAGATGCCAAACAAGAACAAATCAAGATAGAATTTGCATCTACAGTTATAGCCAGCAAATTTGACTTTTAAGTGCCAGCGAGTGCGAATTCTTTGATGTCTCCATCTATAAATACCTTCCTTAGCTCTTGCATTTCCCCACACCCACCAAACATACATTACCTTACTCGTTATTTTTATATTCTTCAAAGATCATGGCTGTTGTTACTACTCAGACTGAGATTGCTACTGCAGACAAGAACAAATCAAGATAGAATTTGCATCTACAGTTATAGCCAGCAAATTTGACTTTTAAGTGCCAGCGAGTGCGAATTCTTTGATGTCTCCATCTATAAATACCTTCCTTAGCTCTTGCATTTCCCCACACCCACCAAACATACATTACCTTACTCGTTATTTTTATATTCTTCAAAGATCATGGCTGTTGTTACTACTCAGACTGAGATTGCTACTGCAGTTCCCCCAGCCAAGTTGTTCAAGGCTTTACTCTTTGAAGCTCATGTCTATGCCCCTAAAATTCTCCACCAGTTCATCAAAAGCATCGATATTCTTCAGGGAGATGGAGGTGCTGGAACTATTAAGAAAACCAACTTTGTAGAAGGTTTGTCTGTTTGTTTGTTTATTTGGGTGCATTGCAATATAACTGTTGATATAAAAAGAATTAGTTGATCAGAATTTGAATATTTGATTTTTTTTTTTCGACATGCAGGGTTTGGAGTCTACTTAAAGGTCAAGGTAGATGCAGTAGATGAAGCCAACTTGAAATTCGTCTACACTGCGTTTGAAGGTGAGCCGTGGGTAGATACGGTAGAAAAAGCTACGTATGAGACACAAGTAGTAGCTGCTCCTGGCGGAGGATCCATCTACAAGGCCACCAACAAGTACTACCCTAAGGGCAACGCTGAGATCGATATCAGCAAAATCAAGGATGCTGAAGAAAAAACCGAAGGACTTGTCAAGGCTGTTGAAGCCTATCTTGTGGCAAATCCTGATGCCTGAAACTAAAATTTCATAAGCCGTGTCCCAATTACTGCCCATCGATCTTGCTAAGCCTATCTTGTGGCAAATCCTGATGCCTGAAACTAAAATTTCATAAGCCGTGTCCCAATTACTGCCCATCGATCTTGCTTGTTTCTTTTTCTCTTTTCTACGAGTGTTTTTGGCATGATAATAAAGTTTGTGTATGCAGTATTGGGTTGAATGGATGGCTTTTAGCATTTGTATTTGTTTTTGGATTTTGGAGAGTGAAAATGTAAAATGCCTTGAACTTGCAATAAATATTCGATTTCTACTAATATTTTCTTGTTCTTGATTAATATTGTGTTTAATCTAATAATTTTGGTTTCGCCCATGTATCTATATATGTCACTGTCGACGCAAATGCTAGACAGTTGATACTTTGACTATATGTTAAGTTTTATTTTTTTTTATTTAGGGTTATAATTTCTCTCGGGCTGTATGTAAAAGTGTAATTATGAAAATTAAATTTGTATTCTTACTCTTATAAAATTTTGAGATCACTTACCATCTAAGTAACAGGGGAAAATGTTGAATTTAAATCTTCAATTTAAGACTTAGGTTTTGACTCTATGTATCTTATTATTGGTAAAAAAGTAATATATTATTACTTCTTTTTTTTTAGTATATATAATATTACTTTTTTAAATATCCTTTCAAAATTTTAAAAATAATAATAACAATAGACAGAAACTCAATCTTATCATCCAAGAGGAGAAGAAAACAAGAATAGACAGAAACTCAATCTTATCATCCAAGAGGAGAAGAAAACAAGAATCGAAACAAAATGTCTTTTAATTTTACATTTTTTTTTCTTTAGTCTTCGATTGTTAATTTTTATTATTTCAAAAATAAAAATTTAATATCTTACTACTTTTTGAAAAAAAAAAAAAAGGATAAATTAATTATAAATTCAAATTTTATGATCTAAATTGACTTAAAAATCAATTTCAAATCGAATTACATATCCAATTATGAAAAAAATGAAAAAGCAAAATTTAACATTTAACTTATTAACGAAAGGAACACTTATTTTATTCAAGTAAATTATTCTATTTCTAACCTCTTCATCTAACTATTAGTTGAATTCTTACTATCCTACTGAAAGTCGTGAATATCAAAAAAATTTATCAAAATAAAGAAGATGATCAGGTGGGAGTTAGATTTTAGAATTCAGAGTGGTCAAAATAAAAATTTTAAAAGTCAAGGGACCAAAATGAAGAAAAATATTTTTTTTATTAAATTATAAAGCAAAAATAGGAAAAATTCTAGAGTTTAGAGGGGCCCGGCCTCCCCAGTCCCATCCCTCCGCCCATGAAGATGACATATTTACCGTTTGTGGCCAAAAAATTTCATTAATATGTACAATTAATTTTGCATAGCTTAGAATTAATAATTTAATAACATAGATTTATGTTACTTACCAAAAAAAATCTCAAAACAATAGAATAATAATTAATTCAACGAAATATAATTTTTAATTATGTTTTTTTTCATATTTTTTTTATTTTAAGGATTGATAAATTCTAATTGTTGTAATTTTTTGGATTAATAATATAGTAATTATTATTCATTAAATAAAAAATAATTAAATTTCTTAATTATTTTAATTACACATTTCTCAATTGCCATATTTTTTAATTTACGGCCAATTAAGTGGTGATCTGATTTGTTTTCTCATTTATGTGAAGAGTGAGAGATCTTAATTTCAAATGCTCTTGACTACAGTTATTTTTTAAGGACGACTACTCCATAAATTAAAAAATATATTTTTTTTAATCTACAAATGTGAATAACTAGGTGTGATTTGATATTCAAAGGCATTTAAAATCTTATTTTTTTTATTAATTTTTAAAAAAATGACGATACGTACTTAATGCGTCCCACGTTGCTTAGGTGCGACAAAATTGGGCTGCTCCATGAAATCCTCATATGGAATGTGCGCTGTCTGAAGCACTCGCAAAATTTTTTTATTTTTTTAAATTTTAAAATTGATTCTATCAACAGAAGCTCTCTTCATAATTTTTTTTATTCGTTTGAAATAAGATTATAGATTATAGAATATAATAGTCTTCTTCTGATTCAGTAATTTGATGAAAACACTTATAATCCAAACAAACACACCTGATTGATAAAAACACTACATTATTTTTTAGAATACGATAAAATTATGTAAATCATTAATTATATCAATAAAAGTTGTGTGATTATTACAATATAATAAATTAATTAGGGGGCTTTCAGTATAAATTAATTCATAATTAATTGTACTCTGGCATTGGAATTTCTTATGTTGCAAGTTCCAAGGTCTATAATACTGGCTTCTCTTTAACGTCTTACATATGCAACAAACACAATCACCTTTCTCTCTTTAGATTTATTTTTTTATATTATTCATGCAAAAAAATGTATTTATAATATTCGTATCTAACATTATCTTTTTTTTTTATTTTATAACAAAAGGGAGAGGATAAACTTTCTTTCACCCATTCCAAACCAAGTGTATAAAGGTAACAATATATTACAATGTAGCACCGTCAAAATGGACCATCTAGAAAGAAATTGAACAATATTATTAATAATTAAAGAACCTTAATTTATATATATCTTGAAGGTATGGACCAATAATAACAATAATAATTAATAACATCATGATCCTCAATTGAATAATTTATGTCTAGCGCCATTACACTTGGTCAAAGGAAACAAGCTGCGCCAAGAGACCTGCAATGTAAAAATGCTAAACAAAAACAAATCAAGATAGCATTTACATTTATATTAACAAATCAAGATAAGCATTTACATTTATATTGAAAACTTTTGCACATTTTGACTCAAGTGCGACGTGAATGCCAAATCCTTTGTTATAATGTGTATAAATACCTCCCTTAAGCTCTTTGCATTTTTCGCCACAAACACCAAGTATACACTTTCCTAATACCTCTTCCTATATTTTTACTTTGTTTCAAATTAAATAGGATTACCATGCTATTCCCTTACTACTCATACTGAGATTGCCACTGCAGTCCCCCAAGCCAGTTGTAGCAAGGCCTTACTCCTTGAAGTCATGTCTATGCCCCTAAAAATTTCCCCCAGTCCATCAAAAGCATCGTGCTTCTTCAGGGAGATGGAGGAGTTGGAACCCATTAAGCAAACCTGACTTTCAAAAGAAGGTTTGTTTGTTTAACTTATTTATTCGGGTGTATTGCAATAGTTGTTGATTAAAAAAGAATTAGTTTTGAACATTTGATTTTTTTACATTATGAAATCACTAAATACTAAAACATTCATTTTTCCCAGGGTTTGGGGTGTATTTAAAGGTGAAGGTAGATGCAGTAGATAAAGGGAATTGGAAAATATCATCTACACTGCATTTGAAGGTGAACCATGGGAGACACAGTAGTAGAAAGCTACATAAGAGGCAGAAGTAGTGAGGCAGAAGTAGTAGCTACTCCTGGCGGAGGTTCCATCTACAAGGCCACCAACAAGTACTACCCTAAGGGCAACGCTGAGATCGATCCCAGCAAAATCAAGGAGGCTGAGGATATGACCGATGGATTTGTCAAGGCTGTTGAAGCCTATCTTGTCGCAAATCCTGATGCCTAGAACTAAAATTTCATCAGTCATGACCTAATTACTGCCCATCGATCTTGCCTGTTTTCTTTTTTTTTTTCTGTCCTCTTTCCATGAATGCCAAAATTTGTTTTGGCTTTGGTAATAAAATTATTGTTGGATTGAACTTGAATGGATGGCTTTTAGCATTTGTATTTGGATTTTGGAGTGAAAATGTAAAATGCGTGGACTTGCAATAAATATTCTACTAAAATTTTATTTTCCTTCATAAGATGATGCATTTCTTTCTCGAGTATGTTGACTCTAATAATTTTTTTTGGTTTGGACTAAGTAACTATGTCCTCGGTACACAAGTATAAGTTATTTTATCCATAAATATTAGTTTGAGAAAATTAAAAATGATATTTTATAAAATATATATATATATATTTTAAATATTTTTGCAAAATTTAGATTATTGATTGCATTCCTTAATATATATGTCGAGCTAAAAAAAGACACTTATTTTTTAAAAAGAAAGGAGTATATACCAAATACATTAATTATAAATGATGTGAAATTAAACATAATTTAATCACATTACTGAACTTCTGAATTGATAATATAGTCAAATTATTATTCATTCAAAAAATAAATAAATAAATAAATTTTAATTATTTTAATAATTAATTTTAATTATAAATAAATAAATTTTAATTATTTTAATTATAAATTTTTCAAATATTATATTTGTAAATCTATAAATATAGCACTCGCTGGATGTGAATATAATTTGATATTCAAAAGATATTTAAAATTTTTTTTTTTTTTATTAATTTGGGCTGCTCCATGAAATACTCGCATGAAATGTGCCCTGTCTGAAGTACTCTTCAGTTTTTTTTTTTTTTTAAATTTTAAAATTCTATCTGAAGCTCTCCCTATTTTTTGTTGATTATACAACATTAACCCTAAGTCACTTGTGGTAGAAAGTGATTCGAATTTGAGACATCTCACTTTTTATATGAGTGAAAAGCCAATTAAATCACACATGATTGATAGAAAATTTATATTTTTATTATAATACAATAAGATTATGTTAATAATTAATTTTACAATAAAATAAATTAAAATATTATTACTAGGCGGCTTTCAATATAAATTGAGCTGGAATATTTCATAATTAATGGTACTCTAACATTAAAAATTCTTATCATGCAAGTTCCATGGTCTATAAATATCTTACTACTTTTTGAAAAAAAAAAAAGGATAAATTAATTATAAATTCAAATTTTATGATCTAAATTGACTTAAAAATCAATTTCAAATCGAATTACATATCCAATTATGAAAAAAATGAAAAAGCAAAATTTAGCATTTATAATTTACGAAAGGAACACTTATTATATTCAAGTAAATTATTCTACTTCTAACCTCTTCATCTAACCATTAGTTGAATTCTTACTATCTTACTGAAAGTCATGAATATGAAAAAAATTTATCAGAGTAAAGAAGATGATCAGGGACGGAGTTAGATTTTAACGGAGTTAGGATTGATAAATTCTAATTGTTGTAATTTTTTGTATTAATAATATAGTCAATTATTATTCATTAAATAAAAATAATAAATTTCTTAATTATTTTAATTACACATTTTTCAAGTGTAATATTTTTAAATTTACGGTCAATCAGGTGATGGTCTGATTTGTTTTTTCACTTATGTAAAGAGCGGGAGATCTTAATTTCAAATCCTTTTGACTACAGATATTTTTTAAGGACGACTACTCTATAAATTAAAAAAATATATTTTTTAAATCTATAAATGTGAATAACTAGTTGTGATTTGATACTCAAAGGCATTTAAAATCTTATTTTTGTTATTAATTGTTAAAAAAATGACGATACGTACTTAATGCGTCCCACGTTGCTTAGGAGCGACAAAATTGTGCTGCTCCATGAAATCCTCGTATGGAATGTGCGCTGTCTGAAGGGAAAGGCCCATTCCAAACCAAGTGTATAAAGGTAACAATATGTTACAATGTAGCACCGTCAAAATGGACCATCTAGAAAGAAATTGAACAATATTATTAATAATAAAGAACCTTAATTTATATATATCTTGAAGGTATGCACCCATAATAATAATTAATAACATCATGATCCTCAATTGAATAATTTATGTCCAGCGCCATTACACTTGGTCAAAGAGCGCCATTACACTTGGTCAAAGGAAACAAGCTGCGCCAAGAGACCTGCAATGTAAAAATGCTAAACAAAAACAAATCAAGATAGCATTTACATTTATATTACAAACCTGCACATTTTGACTCAAGTGCGAGTGAATGCCAAATCCTTTGTTATCTGTGTATAAATACCTCCCTTAGCTCTTGCATTTTTCGCCACAAACACCAAATATACATTTCCTAATACCTTCTTCTATATTTTTACTTTGTTTCAAATTAAGGATTACCGATCGACTATGGCTATTCTTACTACTCAGACTGAGATTGCTACTGCAGTCCCCCCAGCCAAGTTGTACAAGGCCTTACTCCTTGAAGCTCATGTCTATGCCCCTAAAATTCTCCCCCAGTTCATCAAAAGCTCAAAAAGCGTTCGTGCTTCTTCAGGGATCGTGCTTCTTCAGGGAGATGGAGGAGTTGGAACCATTAAGCAAACCGACTTTAAAGAAGGTTTGTTTGTTTACTTATTCTATTCGGGTGTATTGCAATAGTTGTTGATTAAAAAGAATTAGTTTGAACATTTGATTTTTTTACATTATGATCACTGAATACTAAAACATTCATTTTTCCAGGGTTTGGGGTGTATTTAAAGGTGAAGGTAGATGCAGTAGATGAAGGGAATTTGAAATACATCTACACTGCATTTGAAGGTGAACCATGGGTAGACACAGTAGAGAAAGCTACATACGAGGCAGAAGTAGTAGCTACTCCTGGCGGAGGTTCCATCTACAAGGCCACCAACAAGTACTACCCTAAGGGCAACGCTGAGATCGATCCCAGCAAAATCAAGGAGGCTGAGGATACGACCGATGGATTTGTCAAGGCTGTTGAAGCTTTGTCAAGGCTGTTGAAGCCTATCTTGTCGCAAATCCTGATGCCTAGAACTAAAATTTCATCAGTCATGACCTAATTACTGCCCATCGATCTTGCCTGTTTTCTTTTTTTTTTTTCTGTCCTCTTTTCCATGAATGCCAAAATTTGTTTTGGCTTTGGTAATAAAATTATTGTTGGATTGAACTTGAATGGATGGCTTTTAGCATTTGTATTTGGATTTTGGAGTGAAAATGTAAAATGCGTGGACTTGCAATAAATATTCTACTAAAATTTTCTTTTCCTTCGTAGATGATGCATTTCTTTCTTGAGTATGTTGACTCTAATAATTTTTTTTGGTTTGGACTAAGTAACTATGTCCTCGGTACACAAGTATAAGTTATTTTATCCATAAATATTAGTTTGAGAAAATTAAAAATGACATTTTATAAAATAGATATTTTTTTAAAAAATATTTTTGCAAAATTTAGATTATTGATTGCATTCCTTAATATATATGTGGAGCTAAAAAACTGACACTTATTTTTTAAAAAGAAAGGAGTATATACCAAATACATTAATTATAAATGATGTGAAATTAACTATAATTTAATTACATGATTGAACTTCTGGATTGATAATATAATCAAATTATTATTCATTAAAAAAAATAAATAAATAACTTTTAATTATTTTAATTATAAATTTTTCAAATATTATATTTCTAAATCTATAAATGTGGCACTCACTGGATGTGAATATAATTTGATATTTAAAAGATATTTAAAGTTTTATTTTTATTATTAATTTGGGCTGCTCCATGAAATACTCGCATGAAATGTGCCCTGTCTGAAGTACTCTTCAGTTTTTTTTTTTTTTTTTTTTTTTTTTTTTTTTTTGTAAAAATTTCTATCCGAAGCTCTCCCTATTTATTTTGTTATTTACCACAAACATTAACCCAAAGTCATTTTTTTTTTTTTTTTTTTTTTTAAAATTCTATCCGAAGCTCTCCCTATTTTTTTGTTATTACACAACATTAACCCAAAGTCACTTGTGGTCGAAAGTGACTTGAATTTGAAACCTCTCACTTTTTATATATGTAAAAAGACTAATTAAACCACACATGATCGATAGAAAATTTATATTTTTTATTATAATACAATAAAACTATGTTAATAATTAATTTTACAATAAAATAAATTAAAATATTATTATTAGGCGGCTTTCAATATAAATTGAGCTGCAATATTTCATAATTAATAGTACTTTGACATTAAAATTTCTTATCTTGCAAGTTCCATGGTCTATAAATACTGGGCTTTCTTCAACATCTTACATATGCAACAAACACAAACCTTCTCTCTTTAGATTTATCGTTCCCAAACACAAAAAGCTAAGATGGCTATTCTGACTCGTTAAATTGGAGCTACTACTGCAGTCTCCGCTGCAAAAATGTTTAAGGTCTTTGCCCTTGAAGACGCCACCATTATTCCTAAAATTATTCCTCAAGCCATTGAAAGCATTGAAATTCTTGAAGGAAACGGAGGTAATTAAAAGGAAATTGAAACATGTGTGCCACTTTGATTCATTAATTTTTAGTTTTTAACTAATAATGTGTTTTTAATCATATTTACAGGTGACAGATTGAAGTATGTGAAAGATAGAATCGACACAATAGATAAAGATAATTTCACATACAGTTACACAACAATGAAGAGTACATTATGAAGCGGTATGTTAGAAAAAACTTCTTATGAGGTGAAAATAGTGTCGTCTGCTGATGGAGGAAGCACTACTCATTGTATAAGCAAATACTACGCAAAGGGTGATGCTAAAATTGACGAAGAACAAGTGAATTCTTGGGATGCAAATATGATGGCAATGTTTAAAGTTATTGAAGCATACATTTTAGCAAATCCTAATCTCTTTTAAATGAAAATCAAATTTCGATGCATGCAAAATATATATAAAAAAAAAAAAAAAGCTGTAAATGCTTTGAATTCATAATAAATAAATAAATATTGTTATTTGAGTTTCTTTTGGAAATTATTAATTCTACTTCCTTCTTAATTTGTTTTTGTGTTGCTAATTTTTCGAAATTGATCTTTTTCCAATGAGTCGCTGTGAATTGCGTCTTCAATCGTAGTCTAGGCATATGCAAAATTATTAATTCTATTGCATCAACTCTGTCTTTCACATAACCACCTACATATGTTAAAAAGAAAAATTAATAAATTTAGTGTGCAATGCATACTTTAATTAATTATAGCAATGACGATAAACTAATATTTAAGTTTAAAAAATACATACATTTTTTTCAAATAAAAACTATATTGTGAAGTTATAAATATATAAATTGTGAAGTTTAGGCAATCCGCTGGATGAATATATAAAATATACAGAGCGAGCAATCGAAAAATATTTATAATATTGCCATCAATTAAGGTGTGCGTACCGATAATACATAAATCTAATGCCTCAACTTTGTTAATCGGATAGGATCCCTGAAAATAAGTTAATTTAATCTTTATATAAATAATTTATAATTAGAATTTTTATACAAAAATATAAAAATTTATGATTTGTATTTTGTTTCCCTTTTAAGGAAATTTCCACTTTTCTTCCAAATGAAAACATTAGCGCTCACCAAATGTTTCGGCTATTAAATAAAAAATCGGCCTAAAAGCTAGAACCAGACAAGCATGTCGCCAGAAGTTAAGCAATAAAGGACTTTCTGTAATGTAAGAGTGAATTTAGGAACCGACAATTTATATATATCAACTGATAACTTCTTTCTTTTTCTTAGTTCCCATTTCGTCTAGATAAATAAAAATTAATTAAAATAATAGCCTTTAATGCAGAATATATCTTCGTTCCCACCAAAAATCATCTATTAATTATATGAAATTAACTGCTTGGATTTCATTTGGCTAATTTAATTAATTAAATCTTAATTCAAAATCCAAGTTAATTAGAATGCCACTTATAATTAATGCATGCCGTCCAAGTGGGAGAGAATAATAATTGCAGCTTCTCTATTATTCATAACCTATGTAGTTGAATCAACAAGCTTAAGAAACTTGTACCTTTATTATAAATATTACTTTTGCCTCGCAGCACTAACAGCACAGTCTACATTTCAATTCTTCTACACCATTTCTAATTTTTCATCTCCGTTTCTGATTTAAGAAAGAGAAGGAATCATGGGTTCTGTTATCACATTCGCTGACGACTTCACTAGCCCTGTTCCGGCAAAAAAGCTATTCAAAGCCTTGATTCTCGATGCTCCTAATCTACTTCCCAAGCTTCTGCCTCAGGTTGTTAGTATCGAAATAATCGAAGGCGATGGAGGCCCTGGAAGCATCACAAAGATGACATACAATGAAGGTTAGTGTTTTATCTTCCTCACGATTGAAAATTAAGAAATATATATTTATGTGTTTTTTTCATTTTTATGTGAAGGTGGTGAATTGAAGCATGTGAAGCATAGAATTGATGGATTAGACACAGAGAAGTTGACACACAGTTACACATTGATTGAAGGAGATGCTCTGGATGACAAAAATGAATCAATAGCTTTTGAGATTAAGTTTGAAGCTACAGTTGATGGAGGATGTAAGGGTACTAGTGTTAGTAAGTTCCATCCAAAGCCAGGGTTTGAGATTAAGGAAGACGAAGTTAAAAAAGGCAAGGAAAAAGCTGCGGCTCTTTTTAAGGCTGTTGAAGCCTATCTAATTGCTAATCCTGAGGCTTATGCTTAATCAAATGGTGGTGATATTAATTACCTTAATTATCTATCTTAATTATCTATTAAGCCTCCTATTTTATAAGATGTGGCTTTTGTATTTTGCCTACGTGGCATAATAGGCGTCTCTGCCTTAATCAATAAAATTAATAAAAGTTTTCTATTTTACTATCTTTTTATTATCCTAATAATTTATACTTTGCAAAACATGAACTTGATATACGACAGATCGTGGAAAAACAGATGCGCTCTCGCTCTCCAAACAATCGCATACGACACGCCGAATGAGAAACATTGTTTTCTGTTTTATGGGCCATGATAAATTAATAAGCCCATGATAGCGCTACTGTTAGTGAACAACGGGCTGTGGTAATTTTAATAAGGCCAGAAGGTTCAAAACCTATCGTCTAGAAGCCCGATTAAATGGGCCCCCAGTCCAACTTAGTTAGTCGCCGCCCACACTATTTTTCTTTTTTCTCTGCCAAACTTTGAAGTTTGAAACAAGACGAGTCACAGTCAGTGTAGCAGCCATGGAAGATGAAAGGATTTGAAAATTATGTAATTTACTAATTTCTCTGACGGAATTCTAATTCTTTACTATCTGGTTTGTGGTCTTTACCAAATTAACCAAACAGTAATCCATTGCCCATTCAATATAAAGAAGAGCACCGCCTGCTTCTAATCACGGTATAATCTGCAGAAATAATTTGAAAAAATGGGTGTTAGTACCTTCACACAAGAATATACATCACCGGTGGCACCATCACGTATGTTCAAAGCCTTAATTCTTGATTCCAACATTTTGATCCCAAAGCTCCTACCCCAATTCATTAAAAGTGTCGATATAATCCAAGGCGGCCAAGGAGCTGGAACCATTGAGCTCGTCACATTCACTGAAGGTTAGCAATTGATTTAGATTATATGCCCTCTGTGTTTTTTTTTTTTTTTTTTTTTTTGGTAGCAATTGATTTAGATTATATGCCCTTCTGTGTTTTTTTTTTTTTTTTTTTTTCCTCTTTGTCACGTGATATTTTCATTGCTCCTCGAAGAATATTCAGATATAAACGAGAATTATCTAATTATATATGCATGTTTTTTTTTTTTTTTTTTTTTTTTCCTCTTTTCACGTGTATTTTCATGCTCCTCGAAGAATATTCAGATAAACGAGAATTATCTAATTATATATGCATGTTTAAGTAATCGTATTAATGTATTTTTATAAAGTGATATTCAGGTAAAATCCTTTCAACAACGATAATTCACTTGAACGGAGCATCTAACTGGCTGATCTAACTATATTATGCAGCTAGCGATTTGAAATATGTGAAGAATCGAATTGAAGAACTAGACGGAGACAATTTGTGGTGCAAATATACTCTGATTGAAGGAGATCCGCTTGGGGACAAGCTTGATTCTATTGCTTATGAAGTCAAGTTTGAGGCAGCAAGTGATGGAGGCTCCATTTGTAAGATTACAAGCAATTATATTACAATTGGAGATTATACCATTGAAGAAGAAGCAATTAAGGATGGAAAGGAGAAAGCTTTTGGGATATACAAGGTTGTTGAATCCTACCTCTTGGAGAATTCTCATGTCTATGCTTAATTAATTTAGCAATCTAGCACCTATTTATCGTTTTATATATATATATATATTGTGTGATTCCTTAATTATACATTTGTACACGCAGTTGATTGTAATTTGATGCATGAAATTGCAAGGAAAAATAAAAATAAAAAAAATAATCATTTTTTGGGTGCTCTCTTTCATTTTCTGAAGAAAGGGTTGCATATGATATCCAGGCTGTATATTCCCCAGTAACATGACCTGCTTGGTGTTAAATAGGACAAGGAAGTTGATCCTCTGAGGATTCAAGAGGACAACATTAGTAGAACCTTCTAGGACTCACATGCTAACACTACGAACAATTGTACGTAGTAACTTGTAAGATGTGAAAATTCCATGGCATCAAGTAAGAATCAATAGTATGTTAACCAAAATTTCTCCCATCCCCTATCATTGTCTTACTATTATAATAATAAAAAAAATCAATTAATATCCACTAATCAATTAGAGCTTTATTGGCAGAGGCAAGTCCTAAGCACCCATAAGAGCCTAATAAGGGAATCATTTCCTTCGATCTCCATCAAATCAAACTTTATGACAAAAAATGAAAGGGGCATTTGTGCTTCCCAACCCTAATAAACAACTCATGCCTACGGTTGATTATATGTATAAACAACCATCCTCTGCCGTTCTTATTTTGGAAAAATAGTCGTCTTTTCTTGTGACTAAAGGATTCTTTGATAGTGGATATCCTTACGCCTCACAAGTAAAGCTACTTTGATATTTTTGACTGGCTGGATTGAACCCATTAAATACAAAATCCTCTGCTCTCACTTTAATTTCTTTCATATGGTCGGCTTTGGATATCCTAACTACACACTCACATCCCTTCAATTATAGAGAATGACGTCCATGCTAAAGCAAATTCCCTTTGGCTCAACATTTCTAATCTAAAGGTCCTTAGAAAAAAAACACAGAACTTTTTCCCTTCCCTTCTTTAAGTTTTGACAATGACTTCTTGAAGGGTATTAATCGTAACAGCAAATATCATCCTTCTTTCTCTTAAGAGAGGAAAAAGAGATTCCTTCCATGCCCCACATCTTTTGCCTTTCAAATATTCCCTCCTCATATACAAATAAATGCCACCTATTGATTCTTCTCTCATACTGTCGACTATTTCCATCTCTTGGTGTCTCTTCTCCTCTCTCTCTCTCTCTCTCCAATGGTTCCAGAGTTAGAGGTATTCCTCCGACCATGGATCATCTCCTGTATTTTCACATCAACTGATAATAATAGTAGTATTTAGTATTTCAAGGCATTTAGAATCTAACTTCTACTTTTCTCCTCATATGCAGAAACCAAGAGTTACAGAGATACAAGTCCGAATGGACTGTAACGGGTGTGTGCAGAAGATCAAGAAGGCATTGCACGGTGTAAATGGTAAGCAACATGCGAGTCGTTCAATGATAAAACTCAACTTACTTATATCTAATTTTACTAATTTAATTCTCATTTTCAACAGGTATATATGATCTCTACATTGACGTTCCCCAACAGAAGTTGACAATAATTGGATGGGCAGATCCTGAAAAAATAGTTAAAGCAATTAGGAAAACTAGAAAGATTGCCACTATATGTTCCCATACCGAGCCATCAGACCAACCAGCAGAAGCACCCCAACAGCCACCTGAAGGCGGTACACCACCACCAGCTGCTGAAGCAGCTAATCCTCCTCCAGCAGAAGCTCCACCAGCTGAAGCAGTTCCGCCAGCAGAGCCACCGAAAGACCCACCACCGCCTGAGAATCCACCACCTGAGGAGAAACCATCACCATCACCTGTTGCTGCAGAAGTAAATGGAAACCAGCCTGCACAAGCACCTGGACCAAAAGATGTGGGAGAAGTTCATGTCATATATCATCATCCACCTGATTATGGGTACAGATATGGCTATGGTCATAGCTATGGTGGTCAATGTGGCAGATACCCTAACGTCTATGGACTTCCAACAGAACCTAGATACGCTAATAGCCATGGACCTCCACCCGAACCTAGATATCCTACTGGCCATGGACTTCCACCAGAGCCACCACAGCCCATCTATGTGAGTCACAGCTACAACACATACAGGCCATCTCCATATGTCACTGAATATGAGTATGTCAGGTCTCCCCCACACCAAACAATTTACAATAGGATGGACCATTATAATGAAGATTATCATGAGAATACTCGCAATGGAAACATCACATCCATCTTCAGTGATGAAAACCCAAATGCATGTAGAATAGCGTGAAAGGTTCACAAAGATTGCCAAGAGGAACGAGGCACTTTGTTATGCCTCTGGAAAAGAGAAAACATGATCAAGAATAATCAGAAAAAAATAATAGAATCTGGTCACAGTATTATTTCCTAATAAGCATGTGAAAATGTTTGAGGGAAGAATGAGATTCCAAGATTGTTAGTGCGGGAAGAATTGATTCCACATTGCACTTTAGAAGAAGGTTGATAATACATACTACCTGCTATGCAATTCTTGTAGAAAAATCATATAAAAGAATTAATTATATTCTAAAACCATGCTTTCTCAGCCTTCCATTTTTGACAAACACCGTCTCCTGTATTTTAAATTATCTATAGAACTTTTGCTCCTAAGTAGGAACTCTAGAAAATTGAAATATGTTTTTTTAAAGTTTTCATCAATGTAAAGTTGCCAAGAAAGTCTGCTTTTCCACAAGTCATCTACAGATGAATATGGCTTTCTTCTTTAATCCTCACTAATCAGCTTTCAAGTGACATTTCCCTATGATAATGCCTGAATGCAAACAAGTCCCTAGAATCAAATTCTCAAGGCTCCAACACAAATAGAATGGTTCTAATTCAATTTGGTTACAATGGGTAGGATCTGGGAGGAGGAGAAATACCCTACAATATACCCTATGTCCAGATTCAGATGGGCCTCATAATGAACCAAAAACTGAAGAAAAGGTCTAATCAGCAAATAAGTCCAAACTTTTTGAGAACTTGCAATTGTATTCAAACCTTTTAAAATGATCTTCTATACCCTAAATTGAAACTTCAGTTTTAGTTATAACCATTTGAGCCAAAATTGAAATGAAAAACATCCACCACAATTTGCAATCAGAGAGATTTTGATCAAAGACTTGAATGGAGTCAAGTTCGGTGATAAAAGGCCAGAAAAATTGTGGGTCTAATGGCTATTTTTCTTTTTCAGTTTTGACCAAACAGGCACAATAGAAAATAATTCTTCAAATTGGCGTATAGTAGTCTTTTTAGAAGGTATAATACAACTGCAAATTTGTGAAAGGTATAGTACAACTGCAAATTTGTGAAAGGTAAAATGACCTCCATTAATTCTAAATGTAATCAAAACAACAATCTTCCACTCTCAACATGGGAAGATTTAATTTAACAATTTACACAAAAGTAAGTTGCAGCTATCTAAAATTGTAATTGCAATTGACTAATCCAAAATAATTCCAATATGAGAAGCCTGCATTATAGCATCATGCAATACTTGCCTACTATTTAACTTTCCATATCAAATGATACATAAGCTAAAAATACAATGATGTGAGGAGGAAGTTCACCTGTTATAATAATTGCATCTAGTTATTATCATCACTGCTCAATTGGGATTCATCATCATCTTCCCCATAAAGACGTTCATCAATATCATCATCGTCATCTTCATCTTCGTCATAATTCATTTGAACATTATGCAAGGTGAGATGAGTTTTATTCGCAGCAGCTTGGTTGATCTGTCAAAATAAGTAAATAAATAAATAATGGATTAAATGTTAACAAACACATCAAAATAATTAAGCCAACAGTTAGAATGTATGAACCTGTGCGGTTACTAGCTGCAATCGACCTGATAATTGTAATAAAGGTTGAATAGCGACCCCTCTAGATTTAGTGACCTGAAAGAAAAGAACATTAAGTATGCCGGACAATACTCAAGACCTATAATCAGGCGCTCAATTTTGACACTAAGCTTTGTTAGATTACAAGAAACTATTGATGGAAATGGGGATACGAAGGGTTGAAGACCCTTTTCTCTCCATTTGTTTTAAACGGATAAATCGTTGTGATTATAAATTACTGGCACACTTCTACTGATCCCAATTCAGCACACTAAGCAAGTTCTGTCACACAGGAAGGCACTTGCTTGATGAACATTCAGGTATAGATAAGCACCTAAGACCCTTTTCTCTCCATTTGTTTTAAACGGATAAATCGTTGTGATTATAAATTACTGGCACACTTCTACTGATCCCAATTCAGCACACTAAGCAAGTTCTGTCACACAGGAAGGCACTTGCTTGATGAACATTCAGGTATAGATAAGCACCTAGGTATATTTAAGAAAAGGTATATTCTTTCGACCTTTACCATACAGGAATGCTCAAGTTCGCAGATTAGATGATCAGCATGAATGAAATATTGCTCTTTTACATCAGTTTCCAACTTTCATGTAGTTCCAATGTTACAAAACTATTTCAGGTTCTGCAATCAGTACTTTTCAGCATATGTGAAAATAGTAATGTGCACATGTACTTTTCAGTTTTCAGTCATTTACCTTCAATAAGGAATTCAGCATATGTGACTCCGGCTTTTCTTGAGCCACGATAGAATGGCCATGATTGACCAATATACAGTATATCCATGGTAGAACATATTGTCCACTACATGACCTGTTGAAAATAACCATGATATCAAATTCTAATCGTAATCAGTATATTGATACTTCAAGGCAGGCTGCAATGCATGTCCTTCAGACAAATGATTAATTTTACATCAATCAAAGCAAATATAATAATTCATTTGGTGAATTATAAGTCCTATTGTTGAATTATTAGCCATCGCTAATAAATTGGTCTTTAAGATACAAATGGTTCACATTAAAATCCAAAACACAGATTTGGAATTCTGAATTTTTTGCTACCATTTATTTTATTTATTTACCTGCAATATACAAATTCATCATATTAATCTTTTGAACCACAGAATCAGAAATAGATGGTTAAACAATCATGGAAGAGCAAGAGCACACCTGGATTGCCATTTGGCCAACAAGATTTCCAGTAACTTGTATGCATAGCTAGGTTCCAAAGATAAAACGGCAGCTCTCATCTAATAGAGAAAACATATAGCCACTAGTACAAATGAAGCATAGATCAACGGAAGAAAGAAAAAGAAATAGCAAGAGATTTGTAATCCCAATGTCCAAAGAACCAATCAGAGAAGAACAAACCTTCTTTTGTGGAGTATTAGCTTCAAGGTCAATACCATCAAATGTTGCAGAAGCAAGTGTAGAGCTGAATGTACCATCATCTTTGCTCCCAAGTATTTCTAATAATCTCAACTGCTTCTCTATGCAAGTTGTTACTGTGTCGACTTCTATAATGCCATCTGCAGAGATCAGCACAATAAAAGAAAAAACAACACCATGTAGAAAAATCTCCACTATAATCCTGGGCATGTTGAGAAATTAAACACAAATTTACATGAAAATCAAAAGTAAATGTATGCCCTTCCACATTAGTTCTATCAGCCAAGGCAGTATGACAAACCATACAAAATTCAGCAAACACCAAATGATACAGAACGTCAGAACCTACGTAGGACCTAATTGACATTGACAGATTTCTTCCATGATGAAAACCAAACCAATTCAATTTTTTTCCATCTTGTAAACAAGTGTAAGCACTAGCAATAAATCTCCAGAACAGAGCCCAGAAAACAGTGTATATCGGCTCATATAAGAATGTAAGAAAGAATAGTTGAACAGAGTATTGAAGGAATTCATCAGCAAATGTAATCTGAGAGCCTTTTATAGGGTTTACAAACAAATGGACAAAAACACCATTTGAAATACTAATAGCCAAATACCAATCAAGGCCCAGAAAATAATGAAAAGTATACAACTCACTTAAGGGGAGAGTCTTAGGTTCAATAGTAATCAACGATGCAAAATAACAAAAAATAAATGGAATAAAATAAATGGGTTCAATATACATATTGATAATATTCCTGCAATTACCTTTTTTCTCCAGAGCCTCGGGCTGACACCTGCCATCAATCAAATCTGCCATGACCTCCTCAGAGTTGATACTTAAAGCTTTATCCCTCATTCTTTTCTCATGAAAATTAGAGACTTTTGGAATAGGAAGTAGTGCATCCTCCACATTAGCACGGTCTAATGCAGTAACTGTTGAATTATTAGAAATAATTAGTGGACATGAATTATCATAAATCCAGAAAACATATGAAAATAGCAAGTATCAGAAAAGGAAACTATATGAATAAAACAAAAGCTGACATACAGCAGAAAGATATTAAGAGAACGATGGAGGACCAAACTTGTATCAAATAGATTTTAATAATAAAATAAAAAATGCAAAGAAGAATGTAATCATTAAAATTGATCTTACACTAAAAGAACTTAGAAACGAAGTGGTGATTCCAATACAAGGACCTAATCCGTTGAGGAATATGGTAAGAATGTTGTAAAACCTTTTTATACATTCAAAAAGAAATATAAAGTATGGGGGAAATTTTAAGAGAATAAGTGTGTTCAATTGCATCTATCTAAGAAGCCAAGAAATGAGCTTGCAACTTGCACATAGTGTTTCCATCAAGAACTCTTAGACAACAAAACCGAATTCGTAAATAGGCATTATCAAATGTTACCTGAATTCTGTAAATCTTTCCCTCTCTTAGGTTTGATGAGAGACTGACTCATTGGTAAAAGAACTCCATCCTGGGAAGCATTCAACTTTACATCTGTGCCAGAATGAACTATTATTTTTTGGAACAAAGGTTTAACCAGCAAACCATAGGCAATAAAAACGTGTGCGGCCATAGGTTCTGCAATGCCCTGTAATTTTGCAGCAAATATTGTAGGTAATGCACCCTTGTGATTCTTGGAAAAATATTCTTGATTAGATAGTGCAACTTTTGTGGGCTTGGCATTCCGTAATTCCTCAATACTCTTTCCATACCATGTATAGCAAACACCAGTTTCTGAAATGGCCAAAACACACAGGCCTGGATCATCAACTCCCTCATTTTCAAGGCACCTGCTATCAAGGAATACAGCAGGATGCTCCATTGCAAGGACACAGCTTGCTGACTGCTTTTTTCCACCATCTGTTCTCCATAATGCAATGTATCTTTCACCAATAGCAGATGAGAGGACATATTTACCATCTTCAGTAAAGATCATAGCACTGACAGATCCCTGTAAATCAGGAGAGACTAGTTTTTTTAAGTGAAAAAACAGTGGTCATATATCAAAACCACATTCAAATGCAATTTAATGTGCTACAATTTGAAAGAACAAAGCAAAGCAACATGAAAAAAGCAAACACTCACAGGATGACCGGAAAATTTCTGTATTTTTTTGTGGTCGGAACAATTGAAAATCGTCAACTGGGCAGCTGCTGTTGCTAATATCTTTCCATCTGAAGCGCAGAAACACCATCCCAGGTACAGTATCATTAAAAGAAGAGTCACCAGTTACACAGAAGTATTTATTCCCAAAGCCATACATTTATAAAGCATCTCTTATTAACAATCATTACAACTAATGCTTTTAGTGTTGCAGAATTTAGAATTTACATAATATTTGAAAACAGGCTTTTTTTTTTTTCAACAATCATTAAAAAAAAAATACCACAAATGACTGAAAGGATATGTACCTGGTGAAACAGACAAAGATGATATTGCCTTTGAAGAAGCTCTAAACTTCCCCACCATATTTCCTGTCTGCGGATCAATTTTGCAAAACATTCCATCAGCACCCGCAGTGTAAATGCATGAATCACGAGTAGAAAATGAAATAGCACTAACACCCCTGCACATTAGGGAGTGAAAAGGGTTCAGCAGACAGCCTATATTTAGATGTCAATTTTACTTTATTTTATGTTTGAAAACTGAAAAATGTAGGCATTGCTCATAAATAACTAGCAATGCCAATCACATGTGGGATCTAAGTTTTCATAACAGCCTTAATAAACATTTTTTTATTATCATGAAGTCTTCCTTTAATACCAGGGAAAGGGACAGAAGAAAAAGCACACTAAGCACAAAAAAATTGAGACATTGAACAAAGAGAAAAAAACAAAATCACTGTCACAGCAGAGAAAAAAAGAACATAACCATGTAGCATGGAACTCACCCAGGATGGCAATCATTGACTCTCCACTTCAATTGACCCGCAGAAACATCAAGTGCCAAAACATCACCACTGCCTGTTCCTAGTATCAACAATGAACTAGCTAACTTTCTTTTTTTCTGCAATTGGAGCCAGTTCTCAGTACAAAGTTTATCATAAAGGACCAGTTGACTTTTGGAACTGCAATAATGAAGCCATTTTCACAAAATTAACAAAGATCATTAACCTTTCTGTCCAGGGACAACCACTTCATGCATGTATAATCCACTGAAAGGTGACCTCGTTCAGCTTTAGTATATAAATCTGCATCGTTTGATGTAATGTCTGCAAACTCAGTTTGCACCTGGCCCTTCACAGTGTCCCAGATCTGAGAAGGCCAGAATGGGAAATCAGACAGAGAAAGAAAAAGGAACAAACTCGTTTTTGGTTGGATAAAAGATAAATCATCCACAAATTTTTAAACATATGATGGGCTTTAAAAATGAATTATAAAATACATAGCAGTACTGATGTCAATAGCAAGGTATCCAGAACTGATACCTTTATTCGACCATCTCCAGAACTGATTGCAAGGTAGTCCAATGAAGGACTAAATGCTGTCAAGAGGTCCCTGATATTTGATGAGACCATTATCCTGGAAATTTAAGCGATAAAATAAACATCAAAGAGCCTGTTATTATTCATAAAATACCTCATAAATCGTCTAAAAGTATCAATTCTCTAAAATGACAAAAATAAATAAACAAACGTCAAAGGCACGCGATCAAAACCAGAATACACGCTAAAGGAAAATATCTTTTAATTGGGAAGTTAAGACAAGCAGAAATTACAGTATGGACATGTCCTACGATTCAAATATTGAAATGACAAATTGTGAATAACACCTTCCATGCAGGAGAAGAAAAGAAAAAAAATGGTTGAAACACAGACTGTACTTTTGCAGAGCTCAAAGTTAAAGTTTATAGTTTAGCTATCTAAATAAGTTTTCAAAGATGACTTGCAGCTTTCTTCTACAATCTTTTCTCAGCTTGAAGTTTGTACAAAAACCAAGATATAGAAGTGGAGGCAGACTTACCTAAAACGGTGACTTGCTGGAGCAACCTTCTTAACTATATAGGTGAGTGTCTGTAGCTTGCGGAGGCGGTGAGAGACAGAGCCGGACGGGGTGGCGCTCTCTGCTTTAGGGCGCTTCGTGTTTTATTAAACGAAACTTGTCTCTGCCTTTCGACTTCGCTCCTCTCAATTTTTTGTGTCTATTCTCTTTTGAGGTTTTCTCTGGGCTTGTGACTATTGGGCCTTTTTGGTCCAAAACCGAAGGATATGTCGTTCAACAGCTGCGTGTGCACCCCAGACGATGTGTCGTTGTTTATTTCTTTCGTAATAGGAATTCTCTTGCCCATCGGCCGAAATCAACGTACTGTCCTGTCGTCAAAACTCAAAAGACGAGTATATTTTCCACTTGTTTTTATAAATAAATAATTATATAGTCCCTCAAGTTTGATCATAATTATAATTTCATCCCTTTTATTTGGTAAATATACTTATTAATCCATGATATTTGGATTGCTAAATTGTTTAGTCATTCTGTCTAAAAATTGTCATTATAGGGAGGTAAATATGTTGTAATTTTTGATTATTTGCTCCTTTATATTTAATATATCAGTACTATTTAGTCCCTCACGTTTACTATTGTTACTCGATTATTGGAGATAATAATTTTTTAAAATAAAAAATTAAATAGTTTTAACTGCACTAAGACTCATAGACTAATGGGTATATATTTATCAAATAAAAGAGATAAATTTATAATTATTACCGTACATAAACACTTAATTGCTTATTTTCTTGGAAGTTCTACAAAGATGTAGCAACACTGATGTCAGAAACAAAAGTCAAAATAGAATAATTTCAAGTTTTGCATTCAGATACTATTGAAATAAAGTGTTGAAACTTTTTTTTTTTTTTTTGTCTTTTTAAATCTGTTCAATAAAAGCAGTAGCCAGCGAGGCAAGAGCAATTGACAAATTGGCATGGCATTCACATGAAAATGTTGCGTTCTGTAGGCTGAACACTGAGATGACAACATAAAAGGCCCCATTTCCAACTTTCAAGTTTCAAATACGGCGTAAGTCCAAGTTCAGCTACTGAAAGAGGAAAGAGAAAGAAAACAAAACCTTTTTTAACATTTCCTTTTCATTTTTGGCATACAACTCTATTTTAGTTCTTCTGTTTTTTTTCTGAATACAACAAAATAATATTATCATAAAGGAGTGTAAAACTTAGTATTAGTTCATATTCAAGGTGATATCTTTAATTTATAAATTTAAGTTCTTGAGCTTGGTTTTAAACAAAGATTCAAATTTTTGGATACATTTCCTATTCATGATATTGATTAATATCATGACAATTTTATAAAAGCTTGCGCATTCTTAGTGTCGGATATCTTAGTTGATAATTTCTTCTTTGACATCTTAATCGATCAATCCTTATCTAAATTTTACTCTTCTTTGATTTCTTCATCAGGATGTAATCTCTTACTCTTCAAGTTGGTAAAAAAAAAATACAAGAAAATATTTAAAAAAAAAACGACAAAAATCTTCCATTCATATTGAGCAGGAATCTTTCTTTGATTATCTCCAGCCTGGATTCCAGCAAACAGGCGAAAATGTTAAAATGAGCCACAGAGAGAGGAGAGCTCCATGCCAAAGCCGAAGACAAGTCAGATAGAACTTAAAACTCCTTTCTTTATGTTGATAACTTATTTTGATTTTGGCAGAGTGGTCAAATGCCAGATCAAGATGTATCCAAATCTTATCAAAAGCAATCAGATTCAAATCTTTAACATTAATTGAATAATAAAAAAAAATACCCATATAGAATTCCCATTCACATTCAACATCTCATAATCTGGCATGTCAATCCAAATCCAATAATGAAGGTTTCACAATATAAACTGTACAGCACCAAGCTTCATTATAAACAAAAATTTGAGTACTTGTGGTTTTGTTGCAGAGTCACTACCAAAAATTTTCTTACACATGAATGAAGATATGAAGCTGTACAAATAATCAACATGCAGAAATGCAAAACCAAAGAACGAAGGAACAAATACTCTAGACATGTGTCTTATTGGAAAGAATCTCAGCTAATTTTGGAGACAGTAAACTGTGGAGAAGAATCATTTTTTTCTTTTACCCATGTGATTGTATTGTGAAAGAATAGTATCATAAGCTTGCAGATTCACCATAAGAATTCAAGAGGGAGTAGCAAGCTGAGGAAAAATTTGAGAATGGGTTTGTGAGCTGAGGGCATGGTTCAGGGAAAACAGACTCTGAAAAGCCAACAATATTTGAACATACCCAAGAATTTGAGGAGGCTGAAACAGTTAAGGAGACATTAAAGAGACAAATAGAGGTGAAGGGAGATTCCTGAATTCCTGTGAAATTTCCTGCTGTTGTGATGTTTGTACCAGTCACATCTCGGAAGGTGATTTGATCAATAACTGGGAGAGCATTAGGGTCAAATTTGTCATCAGGATGTAACCCATGATCGCCAAAGGCACCGAATGCCAGATTGATATTTTCTAATTCAATATCTGATATAAAGATTCTTTTAATGTAGCCACCTCTGCCTTTAGTTGTTCTAAACTCAATTCCACTAAATGAGTTGTATAGGTGGACCTTCTCCACATGAACATTAGAAATGCCACCAGACATTTCACTACCGAAGGCAATCGAAGAGCCTGAAGATGATTGGAGGTGGACCCTTCTTATGTGCACATCGCTGGTAGCTCTATCATAGGCAATGCCATACTCATCCCAACCGCTCTTGAGGGAAATGGCATCATAACCCATCTCAATTATGCTGTCCTCTATGCAAACGTTATTGGATGAATCTGTAAATGGTTACTATAATTAGGAAGAATAATCGGGTAGTCCACAGTGGACAGCAATATAATTCTGAAAATCAATTAGGTTTATCATTGAAACAATAATTGAAGAAGTTAAAGGAGCACAGATAGAGAAAGCCTTTTCTTTTAAAACAGTGGACAGAATTCTTGGAAGCCACCTAAAAAGAAGATTTTTCGCTATATGAAATAATGCAAATAAACAGCTGATTTATGGAGGATCCAAATATGAGCTGAAACGATTCAACCATATAACCAAGGTCCTAAGACTTTTAGCACCTTTTCTTAACATAACTGGTTCCAAGTAAGAGTTGAAACGGGAGAAACAGAAAGAGCAGATCATGTGAGCAACATCAATGTAACTCAGTTCCACAAACCTGGGACTATGCCAATCGTGTAAGGAGATTCTGGAGGGGCAGAGATTGACATATTTTGAACAAGCACATTACTGCATCAGAGATAAAATCACATTCACGTTTAAGTTACTCCATATATTGAAATTATCTGATAATCAAAGAACAGAGTTCAAAATAACAATTTGCATTTGCCAATATTACCTGCAATAAACTGGATGAATATTATATGCAGGAGCATTCAAGAAGGTAAGATTTGAAACTACTACCCGTTCAGATTCTATAAATTCCACTATATGAGGTCTGCTATAGTTCAAAGAATGGGAATTGAACCAATCCCACCAAACTGAGCCCTGGCCATCAATGGTTCCATTATCACCTATAACAGTTAAAACAATGTGTGAGAATACATGATAGATTAGAGAATGTAAAACAGCGGTGGAAAGAGGGAAAATGAAATTACAGTAGCACATACCAGTTATCACCACATCGCGCAACTTATATCCATTTATTAGACTTCGATATCTTCCACCAGGAAGTTCAATTCCACGACCATATGAGGGCAAAGGTTCTAAAACGTCCCAATGAGATGGATCCTACAAATAAGGGGAAGGGTAAGTCAAAAAGTGTAACTTCATATTTGATAAACCTGATAAATTTACATCACCAGAAGATACTTCCACTGTGTAATTGCATAAATAAAGTTAAAAAAAAAAAAATGAAATTGAACAAGAACATAAATAAAAAAAATTACCTGAAACCCAAGAATGACAGCTCCTTTCTCAAGGAAAAGTGTGAGATGGCTGGTAAGATTGAAACTTCCAGTGAGCCATTTTCCAGGAGGCACATAAAGCTGAGCACCACCCTTATCAGCAAAGGACTTGAGATAGAAAATGGCATTCTGGAAGGCGATGGTATTCAGCGTTTTCCCATCTCCAACAGCACCAAACTCCAAAATGGACACACTATGTGGTCTTGGGTCTATACTAGGCTTATAATCACACAATCCATTGCTTTCTTCTCCATCTATTCCAATAGCATTGATTAGTGCCAGCAGCAACAGCAATGCTACCTGAAATAGTGAGAAAAACAATTCTCAAAACAGATTCCACAATCACAGATCAATTGCAGTGAATATTAGAAAAGGAGTATATAAACATATATAGAAAAACAATGATGGTTCGTTGGATTTATAGAATCAATACAGTACAGTAAATTTACTTTTTAAGTGGATTGTAAAATGGTCGCAAATCCAACAAGAGAATAAGAACACAGAAACCAAAAGAATGTTCCCAAATTAATAGAATAATTCCAAATGTTGGTGATAAGTACGATTGATCATTTGAAAAACATGAATAAACCAACATTTTCTTTACAATAAACTGAAACTGGAGATATTGACTTGAGGTAAAACAAATGCAAAATGAGAGATCACTGTTAATAAAATGAAAATAAATTGTGAATAAAAGGAGAGATAGCAAGGAGACCATAATTTGCAAAAACAAACCTCAAATTTAAAAGGCTGAGGTATGGTTTGTTAAGTCCAAAAGCAAGAAAAGCAATGCAGTAAATAAAATAAGCTATGAGAAGTTAAAAAGGTCTAGAATCCAAAGAAAGAAAAGCTGTTCCAAACTACAGAAGCATAGAAAAACCAATAGAACACAACCCAGTATCCAAGATAGAATTCCACAGTCATCTAGAACAATAAAAGGAATAAAAGAATTCATTTTAACAAGTGTCCATATCGGTCATCATTTTCAAGGAAAAAGAAGGAACAACAATATCAGAAAAGAAAAAAATTTTCTAAAAGAAAAAGAAAGAAAAGCATAGTATATAATATATTTACAACAATATTAAAAATGAACTGAATTCCGTTTTATAGCCATTGTTGATTGACTCGTAACAGGAGATGAAAAGGCCAGAAAGGCAATCGAATAAGACCTTTAACGAATCTTCCATAAATCACAAATAATCATAGAATTCAAGCAATCGAGTTCCAAGATTTCCAGATTTGGCAAAAAGATAGAAAGAAAGAAAAAAGAAAGAGAGCCTAATACCCGGATTAAAAAAACAAAAAACAAATTAAAAAAACGTACTTACTGGCATCTTCATGAAGAAACAGCCTCTGCTTCTGCAAGAGATAAAGAAACAGAGCCAATATTGCCTACACAGCAACAGAAAGAACGAACTGCACCGGAAAAGAAAAGAAGAAGAAGAAGAAAGAACCACAAAAACAGGGGGCAAAATTTTCTGTAAGCTAGTGAATAATAAGCATTAATTATATATAAATGACGCGAAGGCTGGTGACATTTATTTTTATGAGACAAGGGAAATAATATGTATGTTTGGTAAGTAAGAAATGACAGCTTTTTTTTCTCTCCATGCAACAATATATTGAGAAATCAAACAAAACAACATGGTAAGTAAGCGCAAAGAGAATAAGGTAATATAATAATATTACTATATTAATATTAATAGCAAATTTATTGCCACTAATTGTTAATTACCGCTCTAAATCAATATGATTAATAACGTCTTTCGCCGACAAATTTGTTTGAAACGGCCCTCCATTACAGAGAGAGAGAGTGGGATTGGAAGAAGCTAAATATTAGCACCGGTGCTGGCTTACATTTGTTAAGATTTGATTTGTAAGAGAACAAAAATAAGTTTGGGTGTGATATTCTTACTTGGAGTCAGGTGAAACGGTGCACTGTTTTGTGATCTGTTGGTCGCCCAATTTGCCACGTCACGGGATTTAGTGTGGTTGTAGGAAAGAGTTAGTGAAACTATGGGTAAAAGGAATAAAATAAGGGAAGAGAGTGCATGGGGCATTGAGACAGCATGTGGGTTGACAGGGCGGAGAGGGAAGTGGGACCCACGTCAATCATAGCAAAGATGCTAGCCTGGCTTCAATCACTTGACAGACCATAATCCCTTTCACGAACCATATGCATATATATATATATGTATATGCTATACCGTATTTATACCAGCTTCGATTAAAACAGTCTTAACAATAATTAATTTGGCAATTAGTGTTACTTGGAAAATTAATTTCACAAATAAAAAATTATTTCAAAAAAATATATAAATCATGCTAATTTTGGGGGGCCAGAGGTGGGACATTTGGGTTCAATCAAAACGATACAATTTTTTCTGGGCTTTGGCCAACTAGCTTGGAAGATAAGTTCTTGGATGATCTGGACCACTGATCAAGAAAATTTAAGACCCTGTTTGGAGGTACTCTTACAATTACAGACATAAACGATTTGTCATCGTTATCACTTAATAGTATACCTTCCCTATTAAGGTAATTACAATTACAGCTATTTTTTATTTATTTTTTATTTTCATTATAACTGCTTAATTAGTCAATTACAACTCACAGAATTGTGTTAAAAGACATAAATATACTTTCCTTGCCTAAAAGGTGAAAAGTAAGTGTCTGTTTGTAATATTAGTGACAGTGTAGATATTCTTTTAGGAAATTTTGTAAATATTTACCTAATTGGCTGTGATTTTAATATTAATAAGAAATATAACATTGATCCGTCGTCTAATTATGGTTCGATTGAATCACAAACAATATGTTATTTAAATAAAGAAAGAAAAATAGAGAGATTCATGTAAGATTTTAAATTGATAATGTCAAAAATGAGAAAAAAAACGAACTCTCGTATTATTGTTCTAAATATAATTTAAATGTTGAAAAATCGCATTACCGTATGTTATAAATTAAATATTGTATATGGAAAAGAAATAATATTGTAAAATTCTTGAAATAAATTATTACCTGGAAGTATGAAGGATGGAGAGATAATATTATTTTCAGAAACTAATTAATGTTTAATAGTACTTTTTTTTTTTTTTTTTTTAAATTAATATTGTAAATTCTTGAAAATAAAAATTATTACCTGGAAGTATGAAGGATGGAGAGATAATATTATTTTCAGAAACTAATTAATGGTTTAATAGTACTTTTTTTTTTTTTTTTTTTTTAATTTTCTCTCATGGTTTCTCCCTTTGGATACTTCTATACCACTTTTTTTTGCATTGCCCCACTGCGCAGCCTTGAGATAGAAATAGCTTTAGGAACTTAATTATAAACAGCTTTTTAATTAATTAAGAACTTATTAATTATTTAAAAGCTAATTAAGTAAGGGCACTTTTTGAATTTCCATCTTTAAAATAATAATCTTAACTCATAATTTATAATTTTGAGCAGTTAACTCTAAATATATTCATACAACTAATCAACTCAAACCTACTAGATCACTCAAAAGCCATGAGAGTTTTGGACACCCACCAAAAAGTATTGCTTAATTAATAAGAATGTGGGGACAATGTGAAATGGCCAAAACACTCTTGTGCCTCATAATATTTCTTCTTTAAGAGTTCTGCAATTTCAACATTTGGTCATGTCTCACATGCTAAATGTTGCAAATATTGTGTCGTGAATTTCCATTTTTACGAGCTAATTGAAAACTAAAACTTAATTTTTTATTTTTAATTTTAATTTTGTTCTCCAAAAAAGTTCTACTTAGTACCTGATAATAAATATTCATGGTGTTTCCACCCGTTTATGCCTATAAGACTAATTCAAACTAAGCCTGAGATAAAATTTCGGTGGTTCTGAATTATGAAGCTTAACTTTATAAGTATATAAAGTTTTATTTGAAATATAGTTTTACTATTACTGATCTAATCATCTGTTAGTTCATAAAGCTTGAATAACATAAAAGATTGCAAGGCTGTAAATTTGAATCATACTGTAATTAACCTGAGTCGTATTAAAAAGTACACGTGTATAGTTTCCTGAAACGTGATGCCAAATGGACGTTGGATCCTCATGAAATCACCAAGGTTTCCTAATGAAGGGTACTTAACATTCTAAGACAATAATTTAACCAGACATGTGATTATTAAACCTATTTGTAGGGATTATAGTGACACAATACCTAACATGGAGAAAGAATGGAATGGCTTTCATGAAACTACGTGCATATATGTGTTTTTATAACAACAATTTATAATCAAATACAAACATAGAAATAATTAATCACAATGTCAAAAATACGAATCTTTTTCGGGCAAATATTAGAGTTTAAAAATTTTTAGTTCTTTCACTGAGATACGATTTGCAAGGATTAAATTTGTGTTTTCACCGTTACGGGACGAAAAATTCGTGTTTATTATACATTAGACCTAGAAATTCCTGAAGAATAGATAACATGGGGTTGGTCTGAACTCTTGGAACCTCATGACTCATATACAGTGGAAGTATCCAATGTTTTTGCTGTAATTTGTTAGGTCCAACAAAAGCACCAAACTTGATTGGATAGTAGCATCCTATGCTTTGTTTAAATATATATATATATTACATTATAGTACGCTTACAAGACCAAATTAAGCTCTATGAGCTTCGAACACATATCCTTGATGGAATAAAACTCAGACATGAAAGATGAAGATGTTGACTAATGCACGCCTGTCCCCACCCATAAACATGACTTTTGGAATTGTTCTAAAGGTTGAATAGTAAGAAAATAGTAAAAACGGCAGTGTTTTTTATTCACCTGTCACCCAATAGTGACAAAATTCCATATAGCAGAGAAAAGAACCCTAACCCCAACCAGGGGAAACTGCTCTGCTATTAGCTATATAGATATGATGATTATTATCTGGAAAAAAACACAGACATAGATTCAGACATAAACACCAAAAATGAAAATTATATATAAAGAAACACAACCCAGCAAATAAGATCTTGTCTGTGCATTATTCTCCTAGAAAAGATTACATGACATGATTGAAGGAAACGATTTCCCTACAAATCAGACAAAGTATTTTTCTCTGCAAGTACGAGGCCCTCCACCTAATCACCATGCATGGCCATCTCTTTTTCCATTTTTGCAGTTCTGTTCTATGGTTGGATGAAAAACTAATCTTTTTGGAGTTGGAAGCTCTCCCCAAGATGCTATTTCTATCATTCGATCTTTCGACCAAGTGAGGGATCTAGCGAAGATATATGCTGTTACAGAAACAAGAATAAGCGTTCTAAAAATTTGGTGATAATGCCACAAGCTAATAGATTAATTAACCGTTCTAACAAGACAAGAATTTTTTTTTTTTTTTTTGGCTGCTGGTTGAAGAAAGAATCCAGAAATAATTATTATAAGGTAAATATATATAGATATTACCGAAGCAGAAAATCTTGAATCTTGAATTTAATGGAAGTGTTTGAAAACGCACTGGTCGGGTGGGTTTTTAACCTGAGGCAGAGGTTGTCCTTTTCTTGGCATTGCTACGTTTTTAGCAACCCCACATATCTTGGTAGACAAGGACTTGAGATCGTCCTAATTCCACACTTATAACTTATAATTAACTACCAGACAAAAAAAATGATAATCGGTGAAACTCTCATATGATCTTACCACATTATTACCATTTATAGAATAGGATACTTAAATCTCCAAAGGTTATTTCCATAATTGTATCAAAATCAAATGGACCGTTACAACGACATGAGTGGTGGAATTTGGGCCTATATTATCTGATCCGGGTCGGTATATCTTGCCGAAGCCCAATACTGTTCAAGTGGACTTGATATGTGAATTTAGGACCCAAAATATATAACTGGCCCATAAATTGCTGTTACCATCTCACTGGTATCGCTCTCGCCACAACCAAAACCCTCAAAAAACCCCCAATACAGCTGAGAAGTGAAGCTCAAAACAGAGAGGAGCAGCTCGAGCAGTGCTCAAATGGCGGCTAAGAAAGAAGAAAGCAACAAAAAGAAGAGAAAGGAAAACCTAGATGGAAAGACCGGAGAAGGTAGTTCACCTTCCAAAAAGCAGAAGCTCCTTGGTTCAAATCCCGTGACGGGGAAATCGAAGAAACCTTCTAAGCCTTTTAAAAAACCGCGAAAGCCGAATGAAATGGAATCCGGTAAAGATAAGCAGCCGCCGGAAACAAAGCGGGAGCGTCGACTTCGAGCTAAGGTTTTATTTTTAATCATCAACAATAACAATAACAATTCATTAGTGGACATTAAAATGTTTCTCATTTTTGCAGTTTGTAAAATTCGTTTGTTCATTTTTTTATTTTTTATTTCTTGACTCTTCGCTTGTCTATTTATTGTATTTGGTGGATTGGAATTGAATTCTAACTACTAATATGGCTTTACATTTTTCTTTTTATTTTAGGAATTGGCAGAGGCTAGGAAGAAGAAAAGAAAGCGGCATTACAATTTGGAGCAAGTATGTAATTTTTTTTTTTTTTTCATTTTCTGTTTCGTATAAAATTTTCAGTTTATCAATATAAGATGATGTTGGTATTGAACCTGTAAATGTGCATACATGGAAGTTCAAGCCTTGCCTTTTGCTGATAAAGTCATTTGCCATGGGGTTTGCAGTACCATGTGCTAAACATAGTTGGAGTGGTTATATAAATATTCAATAGCTTATCCTGAAAGTTTGTTCGGTAATCTAACTGTTGGTTGAAGTAATTTTCTTTTATCGTTGAATAGGAGCTTGCATCACTCTGGGAGAAGATGAGGCAGCGTAATATTGCTAAAGAAGAAAGATCAAAGTATGTATTTCGGTTTTAAGTTTTTAACATAAATCTATTCACAAATTTTTTTTTTTTTTTAAATTCCTGGCGTCCCCTTCTAACCTCCTCCAAAAATCTCCAATCTTATCAACTTGATGTTTATAAATTATTTGAAGGATAATTAGTGAAGCTTTGCAAAAGATGAAGGGAAAAATTCCAGAAATTGCTAGCTCCCATGTTTCTTCTCGTGTTTTGCAGGTGATTTTCGCCTATTTATTTCACCTTTTTTTTTTCTCTTCTTAAAAAAACAAATTCACATATTGTAGCATTAACCATTGTTTATTCTGTTTCTTTTCAACCAGACCTGTGTTAAGTATTGTTCACAAACCGAAAGGGATGCTGTATTTGAGGAGCTTAAGCCGCATTTTCTTAACTTTTCATGCAACACCTATGCTGTTCATCTGGTGAAGAAAATGTTGGATAATGGTAAGTTTGGTGTTAAAAGAATAAAAAGAGGAACCCCTACTGTTGTTATATAAATGTACTACATGTACTGTTTGCAGCTTCTAAAAAGCAGCTGGCAGAGTTTATCTCCAACCTCCATGGGCAGGTTGCTTCTCTTCTTCGACACATGGTTGGATCAGTTGGTATGTTTCTTGCCATGAAGTTTTACTTGGTTGCAAGTTAGTGTAATTTTCTCATGTCTTTCTGCTCCATTGATATTATTGCTTTTTTTTGTCTTAATTTATTGTAGTTATTGAGCATGCATACCAGCTTGGAAATGCAACTCAAAAACAAGAGCTTCTGCTGGAATTATATTCTGCTGAGCTTCAGTTGTTCAAGGACCTTACCTTAATGAAAGAAAGCAGGTAAACAATTCACTCCAATCCAATACTCTGCCACCAGGTTGTTGGCCTTGCTTTATAATATTACATGTTGTTTCTATTTTCTTGCTGCTGAAAGTAGTTTCTCTTGTATTGGTACATTTCAGATTGCTTGATGTAATCTCAAAGTTGAACCTACAGAAGGCTTCAGTCTTGCGACACATGACTGGTGTGATTCAGCCAATTCTTGAGAAGGGGATAGTTGACCACTCTATTATACACAGAGTGCTGATAGAGTATTTTAGCATAGCTGATAAGGTGATTTTAGCAACCCTCTGTACATTCTCATGTGGATTTCTTGAAGTATTCTTTGCTGGAGAACTGCATTTTTCTTGCAGCTTCAATTTCCTTTCTAAGTTGCATTTTCTTTTTCTAAGTTAAACTTTCATATAGTCCTCTGCAGCAGAAGTAATTCAGCAACTGTCGGGTCCACTTCTTGTTCGAATGATCCATACAAGGGATGGATCAAGGATCGGAATGCTCTGTGTAAAACATGGAAGTGCTAAGGTATGTTTCTAGTTGTTTATTCATTTAACATTTGGAAAGTGATCCTTTATACCTATTTATTGTGAATTGCTATAATTTTTTTGTCTATCTAGGAAAGAAAGAAGATTGTCAAAGGAATGAAAGGCCACATAGGCAAGATAGCTCATGATCAATATGGAAGCTTGGTAATGATCCTCTTTCCATGTCTGACTGCTTTAAGACTATTCTTCTTCACCTCTTTGTTATACTTCTTGTGAATAAAATCATTTTAAATTATTGATTTTCTATTTGAAAAAAAACAGTTTTTGTTTTTAGATCATGAACTCCATATGTATCAATTACTATTCACTATTCAGGTTCTTGCTTGCATTGTTTCAACTGTTGATGACACAAAGCTTGTAACAAAGGTTAGTTTTATCTTGCTAGGCTTTCAATGAACTGGTCATTATTTGTGTTTGAATGTTTCTGACTTTTTCGTTTGTATACCTTCTTATTGAATGCTCCTTGTCACAGATTGTCATCCGTGAGCTTCAAATGATTCTAAAGGAGCTTGTTTTGGATAAGGTTTCTAATCTTTCTCCATCTTATTAATCAAATTATTAATAAATGCATTAAGATGTCATATAGTTTTGAGTGAGAAATAAGGGGGGCTCCAGTATTCCACTAAGTGCTTAATGAATTGTGTAGTACACATTCCAGGCTCGTTTCCTAACTCTATACTTTTCAACCCAGGAAAAGGCCAATGCCTTCTAAACTGCAATATTTTTTATAAGTACTCTGACATGGATCATGGGGTTATATATTTTCCAGTAGTATATATTGCAAAACTTTATGATATTTATTAGGAGGTATGTCTCCTTTGACCTGCTTCTGAGCATTTCTTTCTTTTCATCATATGTTTATTTAGAACGGAAGGCGCCCATTACTACAGCTCCTTCATCCAAATTGTTCACGCTATTTCAGCCCTGATGATATCGCTGCTTTCAATTTATCTATTCCCTCTCTCAGTGCCAAGGTAATGAGAGTTATTTATCCTCTTTAACTTTCTTAGTTGTATTTTTCTCTTATTCATTCTCAATGTTATGTGGAATATTGTATTTTCCCATAATTTTCAGAGTGAGTTGGAAGAAAAGTCCGACACAAAGTCTTCAAAGTATGAAGAATCTAGTGACAAGGACATTGGCACTAAAATCACAATTGCTGGGGCCGATGAAGATGCAATTTCTGAGGACATTCTCTTCACTGATGGTGGAAAGAAAGATCCTTCTTTAAGAAGACAAGAGTTGTTGATCAGCAGTGGCCTTGCTGAGGTTTTCTATTTTTCAGACTTGCAGATCTCTAGTTTCATTGATCTGTTTATCTTTCTCTGTCTCTGGCACTTGTTCCAATTTTTAATCTTTTCCCCATTCTTTATATGGGAGACTTTAACACTTTCATTTCACATGTTTCAAAACAAAGACTAACTCGTCTGCTACTGGGTCCCACAGAACCTCATCGATGTATGCATTGAGAATGCAGGAGAGTTTCTCAGATCAAATTTTGGCAAGGAAGTCTTTTATGAAGTAAGTCAATTTGCTTACAGCTGCTGATATTTTGTCCTAGGGAAAATCTTAAATTCTCTTGCTAAATCTGTTAGGGTTATTATTTGGCTTGTCATTCTACAGGTTTCTGGTGTCTATTTATTCCTTTTGTTATGCATACCTTTGTAAATCTGTATTATATTTATGCCTATACATTTGTGCTGAATATAGGTTGCAACTGGCGGTGCTGGTGGCATTCTCCACCCAGAGCTTGATGACAAGTTGAACACCTTGCATGACGCTGTAGCATCTCTTGCAGCAGAGCCTAAATCTGAAGAATCAGAACTGGAGCATGTCCTTGAAAATTTTCACTCCAGTCGAACCATTAAAAAATTAGTTATGGATAGCTCGACCTTTGCTACTACATTATGGATGAAAGCTTTGAACGGGAAATGTGAGTTGTGGGCCAAAGGTCACAGGTATAATCTGATTTAGAAATTTGTTGTGATACATATGGTGTTAACCTCTTTGCTGTCGGCCTACATATGAATGTTAATCGTTTTGCTCTTATGCTGCAGTTCTAAGGTAATATGTGCTTTCTTAGAATCTTCGGATGCCAAAATATCTGGAGTAGCCAAGGAAGAGCTGCAGCCACTGGTAGATAGTGGCAAGCTCAGAATACCTGAAAACAAGCAAAAACCAGGAAAAGAAGGTTAAGCTTGCAATGATTTTTCCTCGAAGAAACAAGCACAGAATCTTGTGGTCGAGGATTCAATTGAATTTTGCCTCTCAGCCCAGCCAAGAAGTGATTTAGAAAATTGTTGTAACATAATGAAAGAACTGAGCAGAGTGCTTAGAGCTAGAAAAAGATAAAAATTGACATTTTGTGCCAAGTTAGTAAAAATGAGAGCATCTAATATTATTATATGAATTTTTTGTTCAACAAAATTTCCTACAATATAGTTTCTTTCTGTTGTGGATCCTTGATTCTCTGGCGCCTACTACATTTTTCCCATATCCTTCTTAAGGGCTTGTTAGTTGTGAAGTTCTGGAGGCATTTTAGCAGTATCTGACGAAATTATAAACAAACAGGATATGAAACAATTTTCCCTTGACAGACAAGCAAAATCTAGTGAAAGAGAAACACCTAATTCTGATTTATGAAGTGACACAAGCAGATTTGGCCTTAAATATTCGTCTGACAGGTCTGTTCTCGAATATTGGACAAACATATCTTGCTTTTTCTTGGTCATAATTTGATGGATTTTGTCTCTGCGAGTACAAAACATCCTCAGGTTTCTTTTGAATTGGGTTCCTGACGTGAGGGTAGCCTTCAAATTGATAGTCAGATGGATCAAAAATTGGAGATTCTCTTCGAGACCTGCAACGAGTGTTGCTCTTGTATAGGCTTTGTGGTGGATTGAACAATGGGGATTCATTCCGTAATGTGGCATTAGCCTTCAAACAGTTCTCCATTACCTTAGCTTCCTCTTTGAATCTCTCTCTGATATCCTTCCAGCCTTGCAAAATTCGGCCTGATCTTGAGCGGTTTGCAGGTTTCTTTTCCTGGAGTTTTGTTGAGCAATTCAAAGAGCTACAGCGGATGTATGGAACTCTATTGCACTCTATACAGAAGCTTTTCCATCTCTCTAAGTTGAACGCTTCTCTCTTTACATTATCAGAAAGACAAGAGTAAGCCTGCAATAAATTAGAAAGTTAGATTCTAAAACATAAAAGCAGTCTTTTAAAGATCACAAAGAAAGTGTATTGCAAATGAATGCTGTGATACCTAACCTGCAGATGCTGTTGGTGAAATTTAGCTGTCTAAAGAGTAGTTTCTGCTGTTTAACTTAAATATTCCGTTCCATAATTATGAACCTATCACGTGAGAGAACCCTATGTAGTAGTACTACATGCTATATTCCATTTCACGAGTTCAATAATGAACTGTATTTGCATGACCATTTTAACTTTACAGCATTTGGAGTTAGTTGCTTGTGGAGGTTTTACCAACCACATCAATGGCAATTACCCAAAACTTTGCTTAATTCTTACATAAATATATACAATTCACAAATTTATTAAATAGCTGCATCATTATATCTAATAGTAGGAGATTTTTGAACATGATATGGTTGTCTAACCTCCAAGACTAGCTTGAAGGCAATCTCAGCCTTGGGATGCTTGTTCTTATCTGGGTGAAGCTGCAATGCTGCATCAAGAAACAATTTTTTCTTTTAACAAACAGAGACAGGCAAGAAAATCACATTACAAAATTTAAAACACCTAGATTCATTGCCTACCAAGTTTATGATACCGCTTTCGTATAACATCAATATCTGCATCTTCTTCTACCTGTAATAATTAAATAGATACAAAGAAGAGGTTCTCACTGAGAAACAAGAAAGGAAGAGAATTAATTAATGATGAAGATCAAGAAAGATAAAGACACGTACTCCAAGAATGTGATACCAGTCGATAAAATGTGATTCAGAAGGCCTGCAAGGATGCCTATGAGCACAAGAAATGGAACGGTTGGATAGAGAACAAATCTCCAGTACCAACTGGGATTTGATGGTATCTGATTCTTTACCCATTTTTAGAGCAAGAAAATGGAACCGACCAAGAAGAAGAAGGAAGAGAGAGGGAGAGAGGTGGATATAATATGATAAAAAAATGTGGAATTTAAATGTGGGTGTGCGTTATCTTGGTTTTTAAGAAGAAGAAGAAGAGAGTGATTAAGAAGGTGGAGTGGAGCGGTTAAGAAAAAAGAGCAATGTTTGCGGGAGAGATTTTTGAAAGTGGATCAGTTGGTGGGAAGTGTAGAGACGGAGAGGTTAACGTTAATTTTGACACGTTCGGTCTGTTATTAAGCGTTCTTGGTGTTTCCTTAATCCTTCTTTAACTAAGGTTAGTTTTAAATTTCAGTTTAAACTCTAATAGTTTTTCTTTAAAAATTTTTAACAAATCAATAAGATAATACAATTTTATATAAAAAATTATATAATTTTAAACATTATTTATAATTAATTTAATGTATAGAGGAGCTCATTCATTGAAAGTAGATAAATCTTTCCTTTCATACATTGAACAACATCGGTAGAGTTAATAGTACTAGTATATTGAATAAAATGAGAAATCACACGTGAAAGCTGGAGCGTCCAGTTGGGCGGGAGGTGAGTGACCCACAGTCCCCACCCACGCACATATATTGCCCAGTTGAATCTTTAAACTCAGGCATAAAAAAGCTTCGATCAAGGAGTAGGTGAAACCCATTCTGCTAGGCCCTTTACCAACAAAAGCAAAAGCTTATTAACCTTTATATATAGTTTCTTCTTCAATAAAGAAGAAGGGAAAAAGAAATTTTATGTTATATTCAGAGATTGGAAAGCTTCAATTCTTATTTTATTTTTGCCCTCTGTTTGTGTATAGTTTAATAGTTGGGATCAACATTCAACACCATCAATATCTAATCTTTTTCTCCAAAACAAAAACAGCCTTTGACCTCACCTTAGATTCCAGACAGCTTTCAAGACTTTTTCTTGCATTGCATTTTCCATCATTGGACCAACCAAACATAAATTTTATTTTCTATTCAATTCAAAAATTGGGCATTTGGTCACTTTTTTCTCTTTTTTTTTTTATTTTATTGGAGTACTGATAAACACTGTAAATAATATAAACAGCGTTTTGCGAGACTTAGATTCATGTCAAGTGGAGTAGTTGAATTGGAAAAAAAAAAAAAAAAGCCAAATTGGCGGAATATATGGAGGATTTGGAATTTCAAAGTAGAGAAATGAAATAATGTTGACTCTATTTGGAAAATCAAGCTAATTTTACTTAGCTCAATGCAGCTCAATCTTCCTAGCAATAGGACAGGACATAGGTAATGCACATATCTATAAGGAGCCCTATGATTTATCGTATTGTGTGCTTCACATTTGGATACATTCTGTGTCGGTTTTGGTTTTTTGATTCTTTGTAGGTGTATTTATAAAATGGAAATAATTTATTTATAAATTTAAAAATACAGAATGAAATTTATTGGGCTGTTCTCTCCCAAATCGCGTTCGCTTAGAAGTTTGCATCTCTTGGGCTAGATCTAGCAACCCTCCAGTCCAGTCCATCAGGATGTGAGCCCATTCACTTAGTGGGCCAACACAGAAGGACCCATTTCACCATTGTTTTTTTCTTTTTCTTTTTTTTTTTTTTTGACTCTAAAAATTATTCCTTTCATTGTAGAGTTAACAAGCCAGAAAGGAATTTAATAATAATAATAATAATAATAATAATAATAATAATAATAAAATGATATGACTTATGACTATGAGAGCAATTGCAAATGCTTGTTTGTTCAAAAGGATATAGTGGTCCCACTGGTGCATGGACGCAACAAACAGGTATATTTGATGAACCACCACATGTATAATGTATTGTATTTCCTCCTCTATTTCATTTGTGATGTGGCATATTTTAATATTAATATTAACATTATTATTATTATGCGCCGCGACTAATCTTATTTGCCTTTATCCTTCTCAATGGACACGCACTGTTTTCAACTTGGTGCTTAACGTACGCACCCTTTTTATTTAATTTTAATACTAGTAGAAAGTTATATATTAATTAATAATTAATTGATTGCTTTTATCTAACTAAATGAATTTAATTATTTTGGGATAGAGACTTATTATTATTTTTTCACCTATTATAATAGATACTATTAACTCTACCTGTACGTTAACAACTCCATGCAATTACCAAATCACCCTCCCTAGACCCCTACAGAAGAGTAATCTACTAATCATTGAAAGGCAACGGGGCGTTTTCAGTAATTTGACACCCCATCTTTCAATGCTTTTACTAGATTTCGAGACCAAAATTGAAAATTCTTTTATCTTTTTCGAATTCGACACATTTCAATCTGAAACCTCAAATCTGTTATCTATCATCATCATCTTCTTCCATTCCTTTCTTCTGAAAACCTCTCCATTTCCTTTCCTCAATTTAGCTTTACCTTTTTTTTTTTTTTTGGCTTTTAAATTAATTTCTCATTTCCTATTTATTTATTTCCTTGTTTTTAAGCTGCTGCGATAATTCATCATTTCATTCACAATTTAGAATTTCGAGGTTTTCCCAACCCTCTATTGAGATTTCCTTCTACGATCTCGACTCATTCCATTCATGGCGGCGGGGACAATGGCGACCGCCGCCGGAGCGGTGGTGTTGTTGTACTTTGTGTTGAGTCGGAGACTGGCGGCGAAGGGAGGAGGGGATGATGGCGATCAGAGCGGGGATTTGTCCAAATCGAGATCGGGGAGAAGGAGAATCGTTCGCCGGCCAGCGCAAGCACCGGCGACATGGCTTGAGACAATAACTACGCTTTCTGAGACGCTTAGGTTCACGTATTCTGAGACTTTAGGGAAATGGCCAATTGGTGATTTGGCTTTTGGTATCAACTATCTCTTGCGGAGGCAGGTAGGTTTGTGCAAATTCTATCAATTTTAGGAGTTAGATTTTAGCTGAACAGTAAACATTATCGCTTAGCTTTTTTTAATGTTTAGCTTAGTGGAGCTTTCTTTCTTCTTCTTTCTTGTCTTAATATTACAGGGTAATTTACAAGTCGCAAGTGTATATGCTGGTAATAACTGTGTAGAGCTAAAAGGCCCTGAAATTATAGCAGAGTTGAAAAGGCTGTTGAGATTGCTAACCCTTTGCATGTTCTTCTCCAAGAAGCCCTTTCCGGTGTTTTTGGAGTCCGCCGGATACTCTCTGGAGGACGTCCTTCTTCAGAAGCCTAAAGCAGGGGTGAGTTACAATCCTGCCTCATATTCCTATTTGATTTAATATTGATGTAAAATAGTACAGAGACTTGCTGTCATAACTGGCTTTCTTCCCAGAATTTGTAAAGCTTATTGTCTTCATTTGTGAATGTGTTATTAAAATGAATACTCCATTAATTATTATAGTGCTAATTGCAGCTTCTGCAGCCAGCTTTCACAGTTATTCGTGATAAAGGTTCAAAATGTTTCCTTTTATTAATTCGTGGTACTCATAGCATAAAAGATACTCTGACAGCAGCGACTGGGGCTGTGGTTCCCTTTCACCATTCGGTTCTACATGATGGTGGGATTAGCAATTTAATTTTAGGATATGCACACTGTGGAATGGTTGCTGCAGCTCGGTGGATTGCTAAGCTCAGTACTCCATGCCTGCTTAAGGCGCTCAGTGATTATCCTGACCATGAAGTTAAGGTAATTGCAATACCTCTTGTGTGAGTGTCATCTTGCCATATCCATTTCACTGGCATTTCTTAACATTTTGTTATTTCACGCATGGAAATGTTACTGGCTTCTTTTGCATTTGACTATCTGGTGCAAAATCTGTTTTCAAACTATCTATGTTTTTCTAACTGAAAAACATGCATGGAAGAATTATTTTCAGTTTTCTTAACTTCGAAGTGCTTAACAAAGAAGGTAATTCGCAGCTAACTGAGCTACCTTTATGATTTATTGATAAATGCTTTGCTATGTTCATTTACAGTCTGTTATCAAGATAAATGATATAATAGACATTATATAGAAGCATGTATTACAATTTTCCCTTTATATGGACTTTGCATCTAATGCTTCAGTAATTATTTTCAGATTGTTGGGCATTCACTTGGTGGGGGTACTGCTGCATTATTAACATATATTCTTCGGGAACAGAAGGAGTTCTCTTCTAGCACTTGTGTCACATTTGCCCCAGGCATGTATTAATTGTTACTGATCTTACTATTTCTTTCATTTTACTGGTTCTTATACTTTCAGTGTTTGACTTCTACATTTGTTCACCATGACTAATTTTATGTCCTAGATTTGCTGCAAATGTCTTGTTTTGGATAGGATTAGGATATGGAGTTCATATGCTCATTCCTACAATGTGCCAAATTAAGGAGACTTTCAGATGTAGTCTTTAGGGATTTGCAGCTACATCTTTTCTTTTTTGGCATCGGTGAACTGATGGTTGCTATCTGTTTTAGATGGTGTTAATTTTTCTGTTTACGTGATCACAAAATCTAATTGTGAATCTTTAATATAATGGATTTAGCAATGTGTGTGAAGGGTGTAGGTTGCTGCTCTTTGCCTAGGATTTCATGATGTTATGTTATTTGTGTAAAAAAAAAATTGAAACTTATGATTAATCCAGGCAGGCTGAAAGACCTGAACTTTGGGTGCTTTAGGAAGTTAGCTGGTAATCTTCAAGGATACTATTGGGGTAGACTAAGGATATGAGAGTGTAATTAATAAAAGGAAAATGCAATGATTTTGTTCAGGATTCATCTGAATGATATACTGAATGGTGTCTGAGGAGGTGTTTCTAATGTCTGAACAAGAATAAAACAATAAAAATAAATCTGACCAGACTAGCTGTCAACAAGCCCTATTAACCTCGAGCCATGCTACTGTTGTCTAAGATCTCAAATTTACCTTTTGGAAATGGGATTTTCTGCTCTTTTAAACCTCTTGATCAGTTGTACTAAACCTAAAACAACAAACTAATAAATTCTGTGAAATGTACTTGTTTGACATAAAGAACCTAATTGGCTTTGTCAATGTCTTCTGCAACATTTATGTGTTTGTAGGATGGAAATTACAGTTAGAGTTGGCACACTGTGTGTTTATGACAAACATAAATTTCACTTCTGTGACACTCCTCAGTGTTCCTAGAGGGCAAGGAGGGGCAGAAGCAACATAGTAGAGTACTATAACATGCTTCTTGGATGGTATGATATTGTTCTCTAAATGCGTTGAACTGCATTATCTGCAGCTGCTTGTATGACATGGGAATTGGCAGAATCAGGGAAGCACTTCATTACAACCGTTGTCAATGGATCTGACCTGGTGCCTACATTTTCAGCTGCTTCTGTTGATGACCTTCGCTCTGAGGTGATATTCACTCCAGCTAGAAATTGATGTTTATTATCTTGTAATATGGAATTCTTATCTTTAAATTTGTGGCCAGGTTACAGCATCTTCTTGGTTAAATGATCTGCGGGATCAGGTTGAGCACACTAGAGTCTTAAATGTTGTCTATCGCTCTGCAACTGCTCTGGGATCTCGTCTGCCATCTATAGCTAGTGCCAAAGCCAGAGTTGCTGGTGCAGGGGCGCTTCTGCGGCCTGTTTCTAGTAGCACTCAGGTAAAATCTAACTTGCTCTTGTGGTTCATATGCACAAATAAGAAGTTTCCAATTAGCCACTCATTACATGAATTTACAGGTTGTAATGAAGCGGGCACAAAATGTTGCCCAAGCTGTTGTCAGAACACGTTCATCTCTATCATCATGGTCATGCATAGGGCCACGGCGTCGCGCTGTAGCTTCACCAAAAAACTCTATGGTGGAAGATCTGCCAGAAGCTTCTGTAGTATCTGAAAGTTCTGAAACTCTTTTGTCCGAAGTGCAAACAGACTCGGTGCAGGAGAAACTAGAATGTAATTCAAGTGGTGGATCAGGGCATGATGATACTGAGGAAGATGAACCACTTATTTCTCATGATAGAGTAATTAGTTCATCTAACATTGAGGATGTTACTGAAGGTGAGTTATGGTATGAACTGGAGAAGGAGCTGCAGCGGCAAGAGAATGAAGTGGATATTCGGGCTCAGGAAGAGGAAGCAGCTGCAGCAAAAGAAATTACTGAGGAAGAGAATGTTCTGGCCAATGCTGCTGAATCCAAGAACCCCATAACTCCGGCAGATGTTCTAGACAACCACCAGTTTTATCCGCCTGGTAGAATAATGCATATTGTTTCCACGCCTTCATCTGATACTGCTAATTTAAATAACGATGAACCCACCGAAGAACGTGCGGGTATATACGAGACACCTAGAGAACTGTACAGTAAGATCCGCCTTTCAAGAACTATGATTAATGATCATTACATGCCTATGTATAAGAAGATGATGGAATTGTTAATCAAAGAACTGGAAAACCATGAGGATTGTAATTGTACCATGTTAGAAAATTAGATATAGAAGGAAAATGAAAAAAAAAAAAAAAAAATGTTAATCAAGAACCTGGAAAAACCATGAGGATTGTAAAATATGTACATGGTTAGAAAATTAGATATAGAGGAAAATGAAAAAAAAAAAAAAAAAGAGTGATATCATTGCATATTCATGTTAGCAAAAATTATCAGTAAATGGCTACAAATTAATAGAAAATCGCATGGAAAGTTCAGCTAGAACTTTGTGGTGCATAATGTTCCTCAACAGATGATGTATGGTCATTGCTATTGCTGTTTCAATTCCGCACGCTAACAGGATTTTCAAATGTTCAAGAGGTATAATATTGTCAAAAAAACATGGGAATTAAGTTATTTTTTGAGATTAAAGTGCAATTAAGTTAATTTGTTTTATATTTTTATTAATTTTATTAAAAAATAACTATTTAATATTTTTCTTTTTCAATATTAATACTTTTTAATTAAATCATTTTAAAAATGATAAAAATGTCGTGAAATATTACTTTGAAAAACTTCATTTTGGGTTAAAATGGCTAAAAATATTAAAATTACAAAATAATATATTCACCAAGGAAAATGAAAAAAAAAAAAAAAAAGAAGGATATATTGCATATTCAATGTTAGCAAATTATCAGTAAATTGGCTACAAATTAAATAGAAAATCCAGTGGAAGTTCACTAGAACTTGTGGGTGCATAATGTTCTCACAGATGATGTATGTCATTGCTATTGCTGTTTCAATTCCACGCTAACAGGATTTTCAAATGTTCAAAGGTATAATATGTTCAAAAACAACATGGGAATTAAGTTATTTTTTGAGATTAAGTGCAATTAAGTTATTTGTTATATTTTTATTAATTTTATAAAAATAACTATTTAATATTTTTTCTTTTCATATTAATACTTTTTATTAAATCATTTAAAAATGATAAAAATGTCGTGAATATTACTTTTGAAAAACTTCATTTTGGGTTAAAATGCTAAAAATATTAAAATTAAAAAATAATATATTCACCTCAAAAATTTTAATTATAAATATTTTAGCAGCAACCAAGAAATAAATAGTTCAATAAGCATGGGATTATATAAAAAATTGAGTATCTTGAAAATTGAGAGACTTAATGAGCCCCACCGGGGGCGAGGCTTCCAAAAATTGACGGGCGAGACAACCTAAAGTAGGGCTGTACTCGCTCGCCTAAAGGAGGTGTGTTCGATGATACAAGGTGTTGGCACGACCCGCCGTCTCTAAACGATCATTGACGAGTCGCCTTTCACCCCTAACAGGACGAGTTAAGGATTTTTAGGGAGCTGCATCCATATTTATTGGCTAACTCAAAACTCTCGCTCTCTATGTTTTTCGATGTGGGATTTAGCTTTGTACATACAAAGACAAAAGAAACCGTTGAAAAAGTCAAAAAGCTTGGGCTTTTCAGCGACAGTGAGTATTGATTATAAATAAATGAACTATCTAATTGTGAAATTGCAAGCTCTATTAAAGCAGCAGTCACAAAAATTATTCCTGTTCCTACTATTATTATTATTATTATTAGTAGTAGTATCTAAATTTACTACACAGTAAAATGTAAATTTGTGAATGGATTTCATAAAACATTTTTTTGTTTGGTTAATTCGATTTGATTAATTAACTTTAGAACTGTAAGTTTGTAACAACACAATGCTAGAGAAAAACCCAATAACTCTCGTATTGTTGAGCAAAAATTTATTAGTTAATAAAGAAACTTTCATATCCTTGTTTGAAAAGGATGGATGCCAAAAAATTTTAGCCAGTTTACAAAAATAAAATCCAACACATTAGATATGCTACCCCTTTTGCACACGAATATATATTAAAATAAATACATAGATTATGAAAATTGCTGCAGTTTGTCGAGGGCTCTGTCCTGCTTAACTACACACAAGTAAGAAGCCCAGAAAGGTCTAGATATCAAGAGAGAAGTCATATCACAACTGCTATTATTAAATGTGAGATATCCATGATATGTACGCATTCATCAAAGGTGAAAACTGACGAATTGCCATGTTTGCTTGCAATGATTTTAAATGAAAATAAAAATTTATTAGCATATTTATGATTCCTTTTCCCAGCCGGTGTCTTATCCAGACTCATCAATAAAAGTTAGGACAGAGAACATTTTGAAGATTTTTTCCTCTTCTCAGAGAAAATGAGATTGAAGAATTCTATCTTGAAGTGCAACCATCCTTGACAAACGAATGGCTCACCAATTTAGCAATATCAGCCACCATAACGGGTCTTCAGGGACTCTGGGGGCTCTTCTTCCATTATACCTGCACCTGCTGTTGCTAGATGCTCACGGATGGTTGTTTTCCGATCTCCAAGGAATGTGTGATCCAAAAAGTTGTCATATGCTGCACTGCCAAGATTCTTCGCTGCCAACACACTGCAGGATATTTTACAGCCTTCAATTAACATACGGAGACTTGCAATGAAAATAGAGTTTAAGAAAAATTATTTGCCTCTCCAAAGATTTAAATTAAAGAAAATGGCTTCAAGTTATTCTTCTGGCAGCTGAGAAACAAACTGGCTGAGAAGAAATAAATTGGCTTGTCTGAATAACAAATTTAAGGACAACCAGAAACAAGTCACCGCTAAAGATGCTTTTGAATTTACAATATTGACAAGTACAAGCAACTAATTATGTTGTGGCAATCTTTTCATGTTTGACTGAGTCAGTCAATCAAGAAATCTACCATAGTTTTGCCATTTTCCCTTTCATGTGTGAAACTAGTAATCTGTTCTTTGGATCAGAGCTATCTACAATGCAAACACTTTGCATTCTTGCAATATTCTTTTCAACCTCACTTTGGTATCATCTGATATGCCTCACTAAAAATAAATAATTTTATATGGGGGAATATGCAATTGCCAGTAAGAAAGCATTGTATGACTTTGGTGTGCTATACAAGTCATGCCATGTCATTGAATGAAGAATCCTGTAAATTCCCTGTTCGTGTAGCATTAATATTAACCAAAGTATCTCTTACCAGTGCCGAAGATAAGTACGGCAAGGCAAGATATCATCTCTCCAGATCTTATCGATGTTGTATCTTCCATAATGTTGAAAATAAATCTCCTTGCTCCCTGCACAAAATGAGCTAGCAAATATAATACAGTCCTGTGTAGTTAACTGACAGCAGACAGAGCTGACAACAAATAGGAAATGGAAATTATGGTATCAGCTCAGCCAAATGCATGCAGCATGCAGAACAGAAAGCAAACCCAAACATTATTATGTCATTATTTATTACTCTAGCTAAGAACATTAAAATTAGGATTGAAACATTGTTCTGTTGATTGGAGACAGCTTGAAGAATAATAGAAAAAGAAATTCCAAATTTTTTAAGCTTTTGATAGTGCAGATTGCAGAAATATCAGCAGGAAGCCAACCATATATATTCATGAAATATATAAACAGCAATGTATCATATTCTTCTTCTATGTTGCAGGCAGAAGCCATAGAGAAGGGTACCTTTGCATCTAATTTGAAAAAATTCTTCATCACTGTAACGTGCACAAAGCACCTGTATCCATTTCCCAAACCAGCAACCTCGATTAACTAGAAAAACTGACAGGCTCATCGAAAATGAAGGCAAAGAAAATACATTAAAACAGGGCAAAAAGAGCTATTGCAACACAAAAACTGCAGCTTTCATATACCGCTGGGCTATCAAATGGTTTCCCATCAAGTGTTTCAGGCACAACCTGCCCAAAGAGGAGGGAAAATCAATAAATAAAAGCTAATGTAGCTGCTTGAAAATGAATCGACTCATCAAGAACAATACTAATTTCTAAAATCATCCAGTAACTCACAGCTAGAAATCGAAACTCAAGCTCCCTCTCCATAAAAGCAGGAATCTGACTTCATAATACAACAAACATTTAGCTTTATCACGAATAATTATAAATAGAATCACCTTGTTCTAGCTCATTTTTCAAAATTGCAGTTTCTAAAATTAATCTCAACTCAAAGAATACATTCCTATATACCTCTGATTTATCAATCTCAAAAACTGTAATTATAAGAACTTCACCTTCACAAGGCTCCACGCTCAAGCTCGAAATTTCCTGCGAACATTTATAAATTTATACATAATAAAAATCATCATTCTATAGAAAGCTAAAAGATTTTATCTAAGAATATTTCTAGACAGACCTTAGTTTCAGGCTTGGCGATGCCACGTTCGAAGAAAATTGGCGCCACATGAGCAAACACTCGCCGAAATCCATTCAATCTCGCAACCCTGAAGTTTACCAGATCAGGAAATGTGCTTCTTGCGCTTCTCTCTGTTCGATTAAGCACCATGTCAAACAACCGATATACATAACACATGCATGAATATCATATTTATATCAAAATTAAGCACATTATGGCGTTGATGATGATTGTATGTACGTGCCGGAAAGGAGAGAACCGAAGCCGCAAATTGAGATGAGACCGGATGGACAGAGGAGTTTGTGGAAATCGGAATCGTCACTGAGTTCGGTTACTTCTGGTTGAGAGATCGCCGAGGACATAATCAAAGTAGGTTTTTGGAGAGTTCTCTGCTGGCAGTATATGGAAGAGAGATTAAATGAACAAAGTGCTGAATTTTTCACAGTGTTCAGCGGCAAGACAGTGATCGGCGAGTGAATTGGCCACAGACGACAAGCGCGTGATGGAAGTGGGTGAATGAACGGGAGAGAGAGATTCAGAGAAGTGGTCATATGAGAAAAATGCTGGATAATTGGCGATGGAGGACGGTAAAGGAAGTAGATTTTGATTTCCACCAGTGCCTTAATTGAGATTTGGTTCAATGGCATGGGTACTTTGGTCCGAGAACGGAATTCACATGCATCACACGTGACTTTTCCTTTTTCTTTTAGAGATATAACCCGAGACGTGGCTAGACATACGACGTCGTTGCTTCATATTGTTCTCCTCTCCGGTCTCACCTCTGCTATTTTTCAGTTTTCGCAGCAGACGATGCCAGTGAAATGGTAAGCGTCAAAATCCTGAAAAGAAAAGCAAATTAGACTTGGTTTTGATTGGATATATTGTCGAGTTCCGAATTCAAATTTGTTTGTATAGGGTTTTGCATTGGCAACCGAATGCGGGAACAACCGTGAACACGCAAATCCTCAATGAAGTGTCGCAGTGCGTGGAGAGCATTAACGGAGTTAAAGAAGGGAGGTGGAAAGCTACTCTCACCTCCTATAAACCCATGGTTCGAGGTCAATCTAATTACCTTCTTAGTTTTTCTCCATTAAAGATTAAATTTGTAAAATTTGATTTTAATTTGATGACCAGACCAGTCGCAAATTGCGGAATTCCCACGAGATTTCTTGGGGATTTCTCTGCCGGAGCAGCCAAACAAGTACTATTTCATGATCCGGGGTCAAAGGCTCGTTGTGGAGTCAGATTCATCGATTCAGAACATAATGGAGAAACTTCAGTCTTACAAATCCAGGGTCGCGCTTCTTTTTGAGGTTACCTTCGTTAAGTTACTGGTCTAATGGATTGTTTTCACTTTTTACTTGATTTATAAAATCCTTTTTTTTTTTTTTTTGGGCAATTATGAGTATTTAGGGGTTCCAGTATCAACTTGGGGACTTTCAGTTGAGGGTGGGGAAGGTTGTTCCAAGTCATTCTGAGAACTTGAGAGGAATTGTCATGGAGGTAATGGACTTGCATTCTTCAATTCTAAGATAAATTGGGAAAATTTTGTACCCTTGAAGCTATTTTGTCGTTTATTTGATTATTATTTGCTTTCTGTGGATATTCTGATGTGCTTGTGGAATCAATGTATATCTAGGGCTTTGATTTCATATCTATGCAAATTTAATCTAAATCGTATAGGGATTTTAAGTTTGTAGGGATTGAAATAAAAGCCATAGCATTTTGTTCATTATCTGGTTGACATAAAGGATTTTCAGACTGATCATAATCATATACTTCATTTTGGTTAAAAACTTAAAATATAAGCCTTTTTAGCTGAAATATAATTTTTTGGTTGAATTCCTAGATTGTTTATGCACCAGATGGAAACAGAATACAAAAATGATCGTTGTGGGGATGGAAGAGAACTCAGCAGAATAATCTATTTTGTCTATTTCAACAGAATTTATAATGTGGCTTTGATCTAGTGATTCAGCATCATTCAAATTATGATGTCAAGTTGAAGCAGATCTCTCTCTCTCTCGCACACACCATTGCCCATACCTATGCTTTAAGTGTTATTGACCATTGCTTGTTGAAACTTGGTTGTTAAAACCATGATTAGTTCTAATAGTACTTGTTCCTTTGAAGGTGGAGTATCTCCCCATATCCTCAATGGAGAAGGGAAGGCAAGTCATGGAAGAATTTTTTGATATATGGCAAGAGGCAATCTCAAAAAGATCATTACCTGGTCATTTTATGCACATAGAACCTAACTTTGCTGAGTATGGTCTGTTGGATCAGTATAGTTCACAACACACAGCTGTGCAGTATGCTACTGTTGTGGCTCAACTGATTGCAACACAGTCGGTACAAGCAACTAGAAATTAGGAAGTCGTTATTTGTACTTTTTTTTACAATTAACCACCTCTTTGGAAGTTAAATACGATTGCTTTGCCAATTTCTTAACTCAGTTGTTTATCTCATTTGGTATATCAGTGAGAAAGATAAGATCTATAAACCTGATTAGATGCTTTTTATTCAATCCTTACACTATATAAGGTATTCTTGCTACAATACTGTTTACATTTACATGCAACATCTACTGTAAGCACTGAAAGGTTTTGTTAACCAGGCATTACCCAGTTTTGGTTGCCTGTGCTTGTTTCAAGAACATAAGAGGGTCTCCCTGTTGAGATGGTGGATAATGAAAGAAGAGGCATATGGCTGAGATATCATCCATTGCGATGCCCCGTTTCTTATATTTCCATGCGCGAGCAGCACATTGCACCAACCTTTTAGCTGATTTTTCCCGGTCTGGTGTTGAAGAAACAATCTGCACTGCTTCTTGGTTGGAAATAACATCCCATAGCTGAACAGAACAGAACAAAACAAAACAGAGCCTCGAAAATTAGACAGATTTGATTTTTTATTACTTTTAAATTATCCTAAGCTCTCTAATTAGCTGCCAACCAAAACCTTCAAATTATGGAAGAAAATGTGTACCCCGTCTGTTGCCAAAATGACAAACTGATCTCTGCTTGTTATGCTTCTCTGCGTCACATCAGGTATGGAAATAAGCCCAAAATCTTTTACGCAGTAGTCACCAAAGGCTCTCGATAACGCTAGTCCTGGTCTTTTTCCATTAGGCATCCAGACCCTATAAACCCCCGGCTCATCCGGTAAACAGAACACTCGACCTTTTGACTGTGTAATTCGTTCAGCCTCCTCTACAACCACCATTAACAGAAAACAAATTTTCAGGTAACAAAATGTTGATATAGATAATCTGAACTTTATATTAAAAGGAGGGAGAGAAAGCACTAACGGGGTAAATTAGGTTTGAAATCAATGGTAAGCTGAAGTGGCACCAAACTTCCATCCTCAGAAGTCGTCGCTAATACAGCCCGAGAATCGCCAACGTTCGCTATAACAAGATGTTCACCCTGAAGCCAAAATTATTTTTTAGGCAAAAATTTCTACCTATGCAACTAATAATTAGATAATTACACTACCTGTTTGACGATTGTTAAACCTGTAGTTCCACTGCAAAAGGCATCAATCCCAGGATTCTGCTTAAGTTCCTGGTCAATGACAGCATAAGTTTTCAAGTAGGCTTGCTTCCAAACATCAAATTGATGGAGGTCTCTATCCAATTCCATTTCGAAATCCTTGTCGATTGATGTCAATGCAAGAGTTTCCTGCCAATTGCATAGCAAAGAAGAAGGGACAGATTCTCTCACTCTTTTTGAAACAACATGTCCCCATGGTCCATGCCCATCAAAAATCCCACAGAAGATCATGTCCTCTTGGCATCCAAATTCCTACCAAATATTCAATAATTAGCATTTCATATTTAACATTTAATGTGAGAGTGACATAGTATTATAGGTATACCTCCCACACAATCAAGCAATCTTGATTAATTCCTTTTTGGCCTCTTTTGGAGCAAACTGAGGCGAAATTATTTGACTTGTTGGACTTGACAATGCCTGAGCAACTCAACATCAACTCATTCTTCTTTGCATCCTTAGCCAAAGAATCTGCTGCTTCTTTTCCAACGTCTTTTTGGGCGTTTCTTCCTTTCTTTATTGACACTGTTCTAGCAAATCCATCGAAAATAGATGGAAAAGGCGCCATTTCTTTTACAACCTGATCATCAAACGACAAATCCAATCGACGGTTTAATTACTGTGTGGCAAACTTGTAGGAACGTTAAGGTTTGCTCCATTCACAGGAATTCCTATATATATATTATGAATTCTCAAACACAGGAATCAAAACATACAACAGAAGCAAAATCAAAATTGGATACGTTAATCTTAAAGTTGATCAATAAGAGATGTAATATAAAGAAAAGAAGTATACAAAACCTTGTCCTTATGTGGCTTGGTTCCGGAGAAAGACAGTCACCTTTGTCCGACCGGCCGGGATCTGTTTTGACGCCGGCAAGCTGATTTAATACTTAGATATTCAAAGGTTCCTTCTCGTTGCTTATACTCCATTTCCTATCTTCTTCCAGCTTTTCAAGTTCTTAACTACGTGATGCGTTATGTATGGCTTTACAGCAACTGTAAGTTGGATTGTGAAATGACTGCAGAGCCATTGCTCTTTCTTTGTAACGAAATGAATAAGAAACGGGTATTTTGGACCTTCTATAGAGCTAGAGGTTTAAGATTTGCGTCATGGACGTGTGTAGTTTAACATACCAGTTGTGAATTAGACAATGATTGATCACATTGATCCAAAGCTTAATATCTATATTCTAAAGGTAGGTCGGTCTTGTCGACCTTCTTATCCCGCATCAGAAAAATCATAGCCTACATATAATAAATTAATAAAATTCACCGATCTCTCATCTAATCAGCAATTGTCTAAATGTGAAAATTTTATAATTATAGAGTGACTAAGAGCTTATATTTTTTTTTTAAAAAAAAATATTCTTAAATCTTATAATTAATTTCATAATTAAAGTCAAGATTAAAGTTTGAATAGTTTAATTTTTATATTTAACTAATAAATAAATAAACGTCGGTCAAAAACAATATGATATAGCCATATGATGAGGGAAGATTGTTAGAGAATTGATTAAATTAAAGAAATAGATGTGGCTGGAAGATCACGGCAATAAAATTGTAATATCTTGGAAAGCTGTTAATGAGAAATAATTAAAAAAAAAAATCTTAAATAAATGTTTGATTGCGAAAGGTTTTTTGAATTAAAAAGAGAGTTTATGCGTAGGTGTAACAAACCAATAAGTAATGAAAATATTATGATATCATATCTTAAAATTCACAAAAAGCTTATTCAATTGAAAGGGCCGGTTTGGTGCTCGTATGACATAATTGTATTACAGCTCCTATGAAGATACGAAACTCGTGGCTAATAATTAACTTGTCAATTTGGTGGACCATGGAATTTAGGTGGTCAAACATTACAGATGAGTACGACCCTAGACATTTACAGCCATAAACAGTGGCTGTCACAATTTGGTAGCATATGCACATTATTGGAATGTCAATTAGGAAAAGTAGAAGAATATTTTGAGTATTAATTAATAATTCTCACTTCAAACTAGGTTTTAGTTTGTTCCAGGCCTCCAGGCACCACAGATCATTTAGATTAGAAAAAATCAAAAATTCCCAAAAAATGAAAGGAAATAGTATTGAAAGTATAAATTTAAATTTGGTACAACAGTGGTCATAATATTACACTCCTTGAGAGGCGAACATAAATAGAGACCCCTATTTTCCTTTACATTTACCTGAAACTCTCTGTTTTTATCTATATGCATTTTTCTTTCAAAGAAAAAAAATAATGCAAATTTGGTTAAAATTTTTGTGAAAAAAGACAGGCGTCATTTCCTATAGCTGACGGTGCAGATGATAGATTTCCACTCCAAGCTCAAACGTTGGCGTGGGGGTGGGGCTGCTGATCAATAATTTAGATGACCATCATCAACTACTCCATGATTAGTAAAAAACATGAGATGCATAATATTCGCTCTCATTAAATACAGGTCTTAAATCTTCCTTGCTCATGAAATCCAAAGGCAAAGAAACAAGATGTCCACGTACTGCTTGCAATCTTTCCATGGGATCAGTTTTTTCAATCTCTCCATTTTGGTAAGATTCAAGCTTTTGAGGGGCAATTCCTAAATCAATGGTCGTGTGGTTAAGCTTATCCTTCCAAAAGGCCATGCTTTGTCTAAGTGCAGCTCTGTAAGTACGTGATTATTAGCAAACCAAATAGAAAGAAACTAAGGGCTGATAAAAAAAAAATGGGAATGTAGATAGTATACGTACCTGGAGTGTATAAGATCATTGGGAATGCAGGAAAAGACGTCCTGGTAGATTGTGGTATTTGTCTGTCAAATGAATCACCAGCACATGATTATTAATTTGAGACCAAATTCAGTAAAAATACATTGCAACCACTTCGTATGGGGTTCAATTTGCCAAGTTAGACACAACATGGCCTCTTAACATGCTGTGACAAATTTGCAAATAACAAACTGATTTCAAAGCCATGAACAGGTTGGATCCACAGTTTAACTGTGGTCAGAGATCTGTAACTTTCCCCTCAAAATATACATGGGAAATTCTCCAGGATAAGCAACAACTCATTTTATGTTAAAAATTATTTTTTCAGCTACTCTATGTAACTGCTTATTCGAGTGTTTCCTAACAGTCACATATTTGTGATCAGTACAGATCAGAGATTTCCAAGAAACTGGCAACTCAAAAGTTCTTCCACTGACACAAGCAAGGGGAATCTGGTGGTATGCATGGGGATTGGGGTGCATAGCATATGCTACACATTAGCCTGCCAGATATACAATACAAGTATATATGACATTATGATTTGCCTTATCAAGCAAATCTTTTACTCCCCTTGTACCAGGAAAACTTAAAATATTTGAAAATTGATTACTCTTGAAAAATCATATAGTTTTGCTTCACCTTTGCAGTTGCAACCCACATGTCTTTGTAAGTTGAATCAATTATTGGGTCCATTATTCGACTCATCTGAGATGAAAAGGAAAAAATGAAAGAACAGTTTCAGCAGAAAACCAAACTAATGCAGAAGTTTACTATTATCTATCTGTATTAACATTTCTTCAATTTTCTGGGAGTTAATATTTCTGAAGTTATGCATACTAACCTCTTTGGCATGACGACCAAGGTGTTCAGACCACAACGAAAGGCGGAGACTTAAAGAAAATTTTCCAGCTTTCCAAGGCTTCCCTCCCATTGATGAGTCAACGAACTCTTTGTCTTCGATAAGTATGCCAATCTAACAGAAAGGATTTTTCAGCAAATCAGAGGCTCATTCACAATCAATAAAAAATATCCTCATAGAGGACACAAGTAAATCTCACAAGAGTCTATGGTTTACACCGTATCCTAGGACAGCAAAGAAAAATGAAAGCCAGGTACATATTTAAATGTAAATTCAATTGATGCATGATTTCCCAACCAGAAGAAAACATAATTGTTGCAAACAGATCATTAAATTACGTGATACCTCAGAATCTCGTGAACCGAGCAAACTCCTATCATTAATATTAGCAGATCCGATCAAAGTTGCGCAATCGTCAATAATCATGATTTTACTATGCACATATACCTGCATATACAATTGGAAGTATGCATATATAAATTCAGAGGTACTAAGGGAGTAAGAACATATAGAACCTTGGCATGCTACATCACCAAGATGTTGCAAATTATTGCATGATGCATAAAAATGGCACTAGCCAATGAATAAAAAGTATGCATGCAAGTCAATACCTGACTGGTGGCTACTGGACCACCTTCAAAAAGTTGACCATGAGCTCTAAGACCATAAAAAGAAATATAATCGTGTGTTTTTGGTCCTAGAACATCAAATAGATTATGCAATATAGAACGATGCCCTCTGCAAATGGTTCTATATTGCCAATGCATTATAGCTCTCACAGATGCAGCACCACTATCATCCAAACCTCCCTGTAAAACTAAAAATTCAGTAAACGAAAAAAATTAAATACCCAAATTTTAAATTAAAAGTAATCAGATGAGATTTTTGAACCTGGAAACCAGGAATCAGAGGTATTACAACAATAACCCTGAAACACTTGTTATCATTGTATGCTCTCATAATACGCCTATATAATGATTCTAAAACCCGATTCCTTATAATTTCATCTCCAGAAAGACCTGATATAAAAAATTGATTCTGGGAAAGGGGCCCAAGAATCAAGCAACAGTCAGAAAAAGGAACAATAATTGAGACTTTGGCAAGCCTTTTTAACCTCAAAAGTTTGAAAATTCCATGAATAAGGAAAAACTTAAATCAAAGTAAAATGCATGTGAATCTGTGAACAAGCATTCAAGTGTATATCTGTATGTATAAGGTTACTAAAATAAAATGTTTTAGGTCATTCATAAAATAAGTAAATTATCCAAAAGTCATGGTAAAATCCTTGTTGATCTGATCATCGATATCACAAAACCATTACACTACTTGAAGCTCGCAAAACAAGTGTCCTGCCACTTCACCCAATATAGATGGCAATTATTATACCTAATATTCTCTCCTTATTTTATCTATCTATTTAATATGCTAATTGGCATGTAGCACCAATGCATTTGTTAGAGCTTAGAGAAGTCAGGTGAAGAGTATGAGAAGGAAGCTGAAGATAATTTGGTAATGTACAAGCAGCATCCTATAGGCAAAAAATAAGTCTGCTGAGTTAATAGCATAATGCTAGCCTGTGGTTCCTTTTGCCATTCTGCCTCTCCTAACCATTTTGTTAAATGTTAAACAGCTCCTTTAAACACAGCATCTATCCTTGTCATGAATTGTCATTTTTCCCCTTCAAGTAACTCTAATCCACTCTTTCTTGCATCTAATTCAGAAAGTCCCGCTCCCAGTGACTGGCAAACTAGTTAAAGAAGCAGTTGGGTAAAAGAAGTAGAATAATTCTCTCCAGTATCCCTTATGATTAACAGGAAATGAACCACATATAATCTCTTTCCCAAGACTGGATGGTTCCAAAATATTTTCCATAAGTGTCATCCAACAGTCTAGAAGATGTGATAGTTTGTGAGTTAATCATTTGGTGGAAAGTGAGTCACATTCACTGAAAGTTTCAATAATATAATCTATAAAACAGGATACCTCAATATATATAAAATGTTCTGCTTTCTCAATGAGAGAGCGATAAGCACAGTGAATACTCTCTTCAACTTGACTTGTTCCAGCAGACCACTGGCTCACACTCCTTATAACCTGAAAATGAGAGGTCATCATTTAAAGGAGAGCATATAGACTACATTTTTTGGATAAAGAATAAACTTATAAGTCATAACATAGCTGAAACAACAATAGTGGAAAAAAAAAAATCAATATTACTGTGACTAAAAGCAAATTTCTTAATATTCATGGTTTGGACAAAAATATAAGAATTGTCTACTGCCACCCACCTGACAACGGCAAGAAGTACGGGGACCAACTTGCCCAGTTTCATCTTGAAAACCAACCTGATCTCCCCGTTCCTGTGTTTCCCACCAATCTAAATCTGAAGTTTTCGTCCCATTCTGTGGCAATAAATCTGAAGCCATTTTTGCATGAAGATCCAATACACTATGGTCATCCACAAAGCCTTTCATTGGCATATCAGCACCAACATGATCAGTTTTGGATTTTCGGAAAGCAAGAGAGAGACTCCTCCCAGGAGGAGAGTCCAACCCATTTAATTTTGGGCCTCCGTCAGAATCATCTAGCCCTTCAGCTTCTTGAGGCAAAAGCAGGGGGATATCTTGTGAAGATGATCTAGAGGAAAAGGAATCCTGCCTTTTAATTACTTTAGAATCATCTTCAACATCCGTAATTTCAGCCTCCAACTCTCTGCTGCTTCCCCTATAGTGTGGAATAACCATGTGCTGCTGAGGCATAAGCAGTGGGATTGCTTCCTCATAAGGAGCTTTATTTCTCTGTACAAATGCAAATTTATATTTTACATATTGCAAGGTTGCTACAAACTTTTCTGGAAGAACCAGACAGATTTAAGGTAATGATTGACCTTTGCATAGTTCCAACGCTGAACAAAATGTCTAGCTATATCCCGACATGAGGGTCCCCATAGGGCACAGTGCACATCATGCCAAGGCATTCGAGGATATTTTCTACGATCCAGTTCATCTTTCATTGTATCTTCCCATGAATTTGGTTCAGACTCCCTACAATGCAATTGAATGTTCATCATATTAATCTGTAAATGCTTCTAAACAACTAACCAATGTTCAGACTGGGTAGTCCGTTGATTAGTTTCACCGACATTCAAGAGAATTTCATATTTCAAAGTTTTTCAGTTCCTGCCTATAATATTTGAATAATAAATGATGTTCTCTGCATTGGCAAGACATGAAATAAAATACATTAAAAGCTAAACTCTAAGCATTACTCTTTGATTGCATGTTCCTTCAAATGCATATGCACGCACTTTTCATCATATTAAGCTTGAATAATCCTGTTAATACAACTTCAAGGACAGTCTGTTAACTGTAGAACAGGAGAATGACAATAGATGCAGGATAAGTTCAAAGTAACCGAGATAGATCACTTGCATTTCATTATGTATCCCTTGACAAATTTCCACTGAACATTCTTCACTAAAGAATTAACTTACCTTGGATTATAATAGTCCTTTCCAGGCCAGAGAAGAGGAGGGCAGTCACCCACTCTGTGTTCACGTGTATCGTAACGGCCAAAGCACAAATCCAGTCCTCCAATAAAGCAAATATGATGATCAACAATGACAAGTTTTTCATGGTGGGACCTGTATTAACCAAAACATACCTCAGAAACAGAAGAAATCCATTCAAACAAGGAAAATAGCAAAAAATTTAGTACTCAGTAGAACTTTTAAAATAGTTTCCAAAAATGCATACCAAAGGTAAACACCACTAGAGAAGTGGTCAGGATATCGCAAAACCCTAACATTCTCATGAATGCTGAGAAGCTTTCTCTTGCTATACACACTGTTGATTTTGAGAGCAAGAGCCACCTCTTTATAGAGAAGAATGTATATCTGCATCCACGAGATTTACATTTTAACACAAAATCATCAAACAGAATCAGAAACAGGTATCGAAAGGATTCATCAGTCAACGAGGTTCCTTTTTACATATTGCTGCATTTTATGGTTTCTCTCAATGTTTCTGACACCTAAATTTAACTTCTAGATACAGTTTGGTATCAAGGCGCCTTAGCTCATCTAAGATTATTAGCAGTTGTTATATCATTCTGCTCAATGCAAGAACAGCCTTTTCTACTGCAAAATCTTACTAGGATAAATGTAAATATATGGAGAAAACATAGAATATGTCAACATGAACAGTCAGCATTTTATGCTCAACCTGCAACTAGTATGCCGGTAACCCAAGACCTCTAAAAATGCACCTTCACATAATTTGATTCGGTCAGAAAATCCCATGTGGTGGCAAAATGTTTTCTACCATTCATCCAAAGGGTATTTTTCAATCAAGAGGTAACTTGTCTAGACTACAGGATTTATGTCCATAAAAATGGTTCACAAGTCACAAACCAATCACCTTTAGTTCAAGATAACTTTTATAAATTAAATGATAGATATTTTCACAAATAATGAAAAATAATAAACTATTCTTATAAGCAATGGCGGCAGTAGTGATAATAAACGAAATGACAAGTACCTGAACTCCTTGTTTAGCTTTGGCTTCCAGCAAAGCATCAAGCCTAGATGAAGCATGAGCATGAAAAGGACGGCGCAGATAAAGTTCTGGGCACAGCCACCACCCACAAATAAATATCTGCATAAAAAATTCAATAATCTAACAGATACTTTGAATTAAAGAGCAGAGTAACTAATGTTTAGTAGAGCTGAATCCTTTGTGCTTGAGCGGCAAAAGACGGACCTCTGATTTAGCATCCTCAATTGATGAAGCAATAGCATTGAAAGCTGCACTACCATCTATAAACCATTGAGCCTGACTACCATCTTCAGTCAAGCCTCTGGGAGGAGCAAATGAGCCAAATCGATGAGGATGACACCAACCTTCAGGAGGTCTAAGACCAGCATCATTAATGGCAGCAACCCAATCTTTAACTCTAGCACCATTCTTGGTTCTTAACTTTATGCTCCGAACACCACATACGACCTTTGAAGTTTCCAATCATCTGTTAGCGAGTGCAATAATCTATAACGTATCATTATAGATACCAGATAACTATGTGCGAAAAGGTAGCATCAATCACACACTGGAACAATTTACTCAGTCACTGGTACTCTATGTATCATTTTCTCATTTCTCTATTGGTGAATAGACCATATAAGCCCTAAAGCCAACTTGTTCGGGGGAAGAACTGTAAATCTGGAGAGAGTTTGGAAATGAGTTGTAGCAAGGTAGAGAGACCAGATTCCAAGTGGCAGTTTCCAAGTTTCATATTTTCTAGTGTCTATGCAAAACCTAAAAAGGCATGATTGGTTGAGTTTCACATAGAGTTTCTAAAGGTTTTATCAAAGAATAAGAGAGATTACTTGGTTAGATCACAAGAGATAGTCCTAAATTACAAGAGTCAACTATCCTGTGCATAAAAGCTTTCCATAATTAGACATTCAATTCTTGAGGAAATACAAAGACTTAAAAATTCCTTCTAAACTATTTTACTGTGGTTTGCCTTACCACTTCTCTCAAAAACATGCCAACTTGAATATTTAGTCAGACACTAACACACAGAAAGAGCGCATGCCATCAGCAAATCAAGAAGATATTGGTAGCTTTTCAAGTATTATATATCAGGAATTCCTTTCATTCAATAAACTCAGCAGACACCTAAGCCAGGATACACAATTATCAGCAGAGCACTAGGGTTGCCCATTACAAAAACATTGTCATTAAAACTGTAAGACGGATGCCGAGAAAAAAAGTTTAATTGAATCCCAGGAACACAGTACAAATAAAGAGAAATCATCCACCAGCAATGAAAACGATGCATTGGCTGCTTACCTTGAATGCATGACGTAAGGGATTCCGTTCCTTTGTTTCCACTGCTAACGCTATTCGACCCTCGCCACTACCATCTGAAGCTGGTAGAACATCAAAAACAATTATATCCAGAGGTTTGGCATCAAAAGGATCGGCCAGCAGGGCCAAGAATCCGGGTTTCAATACAGCCCACACCTGTACAAAATCATAAACCGGGAAATGTGTGATTCCTCCTAATTGAGAATCTATACCTTAATCTGAGGAATATTCAGCATTAACTCTCTCTCTCTCTCTCTCTCTCTCTCCCTTACTATATATATACTTATAACTAAAAAAATTACGGACGGTTCAGCACCCCATACTTTCAGCCTACAAGATATATATATATATATATATATAACTAAAAAATTACGGACGGTTCAGCACCATACTTCAAGCCTACAAGGTTGTGTTACCTTCTGCCAGTTGTCATTACAGCAACTGAACCAATGGCAAGCACAACATTTCCCAGAATCATCATTACTTGGAAGTTTTGGTAAGTGCCTGGCCATTACGTAGTCTTCTTTTAGCTTAGGACCATATTCTGGAGAAAATGACAATTTTGAGACCTCCAAAAATTTGCATACCTACAATACAAATCGACCATTGTGAAGGCTGAAGGGCACATATAAACAATAGCATGGTAAGGAATACAGATGAAGAAAACATTTCAAATGCTAAGCAATTTGCAATCCAAAAACATTAAAAATTCAGAATAAGAAAAGGCAGTCAAATTGCTGAACTCTAACAACCAAGGGTTTTGACCTATCTACAATAATAACGAGCTAATTTTGATGTCTGCAGTTCATATGGTTTATCATCACATGACACAGAGAGCGAAAATACCATCCAAACACAAACAGTACTCAGAAACATTTCAAAGCTTACCTCTCGGGAGTTGACAATATCCAAGTTTCCTAAAAAGTGATTCAAATATTCTTGCATTGCAACCTTTGCTCTGTCGGACATGGAATACTGTCTCCCCAAGGCTGGACGAATAACTGGCAAGGCAGCACTCGATGGGACATCTCTGAACAAAAAATCCACCTGTAAGAACTATAAGAATCACAAGTTTACAACAAAGAAGGTCATATTCCACGTTTTTTGTCATCTTAACATGTGAGACTAATCACCTGTTTTTAGAACTTTCATCGTTATGCAGAGGAACAGTGTCATCGTCAGGATCATAATCATCATGCACCACTGGAGCATGATCTCCTATTCCTAGATTTTGAAGCCATTCTTTAACCTTTAATATAATGTTCCAATGAAAAGTACATCAAAACCACACAACTCCCAAAAAAATGTGAATACACGAAAAGCTAAAAGGTGCAATAACGTAAACCAAAGATTTAAAGGTACTATCATTTTGCACATACCTGCTCCTGTTTCTCATGAATTTCCTCAATAAAAGCTCGTCTCTTCAGTGCAAAATGTAAATAGAACACCTGCGCTGCCTTCTTCAATAACTGCCATTTGAACTAGTGATGGAAAAAAGTGCAAAACGTTAACATCCAAAAATAAATTCCAGAAACAGATGATTTTTAGAAAAATACAAAACACTCTAATGATAAAAGTTTAAAGGAACTAAGTAGACTCCAAAAGCCAAAGGCCTTTCCAAATTGAATAATAGAATCAACTTCAATAAGAAATCCACAAAATACATAAAATAATAGTTTATAGAGACAAATTCGTGCCTGCTTGTACTGAAACTCGATAGTGTAAGATAGAAGTACGGGACTAATATCGCCTGCATCGGGTCTAGACACGGAGACGATGGTAGCCTTTGGCAACTCCTCGAAAATTCTAGTGGACTCCGGGGCGATACCCGAGAAAGAGAAAAACGAAGACATCATTGATGGCTGATGATGTTGCTGGTGGTGATGCGGCGTCGTTGACGGTTCGGATTGCATTTGGACGTAGCGAGGACCACTAGTCGCTCCCATTAACTGCTCCGACGATGCCATTCGATATACAGTTTAGTTTGTAATTGGATTTGGTCTCTGAAGAATTGAGATTAAGAGAGAGAGAGGTTAGTCGTTTTGGATAGATTAGTTTCCTTGGATCTAACTAAATGAAATATTATTTGGTTAGTTTCGAGCTTAGAAACAAATTTTAAACACGAAAAGTGCGTCAAATCTGGAAAGGTTGAGAGAGAAAGAATTGGTTGGTTTCTAGCTTTCGAGTTCTTAAAACAAGCAACACGAGAGAGAGAGGGACGTCAAATCTGGTGGTCGCTTTGATATTGCCGTATTTCTATGTGGGTTGTAGATGGTCCGATTTTTAAGAAAACGGACCTTTTTTTATTTTTTTATGTTTTTCCAATGAGCGCATGGACTAAGCGTCGATCAATTTTATCAATTGGGCACCCATGTACTACTGTACAATGTATTAGTTAATTCTTTTAAAAAAGAATAAAAAAAAGGGCTTTCTGACTTGTGCTATTAATAATAGTCGCCATGTGTTAGTCACACAAAACGTTTGGGCTTCTTGAATTCGTTAATCCAAATTACTTATCAGTGGATGGGAGTATATTATCATAGCATAATAATAAGTGAGACTATCAAAATATTACTAGCAAAGTTTATATAAAAATACACAGACCGTTTTATTTAAAACAAACAGTCCAAGTAGTAGAACTGCAGAAGTGGAGAATTCGCTGTAAAAGAATGGACGATCAATGCCAATCTCGTGTATGATTAAAGAACCAAGCTCTTCACTGCCATCATACAGATATTCCACGTTTCAATTTTCGACGACCATGGCTTAAATCAAATTCCATTGAAGGCCTAAAATTCCCTCCCGATGACTTGCAAAAGCTATCTTTATTACATTCTATGTAACAGCTGAGAATCTAAAAGAATATCTAGATCTTAAAACGGGACCAATATAGGTTTAAAATTTGGAATACTAAAAATCATGCGGTTACAACGTAACAACTGCAAGTTCCACCACGTTTAGCCAACTAATTTATCATAAAACAAAAACATGATTTAGCATATAAGAAAAGAAACTAAGGCTCATGGAATTCAAAAATTCTATATTTCAAAGAAATATCCCAGAAAATGAAAACATAGTAACTTTAAGAGACAAACTCCTACTAGACCAGACATAAAGATAACTCAGGTATCAACCTCCTGCATTCATCAGTCTTACATTCACTTCTTGGATTTCTTTGCTCCCCTGCAAAATCAAAGGAAAAATATTGAATTTCAAGCATTAAAAGATGGCATTGGTAGGAACACAAAGTCTTAGCATCTTACTCGGTCTGCTGTGGGGCAGGTGCTTGTGGTGCCTTCTCTCCAGGCCCCTAGGATACAAGAGAATGAAATTACCATATGATTCAGAAACAGAGAAATAAATTTCCAATCAATGATAGAACACAATTGTTTAAAAATAAATTGGTCTTCATTGTGTTGACATTAACAATACAAGTATTTTCAACTTACCTGAGCCAAACGCTCCTCTCTTCTGGCTATCTTCCTCTCCCTGCTTGCCTTGTTCTTTGCACGCTTAGCCTCAAATTGGTCAGATAAAGTCTTCTCTCTTGCCTTTTCAGCCTTTGATTTATGGATACTTTCCATCAGCACACGTTTATTCTTGAATACATTACCCTTTACCTTCATGTACATGTCATGATACATGTGCTTGTCAATTTTTTTGGATTCCCTGTATTTGCGCAGCAGACGCCTCAGGACACGCATTCTCCTCATCCAAAGGATCTTGGTTGGCAGCCTAGCCTCCCTGGTACCCTTGCGCTTACCTTAAAAGATAAATGTGCATCATACTGTTTATCAAGACCTTGAGGAAGTACGTCGAACAGTGACTCATCTAAAAGATATAGTTTTTTTTGAAGTCTGAGCTTACTATCATTTTGATGTACAAAGCTTGATAGTACATCAAACTGAAAGAGACGCAGATATTTCAGAATGAACCATACCATATCCAGAGTGACGACCCTTTCTCTTGGCCTCCTTCATTCTGCGTGCACGAGAACGAGAGTGAATCTTTGTTGGCTTCCTAATGATGAAACCATCCTTCACTAGCTTTCTAACGTTCTGCCCTGCATTCATTAATCATGATGAACAATACTATGGTGGTCCAGGAAAAAAAATCAATGTGGCAATAGTATATTTGTTTCTTCAACAATTCCCAGATCATAACAGTAACTACCAGAAATGACACACAGATTATAAAAAGGGAATAAGCATAACAAAATAGTATATTGCATATAATGAATCAATTCAAAGAGAAGCCTGTCAACCAAGCCTATCTTGCCAGGTGTGGAATCAGTACGATGCAATTTGATTGATAAATGAATAGTACTATTCAATACAGAAAAATGCTCTCAAAAATCCCATGTCAGATTCAATTATCAAAAAAATTCGCTTGAAATTCTTCATCCGACCAAACTCACAATCATCTCGATAACAGCGACAACCAACATCTTCATCCATAAAATCCATGACCAGCTTGAATTGGGAGAAAGTCTTATAGGACAAGAAATGGGCAGCAACTCGTTAACACAACGACCACCTCAAACGATTTATCGCCTAATAATCTCAAGCAAGACGTAGCAGGTCATTTACAACTGTTTTTGTGAGCAATTGAAATAGGAGAGATGCACAGGTCTTGCTTGGGTTTCTGAAGTTTATGTACTATTTAGACTGGCAATTAACTATAGAAGATTCACGACTTACAGATCAAACTGTACGTGCCATTCAAATTCGCTGTGATCTAAAGTTAATACATCTTAGGTTTCACAAGAAAAAAAAAAAAAAGTGAAACGACGGATTTAAAAAAACAAAAGGAAACTTACTGGAATTGGCCATGGAAATTTCATTGACCTCATTAGGATCGAGCCAGACCTTGCCTTTCCCGCACTTGAGAACGCTAGCGGCGAGCCGCTTCTGTAGTTTTAGCGATACCATGTTTTCTCTTTCTGCTCTCCCGGTGTAAGTGGCAACTAGAGGGTTTTTGCAGATAGAAGCCAACGCAATTTTATACCATGGCAAACAGGATAGTAATTAGGGTTAGGGTTTTTCTTTTCGGACAATTGCATAAACTAACCAAGATGTATCTATAATTTCCTAGTTGACCCAATAGTTTCTCTACGTTTCAACAATACCCCTGAAAAATGAATTACAAAAAAATATTTCGTTCAACTTTATAAAATTAAAATATCCATTCTTAAATGTCTCCACTGGAATATTCAGAATATATATCATTCTTAAAATTGTCTCCACTTGGATATATTCAGAAAATATAGTATATAGTTATACCTATTACTTCTATATTGAACTTCATACTAGCTAGTTTAATATTTATATATATATATATATATATATATCATATAGCTTATTTTAATATTTTTGATATTCTCGAATCCAAAAAGGATCTATGAATTACTTTTCAATATATCATCATTAAAAAAAATTAACTTAAAAAATCTCAATCCTATTTAAGAATAGTGAAAAATAATGAAACATAAGCATTTCATAAAATGCATAAACTTCACACTATTTTTAATTAGATTTATTTTAATGGCCTTGAATTCGAGGTTGGCATTGAACATTAATTTGAAGCCCAAAAGAGTCTGCAGATTCAAAGCCCATTAATTTTGGCTCCGAAAATAGCCCATCAACCAATCAATTGAAAATCGTGTTTTCAAGCATCCAAATCCAAATTGACCCACGCGTCAATATCTGAAGCTAATGCAGCTTCGACCCAACCCGCCAACACAGAACACGTTCCGTTTACTATTCACACATTCTCGTTCTTGCCATTTCACCGAATCAAGTTCCCATTACAAGAAGATTTTCTTTTCTCATTCCTTGTTTTTCCTGGATATTGCCGGGAATATAAAATCCCTAAATTCATTGCCCTTCTGTTCCCTCACAATTCGGAATTCTCATTCCATAATTCAATTATATCTCTTCCAATAGGAGATTATGATGGATATTTTTCTCGCCGCCGATGGGGTAACGATAGCCACACAGCAAGGGGTAGGGATTGCGAATTCGCATCTCCAACGCCAAAATTTAATCTCTAATTGCAATCTCACTCTCTCCGCCAGAGTTCTGCAAACGTACACCGTTATTTTCGATGCGCTGGCTCCTCCGCCTGTCAAACCTAACTCGTACAAAACAACTCGCCGGACTCTTCTTCGCAAGAAACGGCGAACTAGGCGGAGATCGGGCAGCGGCGGAGATGAGGACGGCAGCGAAGATTTCGGATTCTTTGGTGGTGATGGTGACGGTGATGGCCCGTTTGGTGGAGCTGGTGGAAGTTGGGGCGGAGGTAGAGGGTGGAATTTCGATAGATTTGGAGGCCAAAATTGGGACGAGTCATCATGGTCATCGTCTTCAAGGTTTGCTTATGGATTCGTTTATGAAGTGATTTATTGGATTGCCCTGTCGACTTGCATGCATTTTGCGTTCGAGAAGGCTGTGAGGATCATTGCAGGTGGGATTGCTGATGCTGCGAGAGCGAAAATTCTTATTAGATTCACTTCGGCATCCTTATTTGGTAACTGATATTTGAAATTTGTGAATGGGGGGAATTGGGGTAATAGAAATTGTATTTAATTGGATAATTGATTGGTACCATAAACTACTCGCTTTAGCTTTCTTTCACAGATAAATGTACATATTGTGTATATATATATATATATATACATACATATATTAATCCACATTGTTTCTCTGAATTGATGAGGTGCTTTTTTTTATTATTATTGTTTTAATTTTTTTGTCGGTGCATTTCGTTATCAAGTTTTTTTATTCAGTGACAGACGCCTCAACTTATAAATTTGAGTTCCTTAACAAGTAGGACAATAATTACCTGATACTATAACTCTGTCGAGATTCTAGATTCATTTTAGTTTGCACAAGTAAATGGCCTATGGCGATACAAGTATCTTGCTTTTCTTGAAACTGGATAATGGTGATCTGATCTGTTAATTGTATCATCTTTGGTTCATATGCCTTCATGTATACAATAGACTGATGTTTGGATATAAATGAATTTTTTACAAACAGCTAGGGTGTTTTTCCTCTTCCTTTTCTCTTGTTTCCAGCATTGTGATGATGGTCGTTAAACATGAAACTTCCTAAGGTGAGTTCTCAAATTGTTATCTACCATCATGTGAGATGTTGATGGTGCATGATATCAGTTATCTTTTCTCTGCCAAGAAACCATGGATTTCTGCTGGGTTACAAAATGTCCAGTATTAACCATGAAGAGTTAGATCTGCTGGTGCTACTTCCATTATTTCCTATATTAATAACCAAATCTCATCAGACGCATTCTCTATGAAACCAATGTTCTTTTTTTTCCAAAAAAAAAAAAAAAAAAAAAAAACGCTTCTCTATGAAACCAATGTTCTTTTTTTTCCAAAAAAAAAAAAAAAAAAAAAAAAGAAAATTGAACTTTCATTTCTTGATTAGTTTATCATTTTTTTTCCAAAAAAAAAAAAAAAAAAAAGAAAAATTGAACTTCAATTCTTGTATTAGTTTATCATATTATGTTATGCTCTGAGTTGTTTGAAACTGAATCATTTATTATAGCCCATCAGTGTTTTCATCCCATTGGAGGTATTTATGTTAGTTCTCTGTGATTGACCAATGTATGTGTCTTATGAAGTAATTTGCTTTACTGGTTCTGAATTACATCAGAACTCTTATTATTTGATTTGATCACCGGTTTGAAAGGATCTTGTGCAAATGATCAATTAAAGCTTGACAATCATTCATAGAAATCAATAATCTTCTCATAATGGCATACTGGAACCCAGTTTCCTAGCTGATTGTCATGACTCACACCATTATACAAAGGAAACTGCCCTTGTATTTCGGGTGTTATAACTTTAAGCAAAATACATTTGAGTGCAAGGTCAACGTGTTCAGAGACTCTGCGACAAGAAGCAGAGATTTGATGAATAGGTAAGAATTTAATTCCGAAAATGCTGAATAAAGGATGAAATGATATCCCGGCTGTGAATTGGCGAATCCTTTTTATGTTGTGCTGCATATATTTTAGAGTTATATTTGGGTTTTAGCATGTATTGTTTTGTATTGTGTGATGAGCATTAGTCCTGTTAGAGCCCTTTCATCTATGAGAATTACTGTTTGGAAGTATTGATTTTATTCCAGCTAAATATGTTGACAAGGCCACTGATATCATCAGTACATGTTGAGAAGAGATCTCGATTTAGATGTGGAAAGGAAGAATGTAGTTGCTTTGGTTGCGTGTGTCGTCAAAGAGTGGTTGTGCATGTGAACTGTGTTAAGTGCGGGTTTGATGTGTCGCATGGATCTGAACATAAATATGGCCTACCTATAGTTAAGACAAAATGGAGATTATTTATTGTGACCTTGTGAAGCCCAATATAGGCACTTTCGTTGATTTCTTGTATGCTAGCTAAGCTAACAGTCTATCTGATAATATTCTTGCTTGGAATCTATCCACGCTAGCACCTCGTCTTTGTCGCAGATAGGTAAAACAAAATTTCTAAGGTCTTGAGGAAATTAGGATTGTTGATTTGAGATTTTTCTTTACTCCATCTGGCGCATAAAAATTTGCTTCTTTTGAATTTTACACTTACTAAGAAAAAATAGTTACTATGGTTGCACCATAATTTTTTGCCTTTTTCTTTCTTTTCTTTCATTTTAAATGACCTGCTTTGCTCCATTTTAAATTTGCCTCTTTCATTTTGGTTGTTGGTTCCAAACATCAAATGACAATTGAATTTGTCTTTTTCTTTGCTGAAAGGTACAGACACACTCAAATCTATGGATCGTTTGACTTCCTTCTCGAATTTTATTTCATCACACAGTCACAGACAAAGACGCTTTATTCCTTTTTCTAGCTTTGAACAGTTAATAATGGTATTGGTGATGGTATATGCATTTCTTCGTTCTTGGTTTCGTTTATGGGACCGTTGAATTGCGCATGTTAACGTTGGAAAATATTTCATATCACCAAAGATCAGAGTCCAATCATAAAAAGATTTTTGTGATTTTTCTTTAAAAAAAAAAAAAAGATTTTTGTGATTTTAATATGATTTTAGCTATGATTGAGTTAATGAACTTGGAACTTACGCGCTTATCTATGAAATCGAACGATCCAAAAAGCAATTGATGTATTGCGATTGCGAACTTTCTACTGGTTATGTTTCTGTTGAGAGACAACGATGGAAAGTTCGCCTTTCAAGAATTAGCAAGTTGCAATGGGCGCTGGATGGAGATGGACTTCTCTCAGGAAGAAGATGCAACGAACAATGACTAAGTTCTTATAAGTATTCAGTACCAAGTTGAAGGAACAATGGGGTTTTTCCATTCGATGAGGTGAGTCAGCTAACATTATCCATATTTAAAAATTCAATATTCCAACGCAAACAGTAGATTTCATTGATCATGGAAGACAAAGAAAATGGGTTTGATGAATTTTTTAATCCAGAAAATTGTCATTGTTATTAAGGTAGTCCCACCTTGGAGTCTACTGCTTGCACATTGAGTTTGGTTCATGCATCTTCAATTATTAGGTGGACACTTTTCAATACTGAGATGTTTAAAAATTAATTATTTGTTTTTTAAATTTTAATTAAAAGTTAATAAATTGGAGACTATTTTGTCATTATTATCAATCAAATACTTTTATTTATGTTTCTGTTACTTTTTTTTTTTATTAAAAGATAAATTTGACAAATTAATAAAATCAAAAATTTTTCCTTAATTTTGTTCTTATAAAAAGTGAAAAAAATCCTTAAGAAAAAAAAAATTTATTTCAATATTAGGAGGGTTATTTTGACATATAGGTAACTATTATTCCTAATTGTAGCTTGTGGATTTTCGAATTAGAATATTTTGCTTATTTCATCGTATTCTCTTCAAATATCCTTACATTTGCACATTTTTTTTATTTATTTTATTATTCCCAATATAATAAATAAATAATAATTAGAACGGAATTTCCATCAATACTAAAACATTACATATAGCTATAAGCTAGGCTTTTACTCCTAAGGCAGAAGAAATTTCTCATCAAGAGTCAAATTTTGGTTAAAGTTTCCAAATTGGTTAATTCATTAAATGGTAAAAATTTCAACATTCAACATATGAACATACTGATGTTTCAATGTGGGTGGTTGAAGAATACTTAGAAGAAAAATCAAAGTGGGAATTTCTCAATTGGGTGCATAACTATTCGTGTCTACAGGTCTTTACTTGTGTATTGTTTACTACTTATTCAGTAATTACAATTTAATTAGCCGAAAGACATGCATTTACAAACAAAAGCATAATCAAAGAAAGCATCATTTTTACTTTTGCTGTCAAAGGCTTTTTAATTTCAAATTAATAAAAATCATAATATCTGAATGTGAGATTTAATAATTTGTCTAACGTTAATATTAATTATTAAACCGTAATTAAAACGACAAATTAGAACAATTGAAGACATAATATGCACGCATATTATCAAAACCAATAATAGAAGCAATCAGTCTCAGCTCAAGCATAACTTACTAAACAGAAACGCACAAGGGCATTAATTAAAATACTATAAAACATTAAACACAACCACCATATCTAATTACTAGATTTAGTAATTTAATTATATACTTAATAGGGGAGTAGGCCATGATTCTGATGGTGGCTGACGAGGTCACCCAGCATCCATAGGTCCACCGAGTTAAACCCCTCACAACTCAGCTGAGCTGCCATCTCTTCAGGCTCCAAACCGAGAAACATTTCCAGGCTCGATATTTGCTCTTTCAGCTTATAATCACTAGCCATTTCTTTTTGGTAACCGAGACTCGCGTACGGTTCTGGCGGTGGCGCGGTCATTTGGTAGCTAGCAGTGGCCATGCCAGGATTGATCAAGCAACGCTTCTTGTATGGAGGTACCAGAGCTGGGGCTAATGGGGGTGACTGGCCAAAATTAAGCTTGGCTTTTTCACCACGGATACGCTTGGCAGCTTCATCGTAGGCTCGAGCGGCTTCTTCAGCTGTGTTGTAAGTACCAAGCCAAACACGTACGCCCTTGTGCGGGTCTCTGATTTCAGCCGCCCATTTTCCCCATGGCCTTCGCCTTATTCCCCTGTAAATATTCTTTCGAGTTCTCTTGGTCTTGTTCCCTTCCTTTACATCGCCTTGACTATGACTTGCCTTCTCTGTTATCTTCTCCACTAAATTCCATAAAACAAATTAAACAGTTTAAATTCAAAAATAATTTCCATTGCTATATATCCATTAGAAAATAAAAATGAAAAATGAAAGTGTTACCTTCGTTGAGCTGGTTCGGCTTTTGAGGGAGTTCAAGATCAAAGTGGGAAGGCAGGACTTCTTTATTGCCATTATTAGGATAATCCAAGCCAAGAAAGTCAGAGAAAGTGTCAAGCTCAGACCAGAGATCCTCGGCGTTCAATCGCCGGCTACGTTTCACGGCGACGAAATCTGAAATAATAGCACCTCCGCACATGTTTGCAGGAGAGAAGTTGTGGGTATTCAAGTGAGAGATAAGAGGAAACAGAAGGCACGGTTTTTATAGAGTGACGGTTACAACTAATCTATTAGAAAAAGACGAGCTCATAAACTTTTTGTGGGTCACATTTGTCATTTTTCGGGTATATGATTGGACGGTTGAGATTGAATCAGGTAGAAAAAATTAGGAAATGGAAAAAGCCAGGAGAGATTAGAGATAAACGTGGCCTTGGCCCATCCAGAGATATTAAGCCTAGGATTTTATAGTTGCGACCGTGTCCGGTACTTAAGTGACAAGTGGGTTATTAAAAGAGTTTACGTGGCTATTTCTAATTGGTTGAGCAAATTGTGCTGGCTTTTTGTACAGTCTGCTGTAACGCATGCAAAGAGTTGGTCCAAAACTATAACCGCCCAGCCCAGCCCTGCCTATTGAAGGGAATTTTTTGTTTTTACTTTTTAGTCCTCCTCCACCAATGGAGAAACGCAAGAGGTTGAATTTTTTATTTTTTATTTTGGTAAACAAGGGTAAAAACACAAACTACATACAGAAATAGATTAGGTGTTAAAACAAAATTTACTTCTAATTGGGAGAAATTTACCCTATTACTGTCCCTATTCAGACAGAGTAAAATAAGATAGGCTTAAATTGGTAAAACAATCCAAATTAATTTATTAACGAAATCTTGATAAAATTTATTATTTATAGTTAGTTAATTTAAGTACTTTTGTACTCCTCTCTGAGTCCGAAAATATAAGTTGTTTTAGTTTTAGGATGATTACTTGTCTCAAAATATAAATTATTCAGAATATTTTAAAAAGTAATAATTTTTTTTTTCAAATTTTCTTTTATTTATATTAGATATAATATAATAATGTAAGATAGAAGGGAGGATGTGAGATAACATACAATTTAGTCAAATTATCAGTAATTTTCTTAAAATTTGAGAGAATTAATTACTTTTTTATCCCGCACAAAAACTTCTTATATTTTAGAACGGAAGAGATATAGTTTCGTATGCATTTTCATTTTACCGTGTGTACCGGGCGCTTGCAAATTTTATTTACAGGTGTAATGCATGCATACTTACAGTTTGTCAATATCAAGTAAGACGAGGGGCTATGGTGATTCTTTTATTTTGATATACACATAATTAACATTTCTTGTATAAAAAAGTAATATTTGTGTGTTTTATGAGTTATTTTCATGATAGGCAGTCAGAAACTTTTATCTGCAAGAAGCAGTTGGGCTCAGAGAAAACCATGGGAGTAGCTCATGCTCATGAATTTGTCTTCTTGGGCTTAATCATACAGATAAGCATTCTCTCCTTGGAGAAAATGATTGCCGAATTCGAAAGGATAGTATTACATCACACGCACACAAAGGTCTTACAGGCTTTTAGGAAACAGAGAAACAACGCTGAAATTTGCAGAGAAATTACAAAATTTTTCTGTCTGTTTCTGCCTCCCAAGAAATGTTTCTACATGCTTCACGCGTTTTCTTTTAATTCTTTTCTAGGTGTTATTCCAGTTCACAGCTTAGCTTTGACTTGCAAGCTATCTCGACTTGTAAGGAATTCATATCCTCTGTGTAAGAACTCCCAATCCCAATACCAAGTTCTTACATCAGAGGAGATAGATACTTTGAAGTTTGAACCGCCAAGAAATACTTCCATAACCGCTGCCATTGGGAATGGAGCCGATTATATTGCAGTGCCAAGCCAACAATGAAAGTACTAATGAAGCAGCAAAAATTGTACTTGCTAACTTGCATCTTAGCAAAATTGGCATGTAAGTGCCGTAGCTCACCAAGTTCACCTCCATTCTGCATTCTCTAGTCATTTTCATACAAGGTCCATCATGGACGGAATTAAAAAAAAGAAAGAAGCCCATACTGACATCATTGCCAAAAGGGGCACAATCATACGGCAGTGGGAATACATAACTAGTTTCTCTTAAATTAAGAGTTCTAAGCCCAGCCTGAACGATAATTGGTTAAACCACAAAAATAGAGGTAACTATTAAGCAAAAAACATAATCGAGTATCTTCTGCAATACATGAGAGAAACATTGGAACTTCAACAATACATAAGAGAAACATTGAAACTTCAACGAATAAGCAGAGAAAATCAACAGGAAAATTCCAGGCCTCTTCTTTTTAAGTATCGAATAAGGACTATATTCCATCACAATCAAAACAAATGAAATTCCACCCATCCTATATGTATGCCATGATTATCAATTGAAATACATTTACTTGAACAGAATGTCCTCATTCCCCTCAGATTTAGTGAGAGGGAAGATGTATTAATCAAAATGGAAAGCTAAGATACAAATGCAAATTGCAGAATCTCTCTAGTCTACCATTTTAGTTAAGCGGTGAATGGTACTCTTTGCAATCCTATTAGTAGGATCAATCTTCAGAACAGTCCTCAGGTCTTCGGCCCCAAGTTTGTACTTTTCCATACTTTCGTACAGGAGTGCACGTTGTACAAGGATAGATACATTTCCATCATCATCTTCGAGAACCTACATAGCACGGAGGAGACTATAAATTTCCTACTCCAATGTAGGAAATTGATAAAGGAAAAAAAAGTTCATATCATTTGCAAGAAAAAGCAGGTGCCTGCACTCTCGCATGCAGAAAATCAAGTCAATAGCACACTGCAGTCTGCGTTGTGCAACACATCAACACCATAATGAAAGACACAGACCTTCGAGTGGGCAACACTTAGTAGTTTGTAACAAGCAAATGCTATCATAGTCCAAAACAAGAAGCACCGGACCAGTCAATCAAGATACTTGGAGCAAACAACCTATCAACAAAACTTGAGGAGTTCATATATCTAACCGTACCATCCACCAAATAGCTTATCCTTTTCTTCCTACACAGCCTAAGTGAAATTCTGATGCATTACAGCCTCAAAGCATATGGCAAGTAGGCTCAATTCATTAATTTCCATACGCATATAAAGACACACTTTGAATTCATAAATCATCAAACCAAAAGTCTAAAATCAATGAGCAAGAAGACAAGTAAACAGAACCATTGAGAAAAATGTAAGACATGATCATACCTTTGTACAGTCAGCCACTGCTTTCTTATACTCTCCAACTTCTTTATAGCATGAAGCTCTGCATGACAAAACCTCTGTGGTAGAAGCCTTGTCACCAGTTTTCTCAAGAAGTACAACAGCCCAAGACAACCACTTGATGGCATCTGCATATTGCCCCTGCTTTTGATTATCAACACCTTTGTTCTTTGCTATAGAGGCTGTGACCCCAGCAGGGGGCGGTGGAAGCCCTTCAAGCTCAGTGGTGGCACCACCTGAATCATTTCCAGCTCCTCCTCCAAAGCCTGAATCCAATCCCCAGTCATCAACTTCTGAGAACTGCTGCTCTCCTGCTCCTGCAGATGCTGTTGCAGTACCTCCCGAGGAGGAGGAAAAGAACATGTCAAGTGGATCCCCACTCGAAGTTTGAACAGGAGACTGCTTTTGAGAAGCAAAGTCCATTCCAGGCATCCCGAAATCATCAATCTTTGAATTGGAAACGGTATTGGATCCCATGAAACTACTGTTGCTCACACCAAAACCACCTGATGGAAATGTTGTTGTTGTGCTTGGTTTTGCAGCATTTTGAAAATCTCCAAATGCATTATCTCCAGCATTGGTACCGCTTTTACTTGCTGCATTAAGATTACCAGATTGTTGTTTCGATCCAAAATCAACCAAAGAACCGAATGGATCCCTATTTCCACCCATTCCACCTCCAACTCCACTTCCACCCATCATACTTTTCATTGAAGGACGACCAAGATTTGGACTCATATTACTACTAACATTGACATTGCCATTACCAGCAGCATTAACATTGCTGCTGGTTTTATTGTACTCACTAGAATAACTCCCAAAATTACCATTAGATCCCCAAGTTCCTCCACTTTTCGCTGAATTATTTGTTTTTGGCAATGAATCAGCAAGATTGCCCATCGAATAGGCAGTTTTATTCGATGTGGGTGTAGCAGTTTTCAAAGGAGCATTGCTATTACCCTTGTTTCCCTGCCCCAAAGCAGAGGTGACCAGATCCCCAAACAAATTTGGGTTCTTCTCTACGATCCCAATCCCAGAAGCTGAACTTGATGAATTCCAGCTCTTCCCAGATATATCACCCACCATAGAAGGGGGCCCATTTAGCCCGGACCAAGTAGGCTGACTCGGCGCGGGCTGGTGAGTCCAGGAAGGTTTATTAGGTTGCCAGGCGGGTTTAGGCTGCGTTGTTGTTGAGGATGAATACGATGAATATGAAGAAGTTGGATTCTTTTGATCATTAAGGGATTTGGGTCGGCTCGAACCTAGTCCGAAATCGAAATTGAAGTTGTTCAACGAGCTAGATGATCCTTTCCCGTAGTTAGAGTTCATTTTTGCTTTCCTTTTTTAAAGATTCAATCAAAACAGAACAAAATCTGTTGGGATCTGAGAGAAAGAAAATTAAATCTGTTACAGCTGAAAACGTACCTGCTAATTTGAGATGAAGAAATTAAAGATCAAATAGATCAGAGAAAGAAGATGTGAGTAGTATCGATAACGTAAAAGCAGCAATTTTTTGGCCGGAGGGTGATCGGTGTCCGATGAAGAGGGCCGGAAAAACGATGCTATGGTTTATTTTATGTGCAAATTTGTGTTTTGTTTGGAGTTGCAAATTTAGGACAGGTGGTGAGGCGCGTCGGATTCTGAATCCTGCTGCCGTTATTTATGTTTGGTAGGAATTCGGAAGGGTAAATTTTGTCCCTTCATTAAGGTTATTTTTGGAAAGTAATTAAAACCAGCATAAGAATGATAATTAATCTCGTTAAACTCTCCATCTCAGCTTGAATTTTTCTAATTAAGATAATGCCAATTGCAAATCTGAACTTCAATACAATTTTAAGCATGTTAATAAAATTACAGTTTATGCTCTGAAATACTTACCTGGGATTTTTTTTTTAAATGTGTCAATGAAATTATAAACCGGATGCCATAATTTTTTCCCTTCGTAATAATAAGTGGATGCATGAAATTTTGAATCCGAATACCACAAATTGAACCCTCCACCGTGTCATTAATTAAGTAAAATAATATAATCATTTCCATCAGGAAGAAAATCAACCAAATAACATTGAATTGAATGTTTTTATTGATCCAATAGAACAAAGTCTTATGTAAGAATTGCAGTTATTACTGAACAGAAAGTAAACATATGTTTTCAGATCAGGTATATACAATGTTACGTGGAAACGGAATCGAAGAAACATAGGGAAATAATATCTATAAATAATATTTTATATAGAGAAATGGATACAGAGAAACATTTCCGAAATTCAGAAACACCCATGACTAGAAGTTAACGTGCATCATAAGGCGTATATATAATTACGATAAGGGTCTGAATCTAGGTCCATGAAGATCAAATAGAAAAGGATGAAAATGTAACTAGCTTGGATAACAACATGAATAGATCAGAGAAAAGAAAATAAATCACTTGTATGACACATATTGCTCTCTTATGGAACATGCTTTCCAATCCAACAATGGAACTCAACAGAAAAAGGAACACATAATTTTGGAGAAAAAAGATTACAGTCCAGTTTCCTTTTTGCAATCATAATTTACTGAACAGAGATTAACGATTGTCAATGCATAACAGTACTCGTGAAAGAATTCTCCAAGGACAATATGTAGAATGTTCCCAAAACAGCCTAGAAGAGAAGATTCACATTTCACTCTCCACAAAGACACCAGAAAACTAGTATACTATGACCAAAAACCAAGCCAGTATCCAAGAGAAATACAAAATGCTTTAATTCTTGCTTAGATATTCTCATCTAAATTTCTAAAATACCTATTCAATTCTGAGACTGTGTTGAAGGTGGTTGTTGCGCAGACTGTTCCCAGCTCTGTCTTTGTACCGGCGCTCTCCTCTCAACCTGCATCGTTTCACGTCGTCTATCATACCTGGCACGAGGCCTGTTTTGACTGTTTGATCTATCATACCGGTATTGAGGCCTATGGATGACCTTGCCATCAACAAACAAATCCCCTGATTCAAACCAAAAGGAGATGAATTTAAAATGGAAACACCCAAACATAAAGTGTATAATTTAGTAATTAAAGTTTACATCTTCGGAATACCCACCTCCATAGTCCTTGTTGGGAACATCAAGATATGAATCTGGCAAAACCCAGAGAACACCAGGCAACCCTATCCATCCAGACAAATAGAAGCATAAAACAGTCTAATATACAAACATCACACCAGAACTGCCAAACTTCAAGTATAAGCAGAAGTCACAACAAGAAGCCAGGTTGATTTAATCAACAATCCAAAATTTGAAATAAACAGAATAAAATGGCATTCATAATCAGTACGGTACCTATTACAAATCATACTAAAAGGTTAAGAAGGCTAATTACTTCCATCGGTCCCTCAAAACCTCAAAAAACAAAAAAAAAAAAAACTTTTAAACCCTAAACCCTATCAATGTATTAAAGATAAGTCCGACAAAGAAAATGAAATACCTTTTACTTTGTGTGAGAGTTCCTCCGAAATCAAAGCACCAAACCCAGTATAGGTCGATGTGGAAACCGAATAAATTTTCTTCTTTGCCTCATCCTCACTAAAGTCCACCCAAACAATAGCCAAAAACAAAAATCAGAAGTCAAAGCCCAGATACAGAAATTATAGAGTAAACCCAAATCAAAAATGAGCTCAAGAAAAAATAAAAGAAAAGAAAAACTCAGCACCTGCCCACGACGGTTGCAAGGGTTTTGACGTATGCGTTGATCATCTCCTCTTCGGTTGGTTTTGGGTCAGTTGGGAACTCCATGACGATAAGCCAGTGCTCATAGTCACAGCCATCCAAGAGTATCGTTTCCTTTGGTGGTCGGTTACTCCAGTTGGGTGACGGATCATTCAGTGGCGAGTAACCTGACCCAGAAGTTTTGAAACGGGTAGGGATTTTCACAGAGTCCGGGACGAATTGGTTCGATGGGTTTTTGTCGAGGAGAGAAAAAACGAATCGAGAACGAGAAGAAAGTGAAGACGATGAAGAAGAAGAAGCGAGAGTTCGGGTAAGGAACGAAGTTAAATTGCGACGTGCAGCGACATACGCCATTGTTTACACACTCTCTAGCTCTGGCTTTCCAATCGGTGAAATTGATTTGCTTTTGCTATTATGAAGGGTAAATAAACGACGGCGCTTTCTTATTTTTTCTGTATTTAAATAATCGAGGGTACCGGAATTACGGACGAACGGTGTCGTTTTAAATATTAGTGTTCAGTGCTTGCTTCTTCTAAAACTCATACAACAATTGGTCCATGTATTTTCAAAGGACTACATTACCAAATTACGGACGAAACGGGTGTCGTTTTAAATATTTAATGGTTTCAGTGCTGCTTCTTCTAAAACTCATAACAACAATTGGTCGCATGTATTTTCAAAAAGACTAACATTACAAATATATATATATATAATATAGATATATATATATATATATATATACATATTATGAATAACGTTTCCTCAATGTCCTTCAAAAGAGGGATGAAAGTATTTTTAAATTTTTTTTAAGTTTGTTACTGATAGTATTGTTAATTGGGTTTTTAAGACTATATTTGGTTAAAAACCATATGTAACTTAAGATAAATGAAATCAAAAAGATATACATATATGAAACGTTCTCATGTCTTCAAAAGAGGGATGAAAGTATTTTTAATTTTTCTTAAGTTTGTTACTGATAGTATTGTTAATTGTTTTTAGACTATATTTGGTAAAACCATATGTAACTTAAGATAATGAAATCAAAAGACATTTTTTGTTTAAAAATGTTTTTGATACATTACATTATATTTCATTACGGTTTACTAAATATAACCTTAATTTTTTTTATTTACCAACTAATTAATTAATTTATGATCGACAATTCTTTAATCAAATCTTGATAAACCGCTAGAAATTAAGCAAGAAAAGATGCTATATACATAGACTTGGAAAATTGCAATTCCCTCTTGCGTTTGAAGTTCTGTGTTTGTGCACTAAAGCACGACCTAATGATGTGAAAACTAAAAACTCGCTAGCCCTATTCAACCAATTCTGCACAACTATGTACTCAGAGAACAATTAATATATATATATATATTTTTCCATTAGATCGAGAAAGCTCCATTGCCTCAATTCTAGCGTAGTGATACAAGATGATGCTTAAGCTGGACAAGACAGGTTGCAATTGCAAATTTAAGCACTTAATTGCAAGGTGGTGGTAATTGGCGACCAGCATATTTGATTTTTGCATTCTGGCATACAGAGGATATCGGCTTCTTTTTATCACCAACATAATGCAAATCGATATTTGACAATTGAACTCCTTCACAAGGACACTTCTTGCTGCACTCAAGTTTTACTCCAACTTCTGATACTGTGGTTCCCCTAACGTTCAAGAATTTAACATCACTGATCTTTACCTTCGATGGCTGCAAATATACAAACACACAGAATTATGTTACTGTCTTTCTTTTGAATTTCTTTCAATTTGAAAGGACAAAGGACGTAGGATTTACCTCATTTGACTCTGATCCGTAGCTTTGATCAATAATGATAGGGTTCTTAACGCTTTTCATAATGATGTCCTGGAATGTCATGCCTGAAGCACAGCTTGGAGGTGATCCTGCCCATGTTTTGATTCTTAATCCATTATCAGTGTTCTTCAATGTGCAGTTTGTCACTGTAATACCTTTCACTTCCTTCTCATCAGGATACTTTCCAAGACTACCAATACTGTTGTGGAGGAAGAAATAATAAGAAACAATGAGCATCTCTTAAAATGTAAGTGCATTGCAGGTTTTATTGCAACATTAATGGTGGATAGAGAGTTCCATATTACCTAATGCCATGTCCAGGGCCACAAGTTAGTTTCTTGATGGTGATATCAGTGCATCCATGAATCATACCAACGCAATCATCTCCGGTAGCAATAACACTTCTTGTTATTTTTACTAGATGGGTTTGGCTGAGATGGATTCCATCTGTATTGGGGCTATCGTCAGGAGCATCTAAACGGATATTTGTGACTCTGATATTCTCACATAGAACAATTCCTATGTGGAAACCCATTGGGTTAACAGAATGCAGCATTCTTATAACTCCATTTGTTACGCGAAAAAATTTGATCGACTGAAGAAGAAAAAAAGAAAAAAAAAAGTCAATATCTTGAATTAATTTCAACCATTTTCTGATAACATGGGAAATTTGTGAAGTAGAGTTTAATAATTTTGCTTACTGCTGGGAAAACACTGCCTCCACCATCGTGATATTTCCATACATTAGGGCCTTGGCCGTCAACAATGCCTCCATTAATGATCAAGCCATTTATATTTTGGAATAACATCCAGGAATCTTCTGAATAGCTACTCATATCTGATACTGCTTTTATAGTCCCTACAATTTGAACAATAGTGGGAGCTGTATTTTTACATGGTCCAGCAAATACCATTTCTGAGGCTAAGAACTCCCCTGCTGGGATAAGTAGTCTTGCTTTTCCCCTCCAATCGCATGCAGCCCTCCATGCCTTTATGAAATTCTGCAAACACGAAACGGACTCGCATAATTAGTCAGTTCATGTGTAAGTTCCAATTAGAGAATAGGAGTTACTAGAGACATATATTACCAATGCATTATCTGTTCTTGGATTACATTTGGCACCAAAATGTAGCACATTAAAGATTTTCTCAAAGGGATCTCTTTTCTCACCAATGTGAGCAAATGGTCTAATGGCGTGGCCCAGATGCTTTGCCTCAGAAGAGGCAGCTGCTAAGAATAAGAGAAGAATGGCTTTTGCCAAGGAATTCTTTGTTGTGGCCATTGCCATTCTTCTTCAATTCAATCAATCTGGCAATCCGTTTATTTCTTATTAATTCCAGCGAAATTTATAAAAAACAAAAAATTGAAAGCCCCAATACGGAGGCTTGATCAACGTGATTGTGACACGAGTTCTCTTTCCATGCCTCTTTTCTTTATACCATAGTTTTAGCCAAAGAGTGGATCAGGATAAAATGCTATCTATAGGGTTCATTTTAACTCCATTGATATATTTGGTTAGCTTTGTCTTCGCTTGAATACATGCTATTTTTAGTATTTACTTTCCTAACATTTAGGAGCAAAGATCTGTGTCTTTCTTTCTCTCTTTTTTTTAATAAAAAAACAGGCTGCTACTTCTCCGTTTTTGGCTGTGTGTTTAGGCCACCAGTTTAACACCAGTGCTGCACTAAACAATTACAAGAAAAATTTCTCCACACTCCACTGGTTTAGAGGAGAATTTTTCTGGTTCAATCTGAATGAACATGCATTCTGGATGTTGATTTCTCCTCTAACTTCTTGATTGTTTCTACAATAATTTTCTATTTTTCAATTAATATATACAAAATATTTTGCTACGAGTTCTTTCAATTGATATATAATCCTTAATAAAATCCACAAAAAAACCCAATATCCCCCCAAATACGTTAGTAACTGAAAGATAGTGGAGAAAATCTCTCTACTATCTTATCTCTAGCTATCACCCTCTGCTAGTTTCAAAAGAAAAAAAAAAAAATATCACCCTCTGCTCCTATAAATAGAGGAACCATAAGTGAAAAAACGTACTTAAGCACTAGCTATTCTTCTCTCAAATCCTAATACATTCATTGAACACTAAATAGATTAAACATAAATTTCTTGAGTTCATCATAATTAGTATCATTAATAGAGCATCATACCAATTACATAAGAAGTAGAGTGAGCCAGAGAGAGACTTAATAATTACAACAAAGACGAGACAAACATGAAAAGAAGCTAGAACCAGACCATTGTGTTATATAATAGCTAGGTTTAGGTTGTAGGTGCTAACTAATTAAGCTGAGAAGAGTTGTTTTTTCTTGCGATAATCTTTGATGACAACTCCACCATAGAATTGAGCTGCCTCCTCACTGGTGAAGGCAGTAGTCTCCATTTTTGACCTGGGAAATTGCATTACATGATTATCATATTCATTAGAAGAAGACCTTGGCTTCTGTTCTGGATGTTGCCAAGAAACTACCCTCTTAGGCCTGCCATACCACTCATCAATGAGTGAAAAGCCTTCCAACCCGACTTTATAAAGACGATCTGCTTGACGTGCCATGCCCTTAAATAACGCACTACAGATTAATATCAATCTACTTATTATCTTTTTGTATATATGTATGCAAGTAGGCTAAGCTTTGTCTTAATTAAGCTGTTTGATTTATGCTAATGAATACCCCGTTATATAGTATATGCATATATGTAGAGGAAACCTCAATGGGCCTTTCGTTGATTCCACTCGTTTCCTTCCTTCTTCTGTTATTCCATTCAAATGTAATACAGTAGGTATTACTTTCCCTCGTGATTTGCAAATTGCAAGTTACTAGAAAAGTAAATTTCCCTTTAACTTGGTAAAGTTTTTGTAAATGCAATGTGAATTTATGTTGCGAACATGTAACTACCATATCAAATGGCAGCAAAGAATATGTCCTTTTGTTCTTCTATTATTGAGTTGAATGTTCTTTTATTGGAACTTTCTTCCTCCGGTCCTAATGAATTGGCATTTTTGGTCCAAAGAGAGTTAGGTAATTTCCAAACTTCAGTCAAACGACAAAGATTCGTAATCTGTTTTGAGGGTTTTTTTTTTTTTTTTTTTTTTTTTTTTTGAAATGTTCTTTATTGAACTTTCTCCTTCCGGGTCCCTAATGACATTGGCATTTTTTGGTCCAAAGAGAAGTTAGGGTAATTTCCAAAACTTCAAGTCAAACGACAAAGATATCGTAAATCTTTTTGAGGGTTTTTTTTTTTTTTTTTTTTTTTTTTTTGTTTTTTTTTTTTTTTTTTTTTTTTTTGAGTATTTAAAAATGGGGATTGAAATTGGATTTATTATAGAGACTTACCACTAAATCATGCTGTTTTGAAGTATTTGATTTTCATGGTATTTTTATATTTGAATAATTTGAATTGAATAAAAAATTTTAATGCTTAGTATATAATATATTATATAAGATTATCAGTCAATTTTACCATTGAATTTTGACTAACGATTGAGTTTGATTGAAGCCAAATTAACTAAAAAATGTCCGATATGTGAACATCTATTTTCATAATTATTAGGGTTAAGAGTGAAATCTTGATCTAAATCTCTTCAAAACAGATTCTTTTTAATTTTAGCACATTTCTTTTTTCTCATCTGATTCTTTAAATTTGTCCCGTTGGAAGGAAAAAAATAGACAATATGCGTAATTTTGTGGCTTCACAGACACAGAAATTATTCTAGTCCGCTTGTGGGGTTAGACATATTTATTCCAAGAAATCCCAAACAAAAGCCGACAAAAGTTGGTGATTTAGGAAAGATCAAAGCCATAGAATAGAAATGCATTTAAAGAATCATTTTATTTTCTTTTTCGTTGTTTTTTATTTTCCATGGAAGCATCAAAGCACATATGATTGCCATTGGAGAAATACTGTATATATATAATACTGTATATATATATATATATAATTATTATATATCTATCTTATTGCTTCCAGAAAGGAAATTTAAATCTGGGCAACACTTTCCTACTTTATAATACTATTGATTATCCAAAAGAAAAAGCGGTATCAAATATATATATATATCTATCTTATTGCTTTCCAGAAAGAAATTTAAATCTGGGCAACACTTTCCTACTTTATAATATATGATATTCCAAAAAGAAAAAGGCGGTATCAATAGATTTGGTCTGTCCAAATCTATTTTTGCTCGCAGAAACTTATCGTTGTATCTTGCTAATTCTTCAGCTTAAAAATTTTAAAACAATGAAGATGATAAAAAGGATGGGGCTGAGTCCACTTTTTCTCTAACTGGAATCTGTTACCAATAGGTGATACTGTTTCTTTAAATCTGGCCTAATATATTGGATTATTAATTGAAACCTAATCTGCATATATGCTTTTTGAATACTATTGCCAAGCCAAAGTAACTAGTTAATTAATTAATCATGCCATCCTCTGAAAATATCAAGAATATCAAATTCATTTTAGAAGCTTCTTGATTTCAGTTCTTGCTTGTGTTTTCACCTGAATTAAGTTTCATATGAAGAGAAGGTTAACTTGCATGCATTTAGGGAATGCATATTTTTGTTCTTGGGTTGCTCTTCTGCTATTGGATAGTCATATATATAGTGGAGCCATTAATAATTGTTTGCAACTTGGCATTCATGAAGATTCTAACATCTTAAACATATGAAAGTTAAGATGCGGAAAAATGAGAATGACAAGTCCTGTATTAAGATTCTCTTATAATGCAAGAGAATCCGTCGTCATCACAATCGCAGATGAACTTTTTCTCTGCAATTATAAGGGAAACAGGAGAATTACTATTGCTCTGTTACTGACTTTAAGAAGCTAAAAAATTAATCGAACAGTCAAATGAAATGAGAGAAATAAAAGCATGTAAATCAGAAATTCTAAGTAACAGATAAGATAAACTATGTTATCAAGTAACAAGAAAAGAGCTACAATTTACAAACCCTCCGTATACTTTTTTTATAACAACACAGAGGATGATTTTAGCTACATGGTGATTCTCTACAGCCTGATAATACGTACTGACTGTTCTCTGCAATTCCGAAGTACAAGAGGCTTATGTTTACTTAATAGTTAATACGTACGTAATTACATACAAAACCACACGCATCTGTAATTAGTAACTTACAAAAAACACTACTAATTGAGAAAACTTGCAGCTTGGATCAGTACGTAGTACTAATTTAGGTGCGGCCAGAACGATTTCTCAAACCATATTCCATGATCGCCAACCCACCATAATATTCAGCTGCCTGGTCACTAGTGATCATCACTGGCTTTTTTCCGGTGCTGCCTCCGCCGTAGTGTTGAGCTATCTCGTTGCTTACGGCTACTGGCATTCTTACTGTTGAAATTTGAGGTCCATGATAAACAAGAGGCTGTTGACGATGATGATGATATTCATGCCCTTGACTTGATAGAGCCCTGCCACTGCCTGATCTTCCAGTCGGGTTGTTCCGACCATAACATTCCTCTATTAGAGCGAACCCTTCATCTCCGATCTTGACTAGACGATCTAATTGAGGTGCCATAAATCTAATTGATTCTACTAAAACTATATATCTTTGGATAGCTTCTTGCCCTAGTTTGAATGGTGTCTGTTTGCTTTGCTTTGAAGGGGACGAGGCAGGGCTTCATTTATATATACAGGGATCATTGTGGCTTAGCTTCCCACTTTTTGGTCCCACTTGCAAGTCTTATCCATGTTGTGAATGAGGTTGCAGCTTATGCCACCTAGGGTTTTCATGGATTCGATTCAAATTGAATAAATCAAAATTTTTAAAAGGAATTGAATTACTTTGGTTCATTTTTTGATTTTTCTATAGTTTTTTAAAATTTTTAAAAATTAAATTAAAGCGAAATTTTTTTCTAATTTTTTCTTTGGAGACCGAAATTCAATCTATTAATATAAAATCAAATTGATTTAAATTAATCTGTTCGATTCAATTCCACCTTAATGGTTTTTATCAGTAAATTCTGCCTTTCGACGAATAATCCACTGGTGACTGGTCTATTCAAAATCCATATCGTATACCTAGATATTTTTTTTAAGAGAATTTTCCATCTTATAAAAAAAGGGTTGTCATCTTTAAAAGATTCCTCCAACATTTGTACCTGCCCACAACAATACAAAGACAAAAAAAAAAGTCGAAAAAAACCTGTAACATACACGAGGCAGAGCGTCTAACTACTTGCAAAAGCAGGATTTAATTCTTTTCTTAGGGATAGAAGTTATCATCACTATCTGTCCGAAAATTAGGATTTTCTGCATAAATAATGCATGAGATGCGTTGGATTAGGCATTTGTAGCACTTCAATGTGATCAGTCGTATTCTTATAATCAATCGGTTTTGGAAGCAAA